GTTTATGGTGCGTTACTGGAAAAGGAGTTGACGCGGTTGCCCCAACGACTTGCGCACTGCTGTTGGCCCAACCATCCCTCTGACTTATAATCCTGTGCCTCACGCCTCCCTGCTCCGCCCCTCGCTCAGGCTCCCGGCCTGCCCAAGACCCGCAGCGGCAAGATCATGCGGCGAGTGCTGCGCAAGATCGCCTCGAAGGAGGAGGACCAGCTGGGCGACACCTCCACCCTGGCCGACCCAGGGGTCGTTCAGGTGCTGGTGGACCTGCGCGGCAAGTAAAGGCAGCAGCAGGACGAGAGAGGAGTACTCGCTCGCTGCTTGCATGCTAGAGCGACCTGATGCCACCTGGGAACGTGGCCATGTCGCTTGGCTGCAAGGCTGTGGACGAGGCTTGTAAAGTGAGGGGCATGGATGAGAACGGATAAAGCGGTATTCATGTAAGCTGAGCTTGATGAGGCTCTTGGTGGTTAGGTAGATATCCCGTTGGATTGGTGTGGGTATATGTTTCGAATGCTGCTGACGTGGCCTGGAGAATTGCGAGTGAGAGAAGGCTTAGCATGCGACGCGGTTGGTTCTCTCGTAATGGTGTACCACCTGCTGCCGTCGGCTTGCCGTGTGGTATTGTATGATAAGAGACGACTAGAGAGACTCCCCGGTTGGTTTTTGGAAGAGGCCCTGATGGCTTTAGGTGCGTCGTTGCCGCCAGCTTTTGGGCCTCTCAGCCACTCTCTCGGCGCTGTGGTTGCGCCGAGCGCTGTGGCAAGTTGGGCTTTGGTTTGCCTTGCCTTCCGGTGTATCCAGGGCTTTTGCGTTTGTTCGGCGGACAGTGTGTGGCTTGAGTCCGCGTAGGAGCCGCTTTTTGAATTTGGTTCGACTCCCCTCCGTGTTGTGCTACGTGTGTATGGAGCTTGCGTGCTTCTCGAAAGAAGGTTAGCGCCCTGCTAACAGAATATTTACAAAATCAGGTCACACGTCGGCAACAGGATCTTTATAAGCTCCAAGTCGCTTCAACGCTGGCTTGCGGTACCTTATCTAGTAGTAGAGTCACACGTGTACGGAGGCTTCGGTGCTGAATATGCTCTGAAGTAGGCACGGGGTGGGGGTTTGGCTATGATTTATATTTCCTTTTCTCTGAGGACATGAGGGAGGACCAAATGGGGTTATATTCTTGCCGGCGTGTGGATGGGTTGCTGCCGCTCGTGAGCCGGTGTGCATCTAGTGGGAGCTGGTCTGCGCCTTGGGGCAGCGAGCGAGAGCGGGTGTAGTAGTGCTGTGCTGGACCTGGCGTTGCGTGTTCCTCGATTTAGGTGTAGTGGGCGGTTTAGGGTCGATGCATATGACTGTGACTAGTGCTTGATAGAGAGGGGTAGGGTTATCTTGGGTTGCTTGCCGAGGTAATGGCCTGCTTGGCTGGAGGGTGGGTGTGGCACGGGCAACCGTACTTTTGGATACCTCGGGTGAACAGCTCCAGTGGAAGTATGGGGCAATTTGTAAACGATATGTTCAAACGCTCAGCCTCCTAGTTGAGCTGATCTGCTTGTCAGGGCTGGCAGCCCAGTTACCGGTGCTGTCGTACATCGTACGACACTGGACTCGTAAGCACCTGTCCCGCCGCAGCTTGTGGTATCTAAAGCGCAGCACCGTGCGCATCAGTGCTTAGCACCCGAATCTTGCTCTCGAGGGTTGTTGGGCTCGTTGTGACGAATACCGGTTAGACGCTAAGACCTGCGAGGCGAATAGGGCCCTAATTCCTTCCATAAAGCAAAGCGTCCCCTACCTCGCGTACGGACCCCTCCTCAAAAGCACCTCGCAGGTATGGGGGAGCCCCGCTGGAGATCCCCGCTGGGAACTGCACAGCTTCTGTGCAGCCAGCCATAGTGAGGCGCATCAAGCAGCAGCTGCAGCTGTCAGGACGCTCTGCGTACTCTAACCGCTTTCTGAACCACACTGCATGCGACTATATGTACTGGCGACTGGTAAAGAGGTGTTGTCGCGATATCCTGCTTGCCCCCACACCGTCATCCTCTTCCCGCATCACCCCCAAGATTGCGTTTGACGGCGTGCCCTTTTGTGGTTTCTTATGGTTTGGTCTCATGTGACCCCCGCCGGCTGCTGGGAGGTGGTTGCCAAGCACCGCGTGACGCAGTTCTACACGGCGCCCACCGCCATCCGCTCGCTGATGGGCTTCGGTGACCAGTGGGTGGAGCAGTGCGACCTCTTCTCGCTGCGTATTCTGGGCTTCGTGGGCGAGCCCAGGAGGGGAGGGGAGGGGATTGTAGGCGGGGGTCTGGGATGGGGCATGGGGAGGCAGCTGAGGACAGCGGAGGGAAAGGCAGGGGCATGAGGCGGGACAGCGTGATACCACATGCATGAGGAGTGGTGTGCATGTCCTTCACCTCCCTCCCTGCCCTCCTGCCTCCTGCCCTCCTCAGGTGCCCCATCATGGACACCTGGTGGCAGACGGAGACGGGTGGCCACATGATCACCCCGCTGCCGGGCGCCTGGACGGAGAAGCCCGGCAGCGCCACGCTGCCCTTCTTCGGCGTGCGCCCCGCCGTGCTGGCCGAGACGTGCAACGAGCTGCAGGGCGAGTGCGAGGGCGTGCTGGCCATTGCGCAGCCCTGGCCTTCCACCCTGCGCACCGTGTACGGCGACGACGACGGTCTAGCAGGTGTAATAGCAGAGGTGGGGCCCTCGGACTGTCGCGCGCTTATACGGCACTGCGGGCTACCGGACCTTACATATCGGACAGAGCACCACCCATACACACACACCGAACGCAATATCACCAGCTGGAGGCCAACCACCGGCCACCAAGTAAGAGCATACAAGCAGCAAACGCAGGGCAGACCCCTAAAGCGCCTTGTGTCACACCAGGCTTCAACAGCCCAGGCCGTAAGAACGCCACCACCGAACCCTTAGCAGGACCGCCCCTTCGATAAAGCCAGAACAGGGGCGCATAGGGGAAAAAGCCCTCGCTGCAGCAGCTCCGGCCAGCAACCGGCAGGCAATCAGGCTGTGAGACCCAGCAGCTGAACCCAGCAACTAACCAGCGAACAGCTAACTAGTTAACTTGTAAACACAATCCGAACTTTAAAGGACAACAAATGCAGAACTTCCCCCAGATCCCCGATCGCTAACCAACCTGACAGGCCGCTGCAAGACCAGCGACCAATCAGCATGTCAGCAAAGAAAAGAAGGAGGCTCTCCACGCACAGCCACCGAGCTCCCCCCGAGTTTGCATTTCTTATATAATTTTCCCCCCGAGGGGAGTAAACAAACAGGGTGGGGCAAGACCAAGAGGGGCCCGGGCAAACGGAGGGGATACGGCATAAACCACTCACAGCGATGCGTAGTGTAGACAGGAGGCCTGGACCTAGAGATCGATGGAGAGATAAGCGTCCCAGACAGCTCTGAATCTGCCGTACCGAACAGGGCTCAGTTCCGAAATCCGTTCCATGACTAAGCCAATGGAAATGCTCTGTGTGTACTGCGCAGATATAGCAACAAGGTTTTCTATGGCGAACAATCACGCACTGCGACGACATAGCATAGAAGTGTTTAAGCCGCTTGGCACATGTCAGGAACGATAGCAACCCCTGCCTTGTTCACTGATAATCGAATTCGGCATACCCCCAATACTATTTCGCATGCCCTTGTCCTATAGCAGCTGATATGCCGCAGGGCAGCGTTGTGGTGCTACGTAACGCCCCACACCAGATGCTGCATGCGGCAGAAAATCGACGGGGCTCAGGGTAAGACCGAGGTGTTACCTATTAGGATAAACATAAACATTATCTGTCAATTACTACAGCTCAAACATCAAAATCATAGGCGTTAAGTACCCCTTTTGATTCTGCTTGATCGTATACCGGTACTGAGGGCATGTGCGATATATAGCTTATACCAGGTTGCATTTGCGAACCAATATTATTGAAGCCATAGTCTTCAGGAAAATATTTTCGGGCAAGCTGGGGCCCTGTACGACCTCAGATTACGCGAGGCCGTATTACTAGGGTTTAGGAGTACCATCGCCAATACTATGGGTGCCCTTACTCGGGCACGTCAATCTCTCTCTAGGCCTGAATATTTTCCTATTTTGTGCGCTAGGTGGCAAGAGCTACGTCCCCACCCGAAAGCAAACAATGGCCATTTTCATTAAAAAAGACCTAGCATCAACCAAGAGGATTACTTGGCAGCAGACTCTTCTGAGTTGGTCGAGACTGTTTAAATGCTTCTCTTATGTTGAGCAGAATGGCGATGGTGTGGTAGCCGTTTTCGTTGAGGATGACTATACCGCTCCTGAGCAACTCAACTCGAACGGCCATAACGGACAGTTGTTCGCGGGCCGATTTTCGAACGGAAGGCGCTTCTTCGTCATCATGGTGGGTGATTCCGCAAGTGGCCTCGAGTGTTCACTCAACGTAAACGTACTCCCTACTGTACTCACTTGCATGTGATATGCTCATGCACTTCGATGCAGCTCGATGCCCCCAAAACAAAAAAATACCATAGCAAGGATGGTACTAGTGGTGCGCAAAATGTTATAACTGTAAATATAACTTTATATATACAGCTATATCCTGCCATCCTTGCTATAGTTACTTAGTCATGGCAAGCCGACCAGCATTCCTCGTGTTCGTGTCATATCCAATGCAGAATCCCCGCAATAATATCTTTGTGCGTCGCTTTGAGGATGGCTTTGGGATAAACGAAGTCGAGCGATACCTGGAGCAAGCTGCCATAGCAGCAGGTGTGGGCGGCGTCGCTGTGGCAGCAGCTGATGTGAAAGGGATTGGCGCTCCTATCTTTTGGGCAGAAGCCTTGGAGCTTGTCGGCTAAGCATATTAGGTCGGTGGGTGCTAGGTCGGTGGGTGCTAGGTCGGCGGGTGCTAGGTCGGCGGGTGCTAGGTCGGCGGGTGCTAGGTCGGCGGGTGCTAGGTCGGCGGGTGCTAGGTCGGCAGGTGCTAACGTTGCGCTGTCGGACCTGGGGTCTAAGCCCTAACTCCTAGGCCCAATGGGCTTACATCGCCCAAATGTAACCGAGTAGATGCAGTTGTAGACGCTTTGCTGTGAGTATGCTAGTGCTATGGAGCTAGCAAGTTTGGACGAGTTGGTCTTAACGAGAGTGCTGAGGGAGCCATGTTGGGTTATGACTGCCATTGTTGTATGCTAATGGTGTGTTTACGCGTAACAGGATTAAGATTCAAAGTAATCTTCGCGGGTGATTCCCAAACTGCGTTCACAAGGAACCCGAAGCGAAATAAGCCAACCACAATATCCTTGTGCGTCGCCCCTTCTAACCGTTCCAGACCGGTATACATCAAGACTTATTTGCAATAATAATTGGTTTTTACTATTGTAGCATCGCCTGGTCACCAAGGACATACCTGCCTGAACGTCGCGAAATGCCATCGTGCGACCCACACAAGACACAGCCGTTGGTGTCAGAGCATTTGCAATGGTCTCGGAGTCCGAATCAAGCGTAGGTCCAGCCTGTGCCGGGTCTTTCTCATAAATAACCGTTTTTGTATAGACATGCCCACAAACTGCCGTACCGGTACATCAACGTCATTGTAATTATGATGTAACCTGCTGTGTCAACGCTGCTCTTGTGGCTCAGCAATCCTTGTCACTGACTTGACTAATATGCATGGCCTACAGGCCAGATAATCGCACAACCGCCCCGGTCGGCCCGTATTGAAAGTCATACTTGCTCCGTAATGTCCCTACACATACAAAGACATAACTGGTACACGGCACCATTAGGAAAATGGATTGAAACTCCGCATAACTAGGCATGTCGTGTATACGTATATTGGGAGCTGGTATACGGTATCATGCGCATAAATATGCGTATAATGCGTATTATACACGTATGCGTACATGGCTGACCGTAGACATACCGGTCTAGGGCCACGCTCATACCGGTTCCACCATACACAACGTAGATAAATGGGGTCTAACAGGGCAAACACCGCATGTACCAGCCTCTAGGCGCCCACAGCCCCCCTACACGCCAACTGCACGCCGGGTTTGTGGCGTTTTCCTGTTGTACGGCATACACGACCAGGCTTCCCCGTATACGGAATTGGGCTTTTGTACGTATTTCGCATACGCTGCCCTAAAACTTTATACGTGTATTATACGCATAAATATGCGTATACGTAACGCATAGTATAATATACGCCGACATGCCTACGCATAACCCTGCCTAAAGCACCGTACAGCCACAAGCACAAAACAACATAGCAGCCACACTTCTTTCCTGGTGCAACACGCCTCATAGTGACAGGTTGCCGCAAATAAAGGGCAGTTTTCTGCGGACGCACGGGTGCAGTACGTATGTTATTGTATGAGGACACTTAAATTACCAGCGGTGGTGGTGTTGGCATACACAGGCTAGTTCCCCCCAATGCCTGAAGCGACTGCTGATGCAAGAAAGCCTTACGTAAAATTCCACTCAGTGGTAAGAGCAGTGGACACTGCAAGTGAAGCAGTCTACACATAGTCAGATGAAAGCTCTTAGTTTAACAGCGCTTGGTACAAAGGCACAGCTGGCTACGGATACACAGCGTGCCAGTGTTCGTTGCTCCAAACTGAGATTGACCCCCTTAGACCCCAGCTACATCGTGCGGGCCAGTGCTACAGCAGAGTGCTTTCATACTTGTCTTGTGCTGTATATGCAAATGGTCTTGTCATAGCTGCCGCTAGCCAGCGACTGGCCATCCGGGCTCCATGCCACGCTGTAGACGGCACCATCATGTCCCTGGGGGCGGCATGCATAAGGGAACGAGGCTGACCGTGCATTAGACCAAGATATATACGAAGGCTTTTGTGTAGCTGCTCAAAGACAAGTTGCTAATTGCCACCGCCCAGAGGTAAATCCTCCAATTCATCAACATATACGCATCGGAGGTACAGAAATCAGCTAAGACTCGAAGTATTGTTCATAGCTCGCTCTAGGCTATACTCCTGTTCCGTGAACATATCCTGGCGAGGCGGCATGGCAAGATCCGCAGAAGGAATAGGTAAACCAAGACAGCCAGAGGTGAACAGTGTGGCCGAAACGACCAAAACCCGTGGTATGGGCGGGACAAGCGAGGTGAGGCGCAACATTACCAGAGCAAAGGGATAAAAGATATAAAGAGCCACGGCACCTACAAACAAACAACACCGTCCATTACCTATTTGGGGGTCCGGAAGAGATCATTTCTTGCGCCAAGCTGGCATTGTCATCCAGCTGACTGACCCTGCCCAGCGGCTTACCTGTAGTATGGCAGTGCACTCGCCGCTGGCTGCATCCCACAGCCGGATGGTCTTATCAATGCTGCCGCTGACCAGCGACCGGCCATCCGGGCTCCATGCCACGCTGCAGATGGCTCTATCGTGTCCCTGGGAGCAACATGCATCACAGAACAGCGACTGTGTAATGGACTACGCACTATGGCAGCCAAGACCTTTAAGAGATGCGACGAGCCATCTCTTGTTATTGGTTGGGTGTGTAACCCCTACGGTCCTAGCCTGTGCGGACACACTGTACATGTGTTGACGAAAAATGCATGCAACCTAACCGGGCAGCTGGCTTGTGGACGACATGAGTTGTAAACACGTCTTATAATACCTACAAAAGCCAGGTATACACCTACAAAAGCCAGGTTCCTGTATGTAGCTCGCACTGCATTGCCTGCTTGCTGCCATGCATGCCTTTTTAGGTCACCTGCAGGGTGGCGGTGCACTCCCCGCTGGCTGCATTCCACAGCCGGATGGTCTTGTCCTCACTGCCGCTGGCCAGCAATTGCCCGTCCGGACTCCATGCAGTGCTGTTGATGGCTTTCCCGTGTCCCTGCTGGGAGCGAGCAGCATGGATGATTATGAAAGTGTGACCGTGTCATGGGCCAAAATCTATGGAGAGGCTTTTGCAATAATACCTGAAGACAAGACTTTTGCAACATGAGACGATTTTGTTTTGCTGGAGGCAGAGCACCCACCATGAAGTGGCTTCGGGGGCGCGCGCGCCCCCCCCCCCCAAAAATTGAAAACGATGAATGTTACACGTTAACGTTCAATATTAGGCTGACAATAAGCCTGCGATCGGTATGTACATCTCAGCACCATGTCACAAGAAGCCGTTGAGGATGACCAGTACTATGGGCATATCATGTCCGCTACTGCATGACATTTAGTAACCTGTACCGTAACCGAGCCGTGACCACTATATATAATGCATGGTTATTAACAGCGGCGTGTATAGTGTGGCAACCAGGAAAAGTCGTCGGGACCATGCTTGCGTCTACTGGGATCACACCGAGCATGTGCATCTGGTGGATACCGATTGCCCATGCATGAAGGATTCCGCCCTTTACAACTTTGGACAGAGCTTCGGAAGTTGAAATCCCTTGTCAGAGTGAACATTAGTAGGTTTTACGCTCTGACACTTGGGAGCCGAGCAGCAGGTTGTCAAGACATTCACTGACAACGTGTCATTTGGGGGCGTAAACGCCGGGGGCCCAGATTCATCAACAGGCCATGCCCAAACGGCGGCGGTGTTTGGCTGGGGCGGAAGGTGTATGTCAAGTAGGGCTGGAGTTCGTAAACAGGAGGTCAAATGGGGCAGGCGTTGTTACCTTATTGACATCAACTGGGGCTGGATGTAGTTTTTAAAACACATGGCAAAAAGAAACATGGGTACTACGGGTAGGTTTTCCCTACTGTAACGATGTTACAGTACGTGGCAATCGCCCCATTGCCACTTTTCAGCTTTGCATCAGCGCCTGCTGCAGGCTTCCCCCTTGAGGGCTGTACTTTTTTAGGACCCATTGATTGGGTAAAGGCTGTGTCATCGTGTGAAGGCCATTTTGCGCTCTTATTCTGGATGATTGCATCGCCTACTATGCCATTGACCTGCATCGTGTTCTGTAGAAGATGTGCCAAGCAACTCTTTCATTAACATACGATTGATACGAACTGTAATTTATGGCAGGACTTGGCCAGCCAACACCAAGATAGGCTTCAGCTTCCTTAAAGTTATTTAAGTTAAGCGGCGCGGAACAAAATGGCTGCTGGTGTTTCTTTTCCTCTGGCTGGGTGGCTCCCCATGTGTTCCAGGCCTGTGGGCCTTCCTCCGGGGGCCTTGTCCCCTTCGTTTCGGGGCTCTGACTTATTTTGTGGGCCTCTAAGTTTTCCTTTCTGGTTTTGTTTTGCCGGTTTGGTATCACCCGTTTTGCCTTGCTTTTATTCGGGTCTGGGGTTACTGTCACAGTTATTTCATTAGGGACCCATCCTAATTCGTCTATCCTAGGCTCTGCTGGTTAGGTAGAAGCTACCGCAGGTTTTTTATGGCGCACCAACAATGCGGCGTTGTGTACGTGTTTGTTCTGTAAACCAAATCTTCGCACCTAGCTGGCCTTGCCATGCCCGCTGGCTGCCATCACCACCGTCTCACCTGCAGGGTGGCGGTGCAGTCCCCGCTGGCTGCAGCCCACAACCGGATGGTCTTGTCCTCGCTGCTGCTGGCCAGCGACCTGCCATTTGGACTCCAAGCGATGCTGGTGATGGTGTTATGATGTCCCTGGGGGCAGCATCAGGGAAGGATAAATGCTCGCGCACTCGCAAGACTTACATATGCAGTTCGCCTGTGAGCTCACAAAGGGTGACAGTAGCGGCATTAAGCGTGATTAATGTTAAAACCATTTTTTACGAGCAATTGCGTAGAGACAAGATGCATCTAGTCGCAAATTCCATGGCGCCGCATCTGCTTTCAGTGTATTTTGTATTCAGGGCTAGCTAGTTGTAACTTGTACGGGAGGATTAGAAAAACGAAGCCGCGGCAACGCTGACCTTGACCGTAGTTTACGGGAGGAGTGGATGGGTTGGATTTACTGTACCTTTTTGAGTGGAGCCCCCTGCCGCGAAGCGGCTTCATTCGGGGGGCAATCCCACACATCCCACCAGACCGATGGTTGCCCCCAACAGCACATACACCCAAACAGCCGGACGCTCCTCATCGCCCAGCAGATTGCCCACGCCCGTGTGTCCGTGTGTCGGCAAAACGGCACATTATACAAACCAGATCATTTATTTTCGAACAACTATTATACACTTGTAAACTGCTTGAGTCAAACAAGATTTTGCAACAACGTTTCTTGACCAGCCATACTTATTGCTGCTCGCTACCTCCCAGCGTTACAGCGGAACCCACAACAAGTCCCATTGTCCGGTCCACCTGGGACCACTCACGAACCCCCATTTATTTAATTTGCATAAGTCGCCGACTGTACCAAGCAAGGTTGCACTTCCTAGCCCGCGGGTGCATCCCCGGCAGAAGGCCGCCGTGTGCACCCCGGCAACACAAACCGTGCCCCCCAACCTGTCGCCACCAGCGGGACCGGCTGCCGGCCCTACCCGGCGCCCGGCGCGGCCCGTGGGGTGGTTGGGTGACAACGCAACAAACGACACGCTGAACTCAGCATAACCCTAGACCTAAGGTGATGCGCCACCGGCCCTGAGCGGCGCCTGGTGGTGCCTGCAGGCTGGATACCAGGATAACCGAGCCACACAAGGCGAGCCCAAAACCCATAGTGCCAGGAAAACAGCCGTCCCTACACGGCGCCCGGCGCTGGCTACACGGGTGGGTGGGTGGGTTCATAGGGCCCGTCCTGGCAGAAGGACGGCACCTCTTGCATATGAAGTGGTACTGTGGCAAGTTAAGAAACCAGGCATAGCCTCTGCGAGAAAGCCACCCACCACTGAAATGTACGACATCGCTCTCACGCTGATCGGTAGCTTGCGCAATAAGTGAACTTTTCACTTCGTGACAAGTTAACACATTGGAGAGGACCACCGGGGCCACATAGATCACTGTTTCTCTGTAATTACACATGGTCACTATAAGGTAAACTGCTTGTAAGCTTTCAGAACTTGAGGATCCTTGCAGGAAAGTGGTTGTCTATCTCTCCCGACACAGCCACCCACACTTGCTAAACAGCCAAGCAACCTATTCCGAACAACTGCTACTCAAAACCGCGTCTGTAAGCAGATATGGAATCCATGTTTCTCGCTCTTGGATGCTGGAGCATAAATCTTTACTGCCTGTCCCCCCTCCAATATTTGATTTACTTCAATCTAGTTATCCTGGGATTCGTTCGGGTAGAAGCCAACCATATTATTATTAACATCGAAGGTGTATGCTCCTTCAATGTTGTCTGTGAAAGGAACTTGCAGTCTTACTAGAGGTACCATCCCTGGCTTACCTGCAGAATGGCAGTGCACTCGCCGCAGGCTGCATCCCACAGCCGGATGGTGCTGTCAATGCTGCCGCTGGCCAGTGAACGGCCATCCGGGCTCCATGCAGTCCTGAGGATGTCTTTACCCTGGGGGCAGAAGTATCATGGAAGGGTGACCGTGCCATACATGGACCAAGGTGAAGGATTGTCTTTGATTACTGGAAAAGGACAAACCGTTTACACAGAGTGGAAAGCAGCTGTCAGCTTGGCTTCAGAAAATGTGAGGGGTGCGGCTCTGTGTAGCCGCACATAGCGAGCCTGCCGCCTTACCTTTCGCTGACATATCGCCGTACCTTTCCGTGACTTTACCCGGCCCACCTACCTGGTGGTGCTGTATGGCTGTGTACCGTTGCTGATAACGTTGGAGGATAAATGTAAGATGTTCGTTCTTTGCAATCTGTAATGAAGTGGTGACTGTGCCATGGACCAAAGCCGGCAAGCCGTCTCTTGATAGGTTGTTTGAAGGCAGATATGCAACTAGATAGACCCAATCAACCCATTCACCGTTAGCGCCTTAGCACCGCAGGCATATATGCGGTAGGTGCCGGCCACCACACACGGCTGGAACCCACCCGGGAAGGCGGCAGTAGCAAGAGTGCACTTCTTGGGCATGGAAGTTTCACAAACCAGCACTTCACACTGCATGCCATTCCCACGACGTAACTCACTATGCGCGTATGCCATTCCCCACGATACGATTCAATGGGTGTGATAGATGCATGGTAGATAGGCAAATAAAGTTATGGGTTTTAGCATGAGTGGCCACTCCTGTTCTAAAACGCTGTCGCCGCATGCTACCTAGCTACCAACGAGTGTGTTATTGCTTCTGGGAAATCGAGGCTGCAACGTAATACAAGGTAAACGGCACTAGGCGTGTATGTGGCCCCTTTGCTGCCGTACAGGCAGGGGCAACTTTGTTCAAATTATGCTAGTGGGCGGGCGTTAGGGCCACGTGCCAGCCTTACCCTGTCTTGCCAGCCGGCATGCGCTGGTTTGGTCGCTAATAACATAGTACACGTTGTATGGCTATGACAAGACTCTGCTATGGCTAGACTTGTCGGCTATGACCAATACTGGCTTCGTAATTTGTGGAAGAAGTCCGGTCACTTCGAATATGAACGTTGGTTGGTTGGATGGGAATTTAGGAAAGCTCGTATTTATTACCTAGTGCGACGAGGTTCATGTGCCGTGGTCTTGCTTACGTTCCGTGGTTCAGCGTAAGCGGAACGATGTCGCTGTGTTTCTGACATGAAGGGGGTGGGGTGGGCTTTCGTTTACTCATGCACGGGTTATGTTCGTCTACGTAATCAGTACAGAAGAAAGTGTACTCATTAAATGGCGTTTATCTTTATACATTATATATACAAATTTCCTCTTGAGTTGACAACTGGAAGTCACCCGCCATGAATGATCACACGTACAGCATGAGGTACCAGCACTGCTGGCAACCCTCTGCTGCGTATCTATATATGCCCTTTGCGAACGCTTAAATACGATTTTTTACGGCATAGCTATTCTTTTACGGCATACACAGACGGGTGGAAATAGATGCCCAAGCGTTGAAGGCATGAAACCAGTAACCCAGCGCCAAAGTTTCGAATGGGGCACCCAAACGTCAATATTTATTATTGCTATTCTTATTTTGTACATGAAAGGATAAGGGACTGGTACGAATGATTACACTACGCCGCAGAAGTCCGTGGGGTCGGTAGTTGCCTTTCGGGCATTTTCAACCCGTCAGCCCATTGTAGCGTCGTTGTACTCAGAACTCAACTAGCATCTCGAATACCGTAATTGCGTTTTCGGTAAAAGCCGCAATTGTTAGCAGCGACCAAACAACTGGCCGAGCCAAGTTCGGTATCACAGCCAAAATGCACACGTTTGCCTGATTCGCTTTCTACCTGCCATCGCCAACAGCCCCGCCCCTAATGCCACGTGACGTTCTAGAGTACACACTAGTCCTAAAGAATATGGGGTTGGCGTGGGCAAATGCAGGTGCATATTGCGCATGTGGAGGCGCGAACACGACCTTTCCTGTGAGATGCCTTGAGTGCGGTATCCTTTATCGTACCGCAAAAGCCTATGTATGAGACCGCCTGCGCCCCCAGTAAGCATAGTGCTGTGAGCCATAGCTCGCATACCTGCTATGCATCGCAGCAGAAGCAGAGGGGCCTGGGCGAAAAATGATGGAAAGTGGTTGACCACCGCACCGACCAGGAAAATGACCATCTCTGAAACACAACACTAAGACATACCGCCTGCTGTTTAATGCACGCGCGTTGGAGTGTGCGAGCAAACATGTACGGCAGAAGCGCCTGTGCGCCACAGTCCACGTAAGCAGGTAGCAAGGCTTTCATTTGATAGGGGATAGGAGAAAACGGTTTCGGGGTGGGTGGTACCCCAGACGTCAACACCAAAACCACACCGACTTCTGCGGCGTGGTGTTAATACGCTCCGTTCAGCGTTCGTATAGCCCATTTTGTTTAATTTACGAGCCCCGGCAAATATGCGTAGGTGAGGCATTCCCGTAACCAAGAAAAACAACCAACCAAGAACGGCACAACCAAGTTGTACCTATCATTACAGCTACCTGTAATTGTATAGAAGCGGCGTACTAATACGTACGTAATACTGCATAAAAAATCTCAAACGGCGTCGCGGTATTTTGTAACGGGTCCACATGGCATCCCCTGCCTGCCTATGTGCTGCTACGCCCATACATCGGCTCACCTGCAGGGTGGCAGTGCACTCGCCGCTGGCTGCATCCCACAGCCGGATGGGCTCGTCACAGCTGCAGCTGGCCAGCGACCGGCCATCCGGGCTCCATGCGATGTTGATTCCGATTCCATGTCCCTGGGGCAAACCACGCAATAAGGGTAATCGTAGCCATACCGATTACCGCATGCATCTAGGTGTCTATTCCAGCCATGACTCCAATCTCCAAAATTCGCATACAAACATGTATGTGAGATGGGCATAATTACCGGAGACAATCCAATAGACCCACTGATAGCCATACGAGAATATGGGTTCCATAAGGAAATACGGTTTACCCAGGAGGGTTGCAAAGGCCTGTACCCCATGGCCCTCCGGCCCCGTGACACCCCAAGGATGATAGGACTCGCCGAAACCTGTCGCTGAGTATAACTCTGTATAAACGAACCAACCAGGAATCCAGCAAAATCTTACACATTTAGGGCAGCGTACAGGATGTAAAAATCCTCATTACGTATACGGGGAAATCTTATTGTGTAAGCCGTGTAACAGGAAAGAAACCCAAACCCGGTGCTGTCGGCATGTAGTAGGACAGTGGGCACGCACGCCTGGGGCCTAGAGATGGGTAATGCGATGTTTGCCCCTTTAAGCCCCATTCACGTTGTGTATGTATGGTGGCACTCGGTACAAGCATGGCCCTAAACCGGGATGTCTGAGGCAAGCCATGTCCGCATACGCGTACCATACCTTTTACATGCATATTTATGCCTGTAACACTGTGTGCGAAGTTTCAATTTACGTACATATGATATGCCTAACGACGTGTAGCATCAGGAAGGGTGGCCGTGCCTGGCTGCCATAAATACCCATCGTCTCACCTGCGTTTGGAGCTTGGCAGTGCACTCGCCACTGGTTGCATCCCACAGCCGGATGGCGTTGTCAGCGCTGCCGCTGGCCAGCGACTGGCCATCCGGGCTCCATGCCACGCTGTAGACGGCACCATCATGTCCCTGGGCGCAGCATCATGGGAAGGGTGCGTGGCCGCGCCGCTGCATTCAATTGATACTAAGGCTTGTTGTACAGAGGCATGGGAAGACCTTAAGTAAGGAAAGACCTAAGGACTTCGAGCCATCATGAGAAAGAAATTCGGGGATTACCCCAACAATAAATGCGCTACGAAAACGAGATGAGATCAAACTAGATCCATGTTCGTTTGGATGTTTTCCGTTTGTTCATGCCTAGCAGCTGCGACATGGACATGCCCACTGCGACATGGACATCGTCCACAGTTGAGGCAACCTGCGAATTTGTCAGATGAACTCGTCATATGAGTATTCCATCAGAGAAGACAGCGGCGGACACAGACACCCCAGCAACCTCCCACGGCAAGCATTCCCGGCACCTGAGCAAGCGGAAGCGGCAGACCGGCCGAGAGCGTAGCAGGCACAGGCACCGGAGCAAGCAGTAGCTAGCAGCGCGGCAACACAGCCGCGAGCTTTCCGTGCTCGCGTGGTACAGGCATGAAAGCGCTCAGAAGCATCTAGGTTAAGGGAGGCAGCAAGACAGCAAGCAGTGGCAAAAAGAAACGGAAAGGCGTCGTGCATGCAAGCAGCAACAGCTAACAAGGAGCGAACAGGCTACAGAGCCGGCCGTAGGTGCAGGCCGCCATCTTGTCCAAAACCAACATGGCAAGGGACAAGAGGGGGGGGGAGGTAAGTGCAGAAGCTGACAATGCAATGCGAGCAAGGCGAGTGATACTGAAGTTATACGGTGTCTCAAGCCACACAGAGTTGTATGCCCAGGGTACTAAGCAAGCCTGGGCTAGGTAGGAAACTGACCCATGACGTACGCAACTCCCCGACGTTGGAAGGCCTCCCGGACGCCGAGCGCCACAGGATGATAGCGGCGGTGCAGGCGCGTACCGCAGAGAAACTAGAGTTTCATGGGCCCGCCACGGACAGGGCGAGTGCCCCCGCCGCCGCTGTGGGCCCATGTGGGGCTGGCGTCGCATCTGGTAACATGGCTAACACGCAGGCAAGTAAGGCTTTCACCGGTTCATGGTAAAAGCTGTTGTTTCTAAGCTTTTTGGCAAACAAACTGAACTCACTTCCAGTTACGACTTAACTGTATGTAGCTGGCACCGTCATGCCTGCTTGCCACTTAACCTATCGGCCCACCTGCAGTGACGCGGCTGTGCTGTCGATGCTGGCTGCATCCCAAAGCCGGATGAAGCTGGTCTTCGAGTTTACTGCGTAATCATTGCAGCCGCTGGCCAGCGACCGGCCATCCGGGCTCCATGCCACGCTGTTGATGACCCCGTCACGTCCCTGGGGTTAACGCCATGAAGGGTGACCGTGTCATGATTTCAATCGACACCAAGGCTTTTAATGCATCAACCAAGAGAAGACGTTAAACAATGGCATGTACATTATTGATGGCGTCTGGTGAACGGAGGGGTACCGCGTAGAGACAGGTATCCGCCTTATTGTGACACAAGAGCCTTAGTCGTGTACCGCCGGAGCAATGATGCGACGTCAGAGGCTGAAATAGTAGTTGATTGAAAGCGGCGCCAGAGCTTTGTACCCTTTCGGGTAATTTTGTTTTCTTGCCGCACAGTAATGCCGTTTGCCACCGGTTTACTTACTGCAATTTTTCTGCCTATCTAGAGTGTGCCGTCATTACTACAAACGAGAGGAACCTTACGTATGTGTGACCAGAACTAAATTCCCTCGTACATTCACCTGAATACCTCCTAACTCTAGCAACTTGTAAAAATCGATTTCGTATATACCTAACCCGTGGAAGCCAGGGGCAAAAGCGAAACCAAAATAAGAGTGAGTATCTGACGGAAACCAGTTTCTGCTCTGTCAACCTAAGCCTTCCTTGCGATGTAACACTACCCTTGTCGGCGACAATGTGACAGCCCGCCAGCCTTAATTGACATGGCGGCGCCAGCCCGTCATATTATGCCTTTAACGCAAGTACTGCAAAAAGCAAGGAATATCACCTTTCCAAGGCAAGGGCCAGCAAGGGGTGTCGTCTTTACAAACAAGGCGTGTCGCCTTTCCTATCGTCAGGCTCTACCCCTTTCCAGCATCGTGAAAGCTGGACACTAGGGGGCCCAGCTTGTGTTCTGGTTGGATAGAAGTTACTGCCTTTATTGGGCAAACCAATCACACAGGAAGCAAAGCCGACGAAGCATTGCATGATTTTTTTACCCTCTGCAAACCATTAATATGCATCAAGAGATTAACAATATTGCAATGCCTGCTGGCAAGTCCGCCGGCTCACCTGCAGGGTGGCGGTGCACAAGCCGCTGGTGGCATCCCACATCCGGATGGTCTTGTCCCTGCTGCCACTGGCCAGCGACCGGCCATCCGGGCTCCATGTCACGCAGTGAATAGTGTTCTGATGCCCCTGGGGGCAGCATCATGGAAGTAAGGATAACCGTGCTGTATGTCAACCGACGTTGGTGGGCGTTTTGTGAAATAGCCTGAAGAAAGCTTTAGGACAATGCCGAGTCATCTTCTGAGCGTGTAAAAGATTAACCATGATAGAGAGTGGAAAACAGGTACCGGTATGCATCTGGACGTACGTGGCTTCATGGCTGCAAGCATACAAAGCCGTAGTTGCAGAGGCTGTGGTTGAAAGCTACAAAACCGAGCGAACAGTTTGACGTGCGTATGTTGTACCCCGAAGCCAGTGTTATAAATGACATATGCACGACATCGACATCGAGGCATCCCAGAAATACTTTAAGCGTGCTGCTGGAAAACCTCCCGTACCTTGTACGTAAGGTCACAAACATTTTTTAAGTGCTAACCTGGCTCTTGCTCTAGGATAATAGGATATGGAACAGCGGGGGCGGTGTAGAGAGAATGAACAGGGGAGGCAGGGTCAAGGCAAATTTGTGTCTCGGTGACAATGTATTGGATAGATGGCACTGGCAGTACGGTACTGGTACCGATACTGAAAAATGGATGACAGCATTATTGGTATCTATGCTGGCGGCGTTCTCTGGATTGCAGTGTTGGTAAAGACATGAGCATTTTTACAATTTGCCTGCGTTTTCGTCAGAAAATGTGTAGAAGCATTTGCCAAAATCCTAGCGTGGTCCAGAAATGTGCCGAAATGCATATATATTTCGTTTTACCTTTATTAAAACTATTCTTAGGAAACTTATCTACAAGTAAGGAACTGTACCGGTCTTACGGCAAAAGGCCGACGATGAGCTCACTTCGGTATGGTTGGATCTATCTAGCGTTGCCATGCCTGCTGGCAATCCTATATACATGATCCGTGGCTATACCTGCATCGGCTCACCTGCAGTATGGCAGTGCACTCGCCGCTGGCTGCATCCCACAGCCGGATGGTGTTGTCCCAGCTGCCGCTGGCCAGTGACCGGCCATCCGGGCTCCATGCTACACTGTATATGGAGCTAGGATGTCCCTGGGGGCCGCATCATAGGAGGGTGACCATGCCATGAACCAAAGTTGTTGCCAGGAGCCTGAAGGAAAGGCTTGGCTCATTAATCGAAACTTCAACTCTTGAAGCATGTTGATTATTTGCCATATAGAGAATAGAAAACAAATAGAAGACATGCATGCATCTAGATGTGACCCAAGAGCTTCAGAGTATTCCGTGCCCTTCCAATTCTGGCATAATAAACACGTCAGCTTCACATCACTCTGAGAACGCCCAACAATCGTATTATTTCCCAGGCTCGTCAAGGGGGGGTAGGAACTGCAAACCCAAATTGAAGGCGCTTTGCGTGGGGATTCCGAATCTGCTTTCAGAGTTTTGTTTGGAGTTGTATGGAAAACGTCTTGGGCTTGAAAAGTTGGTTGTACGGCAGGGGTGGGTGGGTGGGTTCAGGGCCCCAACGACTCTTGTATGGGAGGACCATGGTGCCTCCTAGGCGCCTAATGCCGTCAGTCAGGGTTGAAGCTGGGGCCAAGAACATGGTTACATTAGCCGTCCATAGTGCAACACTGTGACATTAACATATGTGCGCATGTTGCCAGGGTGTTTATGGTTTTTTGACTGCATGTAATAGGGTTTGCGCAGGGGAACCTGAAGGTTTTTTTTCCCGGTTGTTTTGGCATGGCTTACAGGTTGTACGACACGCTTGGCGGTGGGTGGGTGGCCCCGAGGCCTTTCCTTTGAAAATATCGGGTTGGGGTTTATAAGAAAACTTCTTACCCCCAAACTCGTGGTATACAAACGGCAAACCATGATGTTAACAGTCGTTGCATTATCTCGACCATTAACGAACACGCAGACTTGAAAGAGGGGACATCAAGTGCCTCTGGGTGCTAGGTTGCTGTTTTGGGGCGCGCGGAGCTCCCGTCGTGAAGCAGCTTCGTGGGGTTGATGCCCCAAGGATTGCCTACGTACGTCTGTGTGCAACGGCAAGACATACAACCAGACAAAACAAACATTTGCAAATAATAGGTATCTGTGTTTAGTAAAACTAATGCAAGATAAACAAAAAACATTTTGCATCAAACAATCTCCTGACAATCACCACCACGGCCATTGCCGCTCAACTATTGTGGTGACACTGAAACGGTACCGTAACTAATGTTCAGTTAATTGGTTTCGGCGGTGAATATCGGCAACCTGTATAATCCGGTGGGACCATGCTCGCATCTACTGTCAGGCGACCTCGTCTGTAAACTAATGTCATCATTGGTAGTCTGTTATACGGTGTTCCATATTAACCACACCAACAACGCGCACCTAGCGGATAAGCCTTCCCGACGACGTTACTCTATGCATGTCGCTACCAATGCTGTCCAACATAACAACTGCTTAGGACAAGGAGTGTCAGCTTTCTAGTCAACGGTGTCAGCCTCTCAAGCCAGGGGTGTCAGCTTCCCAAGCAAGGGATGTTACCGGTAGCTTACCAGATAATAGCTTCTTTAAAAGGCTGGGCCGTGTGCCATAATAAGGATAAGGGGTGTCAGCTCAATTGGTGCCATGGGTCAACATGCGCATGCCGCGCCATTCCAATGGCCACCATATTCAGACCTCTTTGCCCGACTACTAAGAATACTGCGCCCCTATCTACAGGGATGATCCATTTGTCAATGTACCTATTATGGGTTCAAAGGCCTACACTGGCACAGGTGGAACAGCCCGACTTATGGCAATATTTGTTCGAACCCATACCATCCTGGCTTGCTGTAATGCCCGCCGCCTTACCTGCAGGGTCGCAGTGCACTCGCCGCTGGCTGCATCCCACAGCCGGATGGTGCTGTCGGAGCTGCCGCTGGCCAGCGACTGGCCATCGGGGCTCCATGCCACGCTCTTGGCGTCTCCATTATGCCCCTGGGTGCAGCAGCAAGCATGGGAGGTTATCCACGACATATGCATGATGCACGGCCTTTAAGGAGGCTTTTTCGTTACATTGCCAACAAAATGAAGTTCATATGCACCATTCGTTAAAGATTTTGTAACTGATTCTTCGACAGGATCTTCTGCCTAACTTGCATTTACATGCCGGGTGACTGCCATAGCCGCCAGCTTACCAGCAGTGTGGCAGTGCACTCGCCACTGGGTGCATCCCACAGCCGGATGGTGTTGTCAGTGCTGCCACTGGCCAGCAATCGGCCATCCGGGCTCCATGCCACGCTGCTGATTGCCCCATCATGTCCCTGGGCGCAGCATCATGGATGGGCACACGTCGTAGATAGAATTGATACGATTGCATATGAATATTGTAGCAAACCCCTAAGAACATCACACGAATGACCAGATTCAGTATCACCACTACCTTAGTAACGCGAATGTTTTTACAAAATAAATAATTATTTGGGGCGGTAAAATTGTGTCAGGAAAATTCCAGCCTCCCCGGTAAAAACATTTACGTTCTCCCAGAAATTCAGGGGTCGCGGTAAAAGTGTTGGGAGGAGAAGAGGTCGGCTGGGGGAATGGTTGGGATGAAGGGGGCTGCGGGGGGGTGGACGTGGTTAGGGGATATGGGCTTCGGAAGGAAATGCTGGGATCATGGCCTGAGACAAGGGGTTCACGGGCCCTCGGACTTCCGAATCCTTCCAAACTGCAATCTTTTGTCCCCCATGCGCTTCCGGCCTCCATGAATGGTACTTGGGGTCGGGTTGCAGCCGTCGTGGGGAGACCGCTCACAAGGTCAACGCTAGCCTCAAAGGGGCCGGGTAAAATGTTTTGAGTGCCGGGGAAAACCTCGGGACCTGCCGTAAAACACTTTCACTTGTAAAAAGTATTGGAAAATTATTTCGCTTCGGTAAAATCTTTAAAAGAAAAAACATTCGCGTTACTACGGTATCAGTATCACCAATGTGTGTGAACACCTTGAGCCACGTGGGCCTCCTCAAGGGGGTATATTGACTTGTTACATGCCGTCATCTATCTTTGCTTGAACGGCTGGTGAGCAGTCGAAAAGTCCATGGTCATCATGATTACGCACGCAACCAGAGAGCCCATTGAAAATTCTGGTCATTGGCTTACCTGCAGGGTGGCAGTGCACTCGCTGTTGGCTGCATCCCACAGCCGGATGTACGTGTCCTCGCTGCCGCTGGCCAGCGACCGGCCATCTGAGCTCCATGCCACACTGTAGACATTTGTATCATGTCCCTAGGGGCAGCAGCATGTGCGTGTGACCATGACGTGAACAGAAACAGATGCAAACCTTTTGGGAAGCATAAGAAACAGAGGGAACTCAAGGCGTATAGGTGCATACCTGTGACTACCAACAGCAGTGTCACCAACACCATTATCACCGCCAACTCAGGAAATACTGCCTTTTAGGAATAAATAGAACAAGAAATTGCCATTGACTTCGCTTCGTATGAGCATAGTATCTAATCTAAAGACCGATCCTTCCGCCTTGGTGGCATTACCATACCATGCCCGGTCGGATCGCTCAGCAGCTTACCTGCAGGATGGCAGTGCATTCGCCACTGGCTGCATCCCACAGCCGGATGTTCTTGTCCTCGCTGCCGCTGGCCAGCGACCGGCCATCCGGTCCCCATGCCACACTGTAGATGTCGCCATTATGTCCCTTGTGGCAGCATCGTGTCAGGGTGGTCACGTACGCAAATTAACATAAGAAGATGACATGTCCCCTGGCAGACGTATGCCCTTGGCATTGCTGTAATGCTTGAGTGCATGGTTGCGTTGGTAAGTGTGCTCCAGCCCACCTGCCACTGCGTCCCTGACATGACCCCGCCATCGGTACGACTGCGCCCCCTCCCCCGGGTAGCAGTTTGGGCTTGCACCCCACCGCCCTCAGCACCAGATGCAGAACCACGCATGTTTCCCCCTGCCACGGGTGTATCGTCATTACGCCTGTTGCGTGCCCTCCCCCTTCAACCTTGCCCTAACTTTGTGATCTTATTCGTTTGGTTCCTCTTTGGGCCCCTTCCACCTTAGCCCCAGTCCCTGCTGCTTGCTTTGCCTCTGGAGAAGCCATACCGTGTATGTTGGGCCAGCTAGGGTCGTCCATGTGGACATGCCACCCGCAAACTCCACACGAAGGCTCGAGTATTAACATAGTATGCATATACTATAACAGGAGTAGTAAATCTGCTATCCGTTTGGCGAAACGATACCTAGAAAAGAACATTTTGGAGGTCAAAGAAAAATGTCATGGGGGCTCCGGACCCACCTACCCACCCCTGCCGTACGACCAACTTTGGGAGCCTATAATTTTTTCCGTACAACTCCGGTTACAATTCTGAAAGCGGAATTAGAATGCTCTCGTTGAGTTCTTTAAAATTGAAGCATGGGGTCATTTTGCGGCGAAACTAACCCCCCCTGTACAGCCCAGTACATAGCCCTGTAGGTTAGCCTGCAAGCTTATGTAGTAAAGTGTTCACTATCGGCGTTTTCAGGTCAATCCATCCTGGTGCCCATAAGTATTGAGCACCAGTGTTAATATGGTTTTAGCATTAAACCTTTGTTTGATGTTTCCAGACCTATTCAGCAGCATACGAACCCCAACTTACCGTGAGTTTCAGATGCTGTGCAGTCCAGGTCCTGGGTGCCCCAAGCTTGCATTTGAGCCTCCATTGGGACTGAAGGCCCTGTGTCGCGGACAATACTCGATAATGTGCTTGGGCCTGCCTAAAGACAGCTGTGTCAATTGGACACTTCAGGCACGTGACCACCACGCCATTTGCACTCCCAGCTTCTTTCAATTCATGCTGCCAGCTGCTTAACCATCGGAGTGCATCAAACAGCTTGGATGTCCTGCTAAGATGCTCGAGGGCACGAAGGTCCCTGATGACGCTGTGGCCCACACCGCTGCTGAACACCTCATACACGTAGTCAAAGTCCCCCAGCAGCTCCTCCAGCAGGCGGCAGGCTAGGTCAGCCCCCTCCGGGTCCTCCTCCGCCTGGTTAAGCACCTGCACCAGGTGGCGCACTGTGTACTGGCGGCTGTAGCTGGCTGACCACTGCTTTGCTGCTGTCTTACTACTGCTAGTGCCCGTGCTGTTGGTGCTGGTGCTACCAGCGGGCAGCATAAGGGCTGAGATGGAGGGTGTAGGTAGCAGGCCCGCGGCCTTGGCCGCCTGCTGCGACACAAGCTGGACCCCCACGGGACCCAGCAAGGCATGCCCTGGCAGTGGGTCGACCCAGTAGAAATTGGACGCGCCACCATCAAGGTCGGGGGCTGACAGGAAGTCGTGGAAGGACTTGTGGAAGACCAGCATGTGGTTGTCACGTAGCATGTAGAGGGAGCCCAGCTTGCTGAGCAGCTGCTTGACCTCTTGCTGCGCCTCACTGGGCCGCAGCTGCTGCCGCACGCCACCTACCTGCAGCCCGCTGCTGTTCCAGGCTGCTGCCAGCATGTCAACGTGCAGCGGCTCCTGGGCCGCCAGCAGCAGCTGCAGCAGGCGCTTGACGCCCACGAATGTGGAGCTGTCAGGAGCACCGATGTGCTTCTGCAGGAAGTCGGTATAAGTGGCGTAGAGGCCCTCGGGGAAGGCCGCCAAGTCCGCTAAGCTCCAGTGGGCCTTGGCATTCAGCCCATCCATCAGCCTGGTTAGATGCAAAGAGCCGTTTAAAAAGACGTTAGCCTTGCAAGCATATGACAAATGGTGAAAACATTATCCTTTTGACGTGGAAAAGATGTTGATGGAAGACAACGAGCCGGATAGTTGTAGCAGTTGTGATGATGCACGATATAACCCGCCGGCTTCACTGACAATGAGACTTACCCCAGTACCCAAATACCATCGCTCCTATTGTCTCCTCAATTAAACGTAATGGGTGTGTTGTTTGGCAGTAACGCGTGTCTGGGGTGTGTGTTAAAATAACTGGCCGCAAGGCGAAACATACTGTGATTGTGTGTGTGTTTTGCAGTCGTTTGCTGTCTTTTGCCGTCTTTGCTGTCTATTTGCCGTAATACATGGTAGCTGCGAAATGCTGTCACACGTTTTTCCCGAACACTTTCCTAACCCTTATGCAAATCAAGGCCAAGGTGGCGCATGCTGGCCGTTAAGGCATCAAGCATCTATCTCGATCATACCCAAGCCCAACGTCGAGGAGCCCGCACCAAGTCGTCTCATCTCACAAGGGCATAGCCAAGATCCCTAAGGTGTCTACACCGGACTTGGATACGCGAGAGAAGCGCGTTCGTGCGGTCCCTTACGGTGTCGTGTGTACTAGTACACCAGCAGGTCCTATGGCAACACTCCTAGTCGGCATCCACCTAGACTCCACCCTTGGGTGCATTCGTGAAGCTTTTTGGGGGTAGGGTTCCGTCTGCGTCTGCGTCTGCACTTTTTTTGCGCGTCAGGCTTACCCAAAAGGTACACGTGTGGCCAACATGCACCAAAATATACAGCAGACTACCAATCGGGCGGCGCTCACCCACAGGCATAATTGGCCCCCCCACAGGCATAGGTGGCCCCCCAGCTCCAAGCATGCATGGTCATCATGGATTGCCGATTTGCAACGTCGCTGTTTCCAAATCACGGTTACAGTTGAGATGACAATTCATGGTCTTGCAGTTAATTTTGCCTAACAGAGATCGGAAGTACCTATATATAGTTATTGTATGCTATGGGTTGTATGTGTTTTATTTGTCGATAAAGACGGATGAACGGATGGGCGGGTGATGTCCGTGCATTTTGATTTCAGGCTGGGTTTCACCCCCTCAAAGCCGCATTGCGGCGGGGGCTGCTTATAGAAGCGAATGTCCTGTAAGGTACTGTGTCGCTGACCACCATTTCCCACAAACAGATGGGACCTCTGAAGGAAATACAGTTAATAGCCACCTCCTTTGCGTAACTCACCTGGCCACGTACACGAAGGAGCCCTTGCTCTTGTCCAGCAGCAGGTCCACCGCCTCACCCAACTCCTTAGTGGTCGGCTTACGAACATCCTCGCCAATGCCACCAACAGTGTCAGCAGCCTGCCCCCCTGCCCCAACCCCCTGCACCACCAGCCGGCTGCCCAGCTCATGAGCGATGAGCTGCCGGAGGTCTTCCAGGTGGCGCGGGTCGTCTGGCTCGATGATGAACGGGCGGAAGCACATGTTCAGCGCATGGGTGATATGCGGCTCAGGTCGTGTGGTTAGCATGAAGCGGACGGCCTGGGGATCAGCAGGGCAGGCAACAAGCAGAGAGTGGTTGTCAGCATTATACATCAATGGCTGTAGACAACACGCGATTCAGTCTCGAGATTAAAAGCAGACAGGTGTGGAGTGTTGAGACACGCAGCATGTTTCCCCCTTAATGCAGATTACTGCTTTGGTCTTAAACGTTACAGGAGAGAGCCCCTTCAGGCTAGTCCAGGCCATTCAATTTAAGATGACATCCTCAGCTGGGTAGCCCGGCTATCTTCAGTATGAACGTACGGTACCACACTCACCGGGGGCAGGTTGACGAAGTGCTCACGAATGAGCCGCAGCAGCGTATTCTGCGCTCCACCACCACCAGCCGAGCCCGCCAGCTCCATCTCATCTAGTGCGTCGATCACCACCACCAATGGCTGGGTCAGGGCTGCCAGCTCATCCTTCGGGAGGCACAGAGGATGGGATGGAGTACACGTGTATGTAGGGTGAAGTCAATCATCCACAGCAAAAAACATGATGCATGTCTTTCCAGGGTAGTTCACATTTGGAATAAAAAGCTAAACCCGATGTGCGCGCTGAACTGTTATAGCAACACAAGACTGCTGCACGCTACACAGCCATGGATCTAATGGTTAAACCAATACTCTACTTTGAAAGGGCCAGGCCCTTGGGAACATTGAAAAGCTTAGTGACCAAAGACGGTGGGCGTCATCTTAGCGTGAGTGTTGTGGGTGGGGTAACTCCTTTCCATGATGGTGCGAGCAAGGTGTTTCATGTCAGGCTAAAATGAGTCAAAGGCGTGTAAGGACCCTTGAATGCTCTTGTGACGGGAAGGAGTGTGATGGGCCATGTGCCATACATATGATGCCTAAGCACAGGGTAATCACAAGCGCTTTTCCCTTTGTACCAAGCAGTGAACCAGCTCAGGTAGACCGGTTACTCTTCGTGCCAGTCATGGTGCTTCCGCACACCGTACGCTTCTCGCATCACAGGGAGAGAACATCTGCCCGGGTTTCCCCTGCATGCGTACCTTGACGCTCTCCAGCGGCCCCGCCAGCAGCCTCTGGTAGGCAGTCTCCACGTCCCGCAGTTCCGCCACCTCCTTGGCAGACAGCGCGGGTGGCATCAGGTGCGGGCGCAGGGCGGGCAGGGCAGTGGCCAGCTGGTAGGCCAGTGTGCGCATCAGCAGTACCGGGTCCTTCCGGCTGGGGGAGGGTGGTTGGTTCAGCAGCACACATGCAGCCACGTACTTGGCAATTTATGAGAAATTAGGGCTGGAACGGAGCCCACCACATGCTCGCCCGAACGCAAACGTGGGTGATGCGTACACGCGTGTTAAAGCTGTCTTCAGGACATACACCGGATACATTTCGGACTGGGAGAGCAAACCAAGGCATTACCAAATGAAGTTAAAATCTTCAGCTTACTTGTTATCGTTGTGCCTACAAAAGTAGTGCCCAGCCACCGCCGAGCCCACCAGCTCCCCACCACCTGTGTCCGCATCCTTGGTGAACACGTGCTTAGACACCAGCGCCGCGGCCACTGTGGATTTGCCCAGCCCCGGGCCGCCGTAAAGCACCAGAGCACGGTAGTTGGGGTCCTTTGGGTCCTTGGCAAGCCACTCCGTGTACGCCTGGAATAGCCAGGACCGGCTGCCCGGCAGGAAGCGCGTGAGATGGTTCGTCACATCCGAGGAGAAGTTGAAGGGCTTCAGCACGGCCTTGAGCTCCCGCAGCTCCTCCTGATCAACCGCCGAGAGGAGCTTGGGGTCAAAGTGGGCGCACAGCAGGTCGATGCAGGATGACAAGTTGGCTGGCTCAGAGACGCCGGCCAAGGCTGCCCACTCACAGCACCTGTGCATGGAACACGCAGTGCTGTTGTAAGAGAAACGTACTTGATGCGATGATGATAGTGAAACCCGAAATCATACTTTAACACTGCTAGCTAAAACTGTGCAGCAAGGCGGCGGAGCAAGGCTACAATATAAGCGCCCCAGCGGGAAACCTCAGGACATCTCATAGGCCTGTTGGAACAGGAGGGGTGCGGAAGTATAGTTCTGTACCTCATGCCCCTCCCGGGCCCGAGACACCCCGGGGGTAATAGAACTCATCGAGATCTGCCCCTTGAACTATTTTTGGGAGCCGAAAGGGGGTCCCTGGGGGGGGAAATTATATAAAAGTGAAACAACCCCCCTGGGGGGGGGTCCCCAAGGTGGGGGTCTGGGCCATGTGAGAAAGACAGGACAACTTTTTTCCTGGTGCAAGCTTAACACGAATAGAAATTGGAATTATCTAATATTTCGAATCCCTACTGTTTAGCATCAGTTTAAGCTCCAAAGGGACGAAGAAAGCTTCGTCGCCATCGCAATGCTCATGGTTGACCGAACTGCGTAGGAGCCCTAGGTCCCAGAAACACCGAATAGGTAGCAATAAATTATTAGCATAGCAGTCAGGGGGGGGGTAAGAACCGCAAAAATAGACCCCAACCCTCAAATCGAAGGGGTTTTGCGTGGGGATTCCGAATCTGCTTTCAGATTTCTGTTTGGAGTTGTATGGAAAAAGTTTTGGGCTTGCAAAGTTGGTTGTACGGCAGGGGTGGGTGGGTGGGTTCAGGGCCCCAACGACTTTTTTACATGAACCTCCGGAAAATTTTTCCAGGCCTCATGTTAGGATTTTGAAAGCTGTATTGCCATCCTTTCTTCGTTTCTTATACGCAGAATTAATTCTATCAACAAAATGGTCACTTCTCGGCTTCCGATGTTCCAATGACAGTTCACCTCTGAACCACGGTAGCCAAACGGAACTGCCCAATCCCCAAACGTACAAGAAACAACTTATGTAGAAAACATATATTGCGAACGCGGCTAGTCGACCCGTTGTAAAGGCCTAGCATCGCAGCATGTCGCATGTCTCCATGGATGTGGAACACGACTGAGGATACGGGGTTGGAGTAGACAGACTGAGCTGCGAGAAAGCACTTACAGTGACCACGAATGGGGTGGGGATGCAGAGCACAGAAACAAGAAGGCGTTGGAATTGGTGCCAGGGGCTAAGGTCGAGGGCCCAGTGCCACAGGGGGAAGAAGAGGCAGGAGCAGGGGCCTGGGACGTGCGTGGTGGTGGCGTCGTGTAGGTTGGTGACAGAACTGGCGGCGGTAGGGTGCAAATGGGAGGACCATGGTGCTTCCTAGGCGCCAAATACACAACATCAGTCAAGCTGGGGCCAAGAACATGGTTACCTTAGCCGTCCATAGTGCAACGCTGTGACATTAACGTCCCAGGGGGTTTGGGGTTTTTCGACTGCATTTAATAGAGCTTGCGCAGAGGAACCTAGACGCTTTTTCCCCCGGCGTTTTGGCATAGTTTACAGGTTGTACGACACGCTTGGCGGTGGGTGGGTGGCTCCGAGGCCTTCTCTTTGGAAATTTCGGGTTGGGGTTTATAAGAAAATTTCTTACCCCCCCCCTGTAGCAGTCCTGAATTTGTTTTAGCCAGGCAAGGCCCCAGCGCCGTGGCCTGCAAGCCAAGGCTCCTTTAATTAGCATTGCCAGACTGGCTGCTCTGCCCCCAACTAATGCGGCCATAACCCGGCTGCAAGATGGTGCTACCTATGACCACCACCTTCAACATCTCGGAGCGCCAAAAAGAGCAATGGGCTTATCAACGCGTGAATGTCGCAAAAATGTAGTTTCGTACACAAAAAGCCTTTGCCATACGGTAGTTTGGGGTGGTGGTGGGGGGTGGGGGGGGGTCCCCTGGGGGGCCACAGCGATCTCTAGCTGTGGCTTGACTTTAATGCACGAGTCACTAATGAAGGTTAAGAGCCAAAGTCAGATGACACTACTCCATGCACAATGGAAATGAACTTCTTTGCAGCACTTTATTTACTCCAATTATGTGCAGACTGACGCTGAAACGTCTCTACACGGTATGTCCAGGCCGTTGTCATACAGCCACCCTCACTCACCGCAAGTAAAAGCCGTAATACCGCTCCGTGTGCGCAATACCATTGCCGTCGAGGTCTATGTGTCCCTGCAGCAGCTGCCGCAACAGCCACTCGGGCTGCTCCCAGCAGCCTGGCCCATTCAACACCTCACAGGCTCCCAGGTTGAGGAGCTGCGTGGTGAAGCAGGATAGCAGCGGGTGGGATGGGGCGCAAGCAAGGTTGGGGAGGATATCAATTGCAATCGGCGACACAGTAATCTTAAAGCCAAAGCAAAGAGCTGTGCGCATGCACGGAAGCATGGGAACAGCTTTCAGATGCGTGCAAGGAAAGTATAGTTTGAGGCAGTTGCAAAGCAAACCGGGGCCAAAATCCAATACTGCAGTGAGAGCGAGGTCATGCCATGTAGAGCCTGACATGTAATGGGCTGCGTGCTTTATGCATGCCTCTAAGTGCATGCGTACGTGTCTTGCCATTCCAGTGGTAATAATACGTTCCTTTTCTCACGAGGAGGGGCTCTACTCTTAACCAGCTTTGAGATAGCTGAACCCCCTTATCACCAACACAAATGTACGATTCTTATACATCTGTAGAATTTCAGTAAAATGCCGAATGCACCTATCAAGATTTTAATTAACCCCAGTAAGAACAACAGGTATGCCGAGCGCACCTTAATTGCTCGCTCCTTGACAGCCGAGGCCAGGTAGGGCACTCTGTCCTTAGTTGTGGATACGACCTGCAGGCGGGTTGGGCACGCCAACTGGCATCTGTAGACGCAGGAGATCTAACCTGAGCCAACTCACATAAGCTAGGTCACGAAAATGGTGTCTGCGGCGATTGCTCCGCCAACCCAACACCTGAGCGTAAAGCAGGCTTCCCAATCTTTTGGCAGCAGCAGCTACACGGACAGCGAACACCTGGCTAACCCAAAATAAAGACGCCGACCACCTACTGCCTTCCAGTCAAGCGCCGATTTAAAGAAACGTGACGAATGCACGTGACACGACAAACTATCATCCTCCGTGCGCATCCTTACCACTTTGAAAAAGGCGTCAAAGTTGACACTGACAGCATTGAAGTGATCGTGCCAGAAGCGCCGCAGCTCACGCGGCAGCTTGTCAGGCAGGTTGACATGCCGCGCCGCCTCAGCAAGGTCTGCTAGTGCCGACTCGAGCAGTGTAAACTGGATCTAGAGTGGGAAAGCAAAATGTGTGGCCCTGCCCTCATGACATTCGAAGCATTTTCACACATCGGGCAAACAAGTCTATACTCCGGGATGGGCTACACCATCTGTACGTCATACTAGTAACTGTTCGCACATTACAAGAACCTATGGCAGCCACAAAGGTCATAATGCTGTTTTGCTGCACACTGCCGCCCCACTCCACCTGCGCCTCCGGCCGCATGTGCTGTTTCAGCTGCCGCAGCAGTTCGGGGTCTGCCACCACGACCGCCATGGCCTCCTGCACGTCCTCACTGCCGCCCAACCGGCACAGCTCAGCCCGCAGGGCAGGGGAACCACCGTCGTCGTAGGTCACAGCAGGTGGGGACGACAGGCAGCACTTGACAGCAAGAGTGGTGGTCAGGCGCTGCAGAGCAAGACGTACAAGGATGGCAGAGCCCCAAGTTCAAGAGACGTTTAAAACAAATGTCTGTACCCTATTCCCGCACGCACGCCTTGCCAGCAACTTAAAATGCACATTGTCCTACCTTGACATAGGAAGGATCTTTTACCAAGGCTAGAATCCCCAATTTACAAAGCACAGGAAGGGTAAAGTAATCCCTCTGCAGCGATCTAGTGCTTCCATTTTTGCACCCAACCCGTCAGAACCCACTAAAACCCGTTCGAGTTCGAATGTAAACAACACAGGGGGCAACATCTACCAGTGGTACCTAGCCATCAATTCTCGGCACTCACCACTGTGCACTGTGCTACATTGGTATTGTGATTCTCGAAGTCATCCTTGTCACTGCTGGCGCGGGCCTGGCGAATACAGGATGAAAACAAGAGTTTTGTAACGAACAAGAAAGGATGAACTAGGCAGAAGATACAGTAGGAAACAGTGTGTCATTCTTCCGATAGTTTAAAACTGCCTGGATGCAAACGATCCCCTGATTTTCTATGCAATGCCATCTAATACCAGAACTAAATTTGGAAGGGCACCTGGACCAATGCGCTGCACATCCCTTGGGGATCATGCATCCACCCTATCTTCACTAGTACATGAGCTATTCGGGCTGGCATACGTACCTTACTCGTCCAACAGTCACCTCAGCAACAACACCCCAACCCCCCGTGTATCTATGACAACCCACGCTAAGTGCATGAGCCTGCTAGGTAAAGGGATTTTCTTGCAGCTGTACATTCCCTGTATGTTATTATATGGGGCGATGGAAGTTAAGGTGCCATCAGGTGTAATTCCCCAAAACAGCATCCGTGAGTCCAAAAAGATAACCAAGGGCCTTGCCTAAGAAAAAGGAGTCTGTTTTCCCCTTCTCGGATTTTGCTTTCCATGTGCACCGTTCTGTGCATATCCACATCCGGATGCCTCCTCCCCCGCATTCCTGGATAGCGCCTGGTACTGTGTTATTCCTTGCTTGCCATTGGCACAGTGCTATCCCCTTCAGGTGCCCCCCCGGCAACCCACAAGCCGGGTCAGGAAGCGGCTCTTGCCGAACTTGTCCAGGAAAGCCGCCGCATTCTGCACTGCTGTCTCCAAGTCCCGCCTCTCTTTCTCCACCTTTGCCCATGCTCCCTCCTCCACGCCAGCGTCCTTTAGCACCTCGCGCGTCCACAGCACCGTATCCAAGAGCTTCTTGCAGTTGGCCGTATTAGTCACCGCACCATTCGCGCGCTCCTGGATGAGCTTCAGTGCAGAGCTGAGGGCGGGGCTGATGCCAAAGGGGTCGGGCATGATGGACATCACTGTGATGAGTGCGCCGGTGCCACTGGCAGCTTTGGTATAGGCGGTCTGCGCGACATCCTCACGGATTTGGATATCCTCGGGCGAGATGGTAACGCTGGTTCTGGAGGCTGCTATGCCACCAGTATCAGCGTTGGTCGTGGCTGCTCTGGCGGAAGGTTCCTGGGAGGATGGAGGTTGACGAATGACGATAGGGACATTTGGACAACAAAACAAACGGTTGGCAATTGGTTAAAAACTTAGGGTTACTACAAGCACGTTTCATGAGCATTCATAAGCCCACAAGCCCATGTGTTACGGGTGGCAGGGCGAAGGTCAAGAAGACGGCATAATGAAAAAGGCATGTCGGCTGCGCCGAACAGTTGAAACTGTGCACCTAGGGAGGGGGTGTGAGGGCATGCGGCGGGATAAGAGAAAGGGGCAAGTGACATGAGTCAGAGGAGCTAAGCACTGCCCTGCATATAGTCATGCGATTAATTAGATGTGCACATTGCTTACAGACGTAGCCTGGATACCACATACTCGTTTAGCAGTGAACGTATAGCAGCCTTTCCTTGAGAACAGGACCTTGTCACCGAAACACGCAAGGAAACACACCTTGTTACCGAACCACGAAAGAAAGCATACACAGCCGCCCATCCCTTTCGAACGCCTCTAGAACGCGAACAAGTCGAACGTAGGCCCCCTTACGATATGCGTATAATGCGTAGATTAATCAGTATACAGCGCTCCTTCGGGGTAAAGTGGGTGAAGGTGGAATGCGTTGCCACCACATCATAATTGCGTTAGTGCAGTTTAGGGCCGCATTTTAGGCCGCAAGCAAAGGCCAAGCGCGACAAGCATAGAAGTAAGTGACAAGCTAGTGAGACGCACTACTCGATGACTGTTCAAGCGTCCTTTTTTGCCATACTCCTATAATTTTATTTGCCGGGAATTGCAAGGGGGGACGCTTTGGTTGGTTCCAGGCGGCAGCCTAGGCAGTTGGGATTTGCTCCAGGGCAGGGCTCAGTGCGAGACCGCAGGCTCTGGCCGACTGGCCAAGTTTTCTGAGAATTTGCGACCAAGTATTACACCCATTGGTTACAGCAAGGGCTTCATACGACTTTCTGCTGACAAATTACGTCTTCATGCAAGAAGCTCACGTAACACTCACGAGTAAAGGGAGCTTTTTCCCTTTCCACGTCTTGAGAACATGCCGGAATGAAAACTCTACAATGTGGTGCTGAAAGGTAGCAAAAGGTCTGAAAGGTGTTGAGGCAACTAATGGCCGGGCCGACGTCCATCTCTACATGTCGTCTATTGCCGCCGCCCTGCTAATACCCAACAGCACCAGACAGCCAACGACAAGCCGACTGCGGGTTTTAAGTTGGGGTTGGAGATAAAACGCCGGCGTACGAATGATACGGCAGGGCGTGTGCCAAATAAAAGAGATTGGCGGGACTGCTGCTGTCCTAGGATCCGCTCCTTGGAACCGCTGCTGTCTCAGGATACGGCCAACGGACCCCTCCCTGTATCATCTGAAACTGGTTTTCCACAGGGTGACACCGCCATCACCATCACCCTCCAGCCGGTTGGGCCACGCGGGGAGCGAGGGCTGACAAGGAGAACGCGGAGGAGGAGAAGAAGAAGCAGAAACAGAGTGTGAGGTGTCCTCTAGCCGTCACAGCAACCATAGCCTCCTCACCCGCACCTGCAGTGGTGGTAGGTCAGGGTGTCATTCCCGTTTACTGGCACAGCTATTCTACCGTCAGCGGGTTGGACTACTGCCAGCAGACCCATGGGGCTGTGGCAGTAGCGGGCAACAGCAGTTAGTCAGAGCAGCCGAAGCAGTGATATTAGTCAAGCCTGTTAGTGGTTAGTATGCGTTGCGGTGGACCCGAGGTTGGCACCGCAGAACTGCTGCCGTATTCGTGGGTCGCCTGGGTCAGGTGATGCCGTTGCACCTTTTGCCTTTGCCTGCTATCTGGAGATTAGCGGATCTGTTTGTCTGAGTATATTCCAGCGAGTGTTGCTGAGTTGGTTGCGTTAGGGCGCTGAGTCCAGAACTTGTGATCTCTCCAGGGAGGGCTTCCATGCAGCATTGTGAGCTGGGACTTAAGTGCGAGCGCGGCCATGGGCCGACGCTCCTGGACACGCCCGCTGCATGAAGTTATAGTGTGCGCGTCTAAGGCCTATAGCGGTAGCAGTTATTAGCAATACTACGTAGGCGGAGACACAGCCAAGGCGGGAGGCCGAGAGATAGCCTGCTACGACCTTAGGAACTGTTGTAACGACCACTGGATTGCAGTAACGCGCCTGATAGCCTTTGGAGCCATTGCGTAGTTAGGGAGCAGTTGGAGATCAGTTTACAGATCATCGGTGTCAGCATCGGCGGGTCGGAGCTGTTGGAGCAGTGTTTGTCAACGGCAGCTACTTGTTAGTCTACCATCTACACTTTCTACCACGTCCAGCCTTGTGTGGGCGTGTTGTTATCGTGTCTTCCACCCGCGATGGGTTGTCGCGTCCAGGATAGCCAACAAGCCGGTAACATGGCATGACAAGGGGTGGCAGGGGCCACTCGAGGCAGCGGCTATTCAGCATGGACTCACAAGTACAGGCTGGGCCCCGTGAGAACGGATGTGTCCCACACAACATCTCTGGATGCAGGCAGCGGTGCCAACAACAACACCTTCGGACAAGGGAAAGAGGCAGGTGGTGCCATAAAAGCTGCTGCTGATGCGGCAGCTGGACCTCCATGGGCACTGTCACTGCCTTCACCATCGGCAGTGAAGTGGAAGCTGAGGTGTTGGTGGGCACGGGGATGGTTACCCCTGACCAATGAGATGGGGAAGTGTACAGTGCCATGGCAGCCACCGGCTATGCAGCAGTTACCGTATGCAGGCACCGTGGTCGTGCCATAGGGTTCCAGCCCCCTCTGCCGTCCTAGAACTAGAAAGTTGGCTTCAATGCTGTGATGCTGTGCAAGGAGTACGCTGTGCAAGAGACCATGACAATTGTTACAGCAACAAGGAAGCAACAGCCTGCAAAACACAGCCCTCACTCTATATGAGCACAGCCCTACGCAAACGTACACGCCAAACGTACACGCCGTACACAAGTTACACCACCCCTTACCATACAACACCCATCTCGCTCCCCCACAAAAAGTGAATCCCTGCCGCCCGCCGTGCCCCAACACCTGCAAACACAACCACCACCTGCACCATCATTACCACGTCCCGCTCCTCCCATTACACTACACAACTGGTATGCGGTCCTTGAGGTAAGCCAGCACCGCCGCCGTGCCCCGCTCCAGGATGGGTCGCCGCAGCGTGCGCAGCGGGTTGCCCTCCAGCCCCAGCGAGCGCAGCGAGGAGCCCAGCAGGCCCAGCTGCGGGGGCAGCGAGGCCAGGCTGTTGTTGCACAGGTTGAGCTCCTCAAGCCTGAGAGAGGGGGGAGGGAGGGGAGGTAAATGTTGGGATATAGGGTGCCAAAAATGGGGGTGGGATTGGAATGGATGGGGCAGGGAGAGTGTTGGGAAGAGGGAGGAGGTGCTGAGAAGGAGAATACAGAAACCAGGATTAGAGTGTCCATAAAGCCTGTCCAAGCTTACATGCTTGATCCCCAGCCCTACAATACCCAACGCCGCCTCGCTAGCAGGCCCCCACACGCTGGGAACGTTGGCTTCCTGCCCCCCCCCCGATGGCACGACCCGGGTCCCTTAACTGGTCACAATTGGTCACCCGGTCCTAGCGCCCATGCACCCCACACCTACTTTGTCATGTTGGCCACCTCGGGTGGCAGCTGCTCCAGCCGATTGGACGCCAGCAGCAAGACCCGCAGCCGCGGCAGCTGCAGCAGCTCGACGGGGAAGGCGGGCAGACCCGTCTGGCTCAGGTCTAGGGTCTGCGCGGACAGGACGGGACGGGGTTGGGGGGCAGGGTGGGGCTCCTGCCTGGTCAGCAGGGCGGGGAGCCGAGGTGCGGCCTAGGCTGATAGAGAGATGCATGCGTGTCCTTTGTTTAGACAACCATGCTGTCTTTTGGCAAGTGTGGAGTGTCCAACAGCACCCACCTCAAGCGCTGGCAGACCGGCGAAGCAGCCCGGAGGCAGAGCGCCGGCAGCGGGTGCACCTGGGGGCCATGCAGGAGGGAGCAGGAGGGGGGGAGCAGGGGGTGACGGTTCACATGGGCGACTGACCCCCTTACCCGCACTTGCTTTTGTTGTAAGGATCTTGCATCTCTTGGCCTTCGACGCCCACTCACGCACCCGCATGCAGCAGCCACCACCCAGCTCAGCGACCCACCTGCCAACTCCAGGCGTACAAGCCCCGGGCATGCGGCGAACGGGTTGGGCGGCAGCTGCCGTAACGCCGGGTTGTTGCGAACCTGGGAAGCACTTCAGGCGTTCAGGACGATGCGAAGAGAGGTGCCAGGACACAGGCAGGAGAACTGGGCAATTGCAGGCGACACCGACCCACGGGACGTTTCAAAAGGTCCAAATGCAGTGGCGCCTACCCATGAAGCCCACTGAATCCCGTCGCATACCAACACGCCCCATGATAGCAACCTCTACAACCCACTGCCTTGCCCATTGAAGCCATAACCCAGCAAACAAAAAGGTCTCCTTGCGCAGCCTATCCAGGAGTCCACCCACCCTCCCGCCCACCTGCAGCTCTGTCAACGCTGGCAGGGCCCCCGGCATTCCCGCCGGCAGCGGCCATGAAGTCAGCCCCATGCCATTCAGCAGCAGGCACCGCAGCCCCGGCAGCCGACACAGCCCCCCGGGCGGAGGCGGCAGCATCGGAATCTGATTGCTGCTCAGGTCTAGCCGCGTCAGGCTGGGACCCGCGTCCCATACCTCCGCAGGCACCTCACGCAACCCAGCACGTGCCAACAGTAATTCCCCTCCTCCACCGCCGCCGCCGCCGGCGCCTCCGCCACCACCGCCACCTCTGCCGTAGCCGGCGCCTGCGGCGCCGCCGCCAGCGGCGGCAGCGGCTGCCGCCGCCACGCCACCCAGCTTGAGCTTCCTCGCTGCTTCCGCCGCCATCTCTGCGCCGTCTAGGCCGAAGACGTTGCCTGATCGGGCAGCGGAGGCGGAGTGCAGGGCGCCCAAGCGGGTCGGCGGACCGGCGGGGGGCCCGGCTGCGGCGTCGGGGTCAGCTTGCCGACTGGCCAGGTACTTGAGCAACTGGGAGATGGGGCCTGCGGGGCGGTCGACAGGAGGAGAGCACCAAATGGAAAACATATCACAAGGGGACATATAGCAGGTAGGCAGACAGGGGCCGGGTAGGTGGATGGAAGATGGGTGTTTAGGAACAGCCGGGTATCCAAGCGCGTGTGCTAACGGACCTCACACACCTGAGCCCAAAGCCCCGTGCCCTCACCTGCCACCAGCTCCCTGCGGATGCTCTTGAGCGGGTTGCCGTCCAGTGGCAGACTGCGCAGGCTGGTCATGCAGCCTGTGCGGGGGTGGGAGGGTGGGCGCACTGAGACAGACGAGGCAGCAGAAGCAGGGAGGGGCAGCAGCGCGAGGAAAGGGCACGGGTAGCAGGTAGCTAACACCCTCATCGCCGGACTCGCCTTGCATGCTATCCTGGCCCCATGTCCATCGGTTGCCCCCCCCCCCACGCACGCCTTCACAAGCCCCTTCTCCCCTCACCCCCCAGCTCCTCACCCAGCTCCGCCGGCAGGGATCTGAGGTCGTTGTTGGCCAGGTCCAGCAGTCCCAGCCTCAGATCACACAGCTGCGGGAGGGAGGAGGGGGGAGGCAACAGGGCGTCAGCGGCTTTCCAGCCCAGCGCGGCTCCTTGTGCCCTTTAGTACGCCCAAGCCCACCTCACAACATGGGGCGGCAGCTGCATGAGCCGGTTAGCACCGCCCAGAATCCACTTTCCCCGCTTGTCCCGCCTCTCCTACCCCTGCTCCTCCACCTCCACCTCCCCCGCTCCCCGCCTCCCCACCTCTGCCGGCAGCTGTGTGAGCAAGTTGTCCCGCAGCTCCAGGGTCCGCAGCGCCTCCAGCAGGCCCAGCTCGGGGGGCAGGCAGGACAGCTGGTTGCGACCTGCGTGCGATGCAGGCAACGGAGGAATGAGGGGCGGGGTGGGGAGGTAGGGGTGCGGTCCAGCGGGGTTCCGGACAGCTGGACAGCGGGAGTCGGGGCTGGCGGACTGCCGACTGCCCCTATCCGGGCGCACCACCCTGGCGCACCCATCACCTCTTTTGAGTACTAACCAACACCCTGTAGTGTGGCACCCTGCCGCCCCCTATCTCCATTGTTTTCCCCTAACCTGTGGTTTCCTATGGTACGGCATGGTCTTTCACCCCTCATCCCACCCACCCAGGTAGAGCTCCACCAGTGCCGTACAGCCCGCGATGCTGGGCGGCAGCCCCGCCAGCCTGTTGTCCCGCAGGTTGAGGGAGCGCAGGCGGGCCAGCAGCCCCACCTCCCGCAGCAGCTGCCCGCGCAGCCGGTTGCGGGAGAGGTCCAGATCGGTCAGGGAGCTGGGGATGGGAGGCGGGTTTGGGGTCATAGATAGTTGGAAGGTGTTCAGGGCAGTGGTCCGGGCGGGGCGGAAGGGTGCAAAGGATGGGAGGTGGGGGAGACGCATCCCTCAGTCCCACTGTCCTCTCCTCTTCTGTTCACTTCCCCGTCACCTACCTCCTCTCCAACCCACACCCAGACTCCATGCCCCGCAACCCGCACATCCAAGCCCAGCCCCACCACCCCTCTCTCCCTCTCCTGCACCCTCTCAGCCCCCGCCCTGCCGTACATGCATGCGCGCACCTCAGTCCCGGCATGATCAGCCCCGGTAGCTCCACTAGCGCATTGCCCGCCAGATCCAGCCTCGTCAAGCTGCCCGCCTCACTAAGCCCAGGAGGCAGCTCCTCTAGCCGGTTGTCAGGCGCCGTGAGCAGCGCCAGGGAGGGCTGCTGCCGGCCGCCCAGCCCGGGGGGGAGTCGCGGCAGGGCGTTCTTGCCGGCGTGCAGCACGGCGAGGGCGGGCAGGGCGGCTAGGGTGGGTGGGAGCTCCTGGGAGGGGGATAAAGAGGAAACAACTAACTGACTGGGAGGGGGAGGTGGGGGTTAGTGGAGTTGCAGGAGGGGAGGGAGTGTGGGCGCGAGGGGAAGAGGCACAGGGAAGGAGTGCCCCGAGCTGTGCCAGGTGGTTTTAGCTGCACCCTGCCCTAGGGGTACCGGTAACCCTCCAGGGCCCACCACCCACCTGCAGCGTGTTGTTGGAGACGTCCAAGAGCTGGTTGGGGGCGAGGGGGGGCCGAGCCAAGGGCAAAGGCAGGGGTCAAGGACGTGTCTGCAGTTGAGTTGATGTTACGAGTGAAGGCGACATGGCAGGTGACTGGCAGGCCGGTAGCCGCATGCGGTGAGCAAGTAAGCCACATGACGAGCTCAGGGCTGCTGGTTGAAGCAGCATACGTGCACTTTCCCCTCACTGTTCCCTTCGTACCTTCAAACAGGAGAGCATCGACAGCGTCATGGGCAGCTCTGCTAGCTGGTTGTGACTGCGGTTGGGATGGGAGTGCAGGTTCGGGAGGCGCTTTGAGGTTGGAGTTCCGAAGCCTGGAAACGGCTTTTACTGGCAACCATCTGGTCTCATAACGCGCACGGTGATCTGGGTCGGGCTGGGTAAGGAGCGTCCGGACAGGCTGCAAAAGGCTGCAAGGCAATCGGGTCGGCTGAGCTCAACCCCGGCCTACCTGACGTCCAGGTGCGTGAGTGTGGCTAGCGTGCCTATTTCGGCTGGCAGGGAGGTGAGGGAGTTGCGGGACAGGTCTGCCTTGTAGAGCTCAGCGACCTGGGGGGAAGATGGCAGTGGAGGGTGGTGGTTGCGGTGGTGGTGATTCCTTCGTCCTAGAGCCAAACCACGTCTCTGTTGCCCCCAACCCAAATACAGGGTTGCCATGTTTGCTCGCTCCCCCGCTGCACGGCTTCCAGCAGCTGGCGGAAAGCTACTGCTCAAATCCCGAAGCAGACTTCCGAGGTCACCCTTGTGTCCCCACCTCCCACCACTTGGCCTCATGGCCCGGTAGCGGCTCCTCAGGGTTATACACCGCGGCGGGTACCTGTGCGTGTTGCACGTCGCGGAGAGCTGTTACTTCGGGCATCGGTTGCGTACACAGGAGTACATGTTGGAGACGCTGAAATACCACACACCTTCTGCAGCCCTCTTCCATTCAGGTTTAATGTTCCTGAAGACCGTGCAGCTACAATGGCCTTGGCTACGGCCGCGGGAATAGGACCGCCATCGGAGTGTTGCGCCATGATTCAAATAAAATGCGATAAATTCACAGTAAAGCCGTAACCACATTACACGCTTGATTCCGACTATGTTCATGTCGACTGCGTAGGTAGAAAATTGCTAGAGGTGCATGCTGTCCATGCAGTGTCGCCGTACCGGTCTTTTCTGCTGACGCAGGAAGAGGCAACAATCGGCAGATCGAAAAGGGTATTCCTTGTGACAACTTATTGATTATTTGTTGGTCTCATTTTCAGCTTAGCAGGATGCTGCACCTTGCATCTTCAAGCACCACAAGGCCGGCCTTGTCATCTGCCGAAATCCACATGCCAATTCCGCATGCACATGTTGCGAGAAGGCCAAACGTCGCTAGCGGGCCGCTGCACTCTTCAACGTTACAGGCCGCTCAGCGCTTGGTCATGCTCCGACGATTGCCACCCGTTCACGCTGCGAAACCTACTATCGCCGCTGCAACAGTAAGCGTGGAGGCTTCTTCATCACAGGTGATGCAAGGTGAGAATCTCTATTACCGGGCGGGTGGGTCGTGCGGGACTATGTAAGCTGACGGTTCTGTCATGGCCGTTATCATATGGAAAGGGCAACCGCAGATAGCTTTATTAGCGTTTTCTTAGATACTATGGAATGATGCAGTGAAGTTGCGTAATGCGAGTTCACGAAATGTTGCATACGCTTGCGCTTTACCTCTTAACGCCTACAATTGCGTTCGTGGGCTTTCTCTACTATGCCTAAGAGTCGGATTTGTAAGACTCTCCTTTACTGAATCCCTCCCATATAGAAGACGTCGAAAATGTCGTTATCATTGGCTCTGGGCCAGCGGGATACACGGCTGCTATTTACGCGGCTCGCGCAAACCTCAAGCCCGTTGTGTTTGAGGGCTTCAGGAATGGCCGCGGCGGCCAGTTGATGACCACCACAGAGGTGGGTAGCTGGGTATGCGTGTCCATGTGTCTGCCATGTTGTAGACCACATCACTAAGCAGGCAGCATTAAGCACGCCTGGCCCCCCCGCTTCCGCCAACCATAGTTCCTCCTGTCTCGTCGCTGTACTTGCCGTTGCACGATAGTTAGGACCTGTTCTACCCCATCCCATGCAGCCGTGCTTCTTTTTTATGAAGACCGTCTTGAATACACAGATTACACACCCTTCCTGTACCGCGCATTGCAGGTCGAGAACTTTCCCGGTGCGTGATCTCGTGAAAGACATCAGCATGGGAGTTCAGCGGCATTGGGTTGCTCTGGCGTGGATGGGGGCTCCTTTGGGCGTTGTTGGCTTCTAAGAAGAGTCTCGGCAGCTTATCTTTGCGGCACCCGAAGCGATGCGATTTGGGTCGGGCTAGATCTTAGGATTCTGCAACGGGCATCAACAGCACAGGCAGCATGCCTGCAGCTGCTACGGTGTTCCTGACACTCGGGATTGGTGGCGGCAGCAGCAGCGCATGTAGAGAGCGTGGCCCTCCGAAGCAGCCCAGCAACGAGGGGGATGCTGCCAAGCCCCGGTCCCTAACGCAGTGACCGAGAGCCTTTCCACCAGCACATTGTAGCACTCCGTCACGCAAGAAGAATACGACAGCGGCCACAGCTTTATTTTTGCGTCTGCAGTCGGTTAGACAACATTGGCGGTAGCCTCACGTGATGAACTCGCCTCTTTGTCGGGCCGTATGTCTGATTCCCGTACCCTGCTCCCCTCTTGCAGGCTTCCCGGAGGGTATCACCGGCCCCGACCTGATGGACCGCATGCGCAAGCAGGTGGGGGGGGGGGGCGCGACAGCAGCGCGCAGCATACCTGTATAAGCGTAGCATACCCGTATAGCTAAGCCAGGAGGGACTGATGGGCGGATAGGCGATGTGTTCGCATGGCCGCCGTGCCTTCTTGCATGCGGTGGTACGGTCTTGAGTACTACTGGCTAGGACCACACCTAACAACCTTCCTTCCTCACGTCCATCCGCTGCTGTCCCTCCTCAACCCTCCTTCCCCAGGCCGAGCGGTGGGGCAGCGAGCTGCACACAGAGGACGTGGAGTCCGTCGACCTCTCCGTCCGCCCCTTCCGCATCCGCTCCTCCGACCGGGACCTCCGCGCCCACTCCATCATCATCGCCACAGGCGCATCTGCGCGGCGGCTGGGGCTGCCCTCGGAGCTGACCTTCTGGAGCCGCGGCATCAGCGCATGCGCCATCTGCGACGGCGCGTCGCCGCTGTTCAAAGGCGGCGAGGTGGCGGTGGTGGGCGGCGGGGACAGCGCCACCGAGGAGGCCATCTACCTTACCAAGTACGCCAAGCATGTGAGTGGGGAGGTGGAGAAGGGAGGAGCTGTAGAAGGCGGGGCGCGGTCGAGATGGGAATGCGGTTGCTTGTCTCCGGCAGCCGTCCTACCTTGGCGCGCACTTCCTTCAAACGATCCATGGCTCTGCATGCGCTGTCCGACCACTGCTCTCCCCTGCCCTCCCATCTCCCTCCCCTCCCTCCTCTTTCCTCCTTACCCGCCCTCCCCAGGTCCACCTGCTGGTCCGCGGCGAGCGCCTGCGCGCCTCCAAGGCCATGCAGGACCGCACGCTGGCCAACCCGCGCATCACCGTGCACTTCAACACCGGCGTGGAGGACGCATTCGGGGGGGAGGTGCTGCAGGGGCTGCGGCTGATGGATACCAAGACAGGTGGGAGCGAAGAGAGGCAGAGGGGTGGAGGAGTGCAGCTCGGACGGAGGGACACAGGAGGTTGGCGGAGCCCCTGTTGCCAGATGTAGCCCGACCGTTCGGCCGCAGCAATCGCGGCATCGTGCCTCAGGTGTCTGCTCTCGCTTTCTGCCCCTGTCAACCCCCTACCGCAGGCGAGAAGCGCAACCTGGCAGTGCAAGGGCTGTTCTACGGCATCGGCCACACGCCTAACAGCAGCTTGGTGGCGGGGCAGGTGGGTTCTGGCTGAATGGCGTCCTTTGAACATGGCATGCGTGAAGGCTGCCTAAACGCATGAAGATTTGCTTGGGAAGGGGTCAGTGCAACCCCGTTACAACGAAACCAACGAACGCCGCGGACGGACGCCAAAGCATACATACATACGACCATACACCCTCACCGCGAAAGCCATGCATCCGCCCCACATCTTTATCACCACCACTCCTTCCCCTTGCCCGCTTACCGGTATCCCTTCCCGGCACCAGGTTGAGCTGGACGAGGCGGGCTACGTCAAGGTCTCCCACGGCGCCGCCACCTCCGTACCCGGCGTCTTCGCAGCCGGCGACCTACACGACACCGAGTGGCGACAGGCGATCACTGCAGCCGGCTCGGGCTGCATGGCAGCGCTAGCAGCGGAGCGTTACCTAACCGCCAACGGTCTTGTACGGGAATTCAAGCATGCCGAGGAAGCAGAGGGTGCTGCCGCTGGCGAGGGCAACGGTAACGGATCCAGCGCCTCTCATGATTCGTCTTCGGGGTCGGCAGCGTCTGCGGGGGTAGACACGCCGGACACGTTTGATATCAATGCGGATAAGCACAAGGGGCAATACGCGCTGCGGAAGCTCTACCATGAGTCGGATCGGCTGATCTGTGTGCTGTATACGGCACCCACGTGTGGGCCCTGCCGTACACTCAAGCCCATCTTTAACTCGGTACTTGATGAGTTCCAGGGTCGTGTGCACTACGTGGAGATTGACATTGAGCAGGTGGGCTGGGGGGGGTGCGAACTGCAATGGTATGGAGGTTCAGGCGTGGGGGGCTAGGCGCGTCGTAGGCTGCGTGAATCCTTTAGGGTCTTGGCTCATGTCAAGGAAGAAGCGTACTTTGCCTTAGTACGCATTCCCCTCATTGCTCCTCAGCTTACCCCGTCCCGCCCTCCTGCCCTCTCCTGCTGTGTCCACCTCCAGGACCCCGAGATCGCGGAGGCTGCCGGCGTGATGGGCACACCCACAGTGCACATGTTCAAGGACAAGGCTCGGCTGGAGGTGTTGAGCGGCGTCAAGATGAAGAAGGACTACCGAGGCCTCATCAGCAAGCACGTGGGGGAATCGGCGGCGGCAGTAGCGGCGGAACAGCGTGTTGGTGTGACGGCTTGAGGTCGAGGAGCAGCAGCAGCAGCGCATGGCACAAGTATGTGTGGTGGGAGTGGAGGGCGTTGTGTGAGAGGATGGGTCCGGTCTGAAGGGGCGGTGGAATGGGAGGAGGGGCCATGGGCGCGTTTGAAAGGGGCAACCGTTGTTGAGGAGGTGCAAGACCCTCTTGTATTAACTTCGTAGGGTTTGCTCGGCGTCTCAGTCTCAGGAACGGGTTCAGCGCAAGTGCGAGTGTTCAGTTTTGTGGTGTGTCGAGAGTGCAATTTTCCAGTCATTGTGTTTTGCATGACCGGGCGTATAGTCACCCATCCATAAAGGCATTCGAGGAAATGGGGATAGTATTATAGCTGACAGCTGGCACCATTGAGAGGGGCTGCATGCCAATGTAGGGTCTTCATGCTCCGTAACAATGGTAGGTCTTGTGCAGCAAAGCGAAGCATATGAGCGTTTTCTTTGTATGGCTATATGGTTTGGCTGGTTACGCAGTACAAGGCAAATCCCATCCTAGACAAACGCCCGGCGTTAGTATTTTTCTCGTAGATCTAGAAGGTGAGAGCAACTGGGTAGGGCTGCATCATTAAGCCAGGGAAGAGAGGGAGGGGGCAGGTTTGCTGCATCGGGTCTCTTGCTTGCGTCTCAACTCTCAAGTCTTTAGAATTTGGGGCGTAGTAGCCCTTTGTCGAAGTCATTTCACTTCGCAGCTTACCTCTTGGCGTGCACAACGGGGGGTTGTGCGGACACATGCAAGAGGCCTGTTAGCCATGGCTTGATGAAAGGATGGAGAAGGATATGGGCTTCCCTCACTGGATGGCAGCGTGCCGTTTTATTGCGATGAACCGTGTTCCACTATACGGGTAATGAAAAATCAAGTCCGTTGCGGATGACCTTGCCTGCAAAATGCACGCTGACTTGGTGCACAGGCGGGTGAGCAAGAGAGCCAAAATCACAGGTCGCATGCGAGAGGAGGCACAAGGAGAGTGGTGCGAGGCATGCCGTACATGACTGCTGGTGCGGGCTGTGTGAGGGGAAGAACAACCGCACGCAATCGAGGTCTTGGACTTATTGCTGCTCCGGTGGGGAGGTCGTGAAACCGAAAACCACGAATGAAGGTGATGTAGAGACGAGGTTTGTGTATTGTCGCCTGATTAACCGCTCGAGCTTTCTTCCTAACCGGTGTGGACAAACCCATGCCTGCTTTCCGTGCACCAAGAGAGGTGTTTATCATTTACAAAACGCCTCGTTTTGGAACATGTACTGTAATTCAGCCGGCTACCTTCCGTCCTACGTCGGCGTATAAACCAGTAAACGTGGCCCCAAAGGCGCTAACATTCATGACTCCTGCGTGCAACCAGACATATAGAGACGACGCCCCTGCAGTGGATTGCTCTGGGCTCAGCGCCGTACAAACGATCCAATCCTCTCCTGTTCCGCCTCCCCAAGGCTTCCATCACGGTCATCCGCTGCCGAGTAACGTCCGTACCGTCGTCGTTACTGCACGGCGAAAGGTCATCTGGCTCTCAGCCGCACATACCACGTACGACACGCAATTCCTTCGGGGCCTCTTCTTTGCCTACAGTGTTCCCAACGACCTCGCCAATCCTCTCGGCTGGATTTGGGCCGAACAGCCCGCCTTCCTGACAACAAATACGCTACGCTCCAGCCGCCTTGATCGCACGTCCCATGCAACGCAACCGAACTAACGCAACTGGTATCATTTCATGCTAGTCTTGACATTGACGACCTCCTGACTGCAGCTCATCTGCGCCCCGCAGGATCCCCCAAAAGCGGCGGTACGAGCCCCGACCGTACGAGCGTGCGAGCTTCTCCTCAACATGCTAATCCACTCTTCTCCCGCAGGGCTTCGCTCCCCTAGGGTCTCCCCACCACGTTGCTAGCCACTTTCCTCAATCACACTGCCCTTCCCCGTCACACTCGCCATCCGCACCAGAAGCATTGCCTGCGCCGCTGATTGCAGCTGGGTTCTCACCACCGAATGCACGGAACACGGCCACGACGGCTCCGGCAGCGGCGGCGGCGGCGCTGGACGCTGCCGCAGCGGCAGCAGCGGTAGCAGCGGCCGCAACCACCCTGGTCAGGGCATCCTGCTTAGCTGCAGTAGCTACGGCGATGAGGCCGCTCTGCCGCTGTGGCAGAGCGACATCACTGTACTTTGCGGACGCTGACCCAGCTCGCTCCCATTGCTGCTGCTACAGCATGCGCCATCCTTGCTTCCATGCCACCATCGGACAACAACTGCCTGCGGACAACGGCAGCTACTGCCTCCTGTACTGCGTCCTCAGTTGGCCTGGCCTCCCAAGGAGAGGCACCTCCTGCAGTCCTGCTGCTGCGTCAAGGGTGGTCCCCACTGCAGCAATGCCAGGCGGAGCTGCCGCCGCCGCTCCCAGCTGCTGCTGCTGCTGCCCCTCGGATTTCACTTGCGGGTTGGACTGCGGAAGCCCTGGTGTTGTTGCGGGACCTCCTCCGGGTTTCTGTGATACGTCAGTCTTCTTTAGGATCCTCCGCCAGCCCGTGCCTGGGGGCCCTTGGCGACTACCTGCAGCAGCAGCAGCACCTGCAGCAGCAGCACCTGCAGCGCATGGTACTACTGATCGCGGCAACCGTGCGCTCACTCCAATGGCTTCCTTTACAGCCGCTGGCGGCTGCTGATGTCCCGGCTGCGGGCTGCCGTCGCTGCCCCCGCCACCGCACGCAGCTGCCGAGCTTCCATGCGGCGTAGGAACATGCGCAGCAGCGTTAGCACTGGGAGCAGCTGTACGGAACATTTCTCCGCCTCCAGGGACCTGCTGGCCGGCTGGGCTGCTGCCCATTCCAGCAGGGCCCAATGGCGACTCCGATGCCAGCGGCTCCGGCTTTACCTTGTACGGCAGCGGTTGAGGAGTCACCAGCTGTGGTCCAGCTGGAGTGTCAGCGACGCGCTGTGCTGCAGGAGCTGAGGTCCCGGCCGCCTGGTGCGGTGTTGCGCCTCGTCCGCAAGCGCTGCTCACAACAGCTCGATCATCGCCGGTGGATTTCCGCTGCCGCTTCCCAGCAGAGGTTGCAGGACTTGCAGCTTGTTCCCGGCCTCCAGGGCCGATGTCGGCAGTTTCATCTTTATTAGCCTGATCGCCACGCTGATGTCGCAGGCCTTGTCCGTCCGAAGTGGCTGAGGGCGTTTCTGTTCCTTCTGCTGTCACTTGACGCTTCCTGCGCCGCCGCTGCTGCTGCCGCTCCTGCTCTTTGGCTGTAACAGCGGCAGCGGCAGCATGCGGGAAAGGAGCAGCGCCGTCCACCACGCCTGCTACCTCGGCGTCGCAGGCGCTTTCTCCGACGCCTTCATCGGCAGCCTCCACCTCGTCAGCCCCCGCCCCCAGCCGCGGCCCCACCGGCTGGAAGGAAACCGTAATGGCTACGGTGGTGTCGCCCTGGGGCCCCTTCACCGCCGCCAGGTGCAGCATGTCCCCGGGCTGAGCGGCGCGGGAACGGAGCCAGTGCGATATGTTGTAAATGGTCCATTGGCCGGTCTGACCACCAGGCTCACGCTTCATGAATGCTGCTAGCTCGCTAGCTGCCGCCTCATCACCCGCCGCCCCTAGTACCCGTACAGGCACCTCCTGACCCATGGGTCCGTAGGCCCTGTCATGGCCCAGCAACAGCTCAGCTACCCGGATCTGCACGCGCACTTTGTTGTACGTCAGAAAGTACTTGGCCAGCGTTGCCGTACAAGGCCAAGGAACGCCCTCTGCTGCCTCAACCACTGCACGGCCACTCGGCTGCTCCCAAAGCACATGTACCAACGCGCCGTGCTGCATACCTAGGTCCTTGGCTAGCTGAAAGGTGCGGGTCAGGTACAGGGTAGGGTGCAGCGACAGGTCGTATGGCAACTCGCGACCACCCTTAAACCTGCCGACTAGCTTGACGTTTTGGACGGTCTTTTTGCTGGCTGCTGCGTGTGCTTGCGCTGGGAAGAGGTGAAGGATGGCAGCCTTTCCTGATAGGGTCTGCCGAAGAGCGTGGTATTTAAGGGAGTAAGGGCCACGGCTGCCTCCGCTCGCGACGTCAACAGCACTGTAAATACTGTCTCCGCCTGCACCGATCTGAGCGTCACAAACGGTTTGGTTTCCGTCTAGCCCAGGGCAGCTGCGTTCCGAGCGTTGCTGCGCGTCTGTGCGCGTAGCAGAGGGATCCCCCCCGCCAGTACCGCCCAAACCATTGCCGCTAAGGACTGCAGTACTGGCGGCGGCTGCACCCGAGCCGGCAGTTGCGCGGGCCTCTTCCACACCTGCATAAGGGGTTGGGCACGTACCGTCAACAGCACTGTCAACGAAATAATCGGTACCACAACACGCAGCTCCTTCTGTAACCACTGCAGCAGCCATTGCGGTTTTATACGCTGCTATGCGTCTGGAGAAACATGTCAGCGATCCAGCGCGCGCCCCGACCGCAGAATTGCCGCACCACGGCGTACCGTTCTTGAAAGATTGGAGCGCGTTGACAGCTCCGTTGCCGTTTGTGATGCTCTCCATGTCACGTTGAAAAGGCGGAAGCCCTTGCTCAACTGCGACCCCCGGGTCCTGGCAGTTTCGAGCTCTGCTTGCTAGCACCAGGCAAAACGCTTTATGCTGCTCTGGCAACCCTTATATGTATCAAAGCTGCACTTAACCTTGCACCTGAAAGATGGTTAGCTTGGCACTGTGAGCCCTTCTTCGTTTCCGGGTACTAGGATGGCCTTCGTTTAAAGCAAGAGTTGCCTGTTCAAACAAAAACTGCATAATGTAAACTTTTGCTACGGAGACACATGTTTCTGCTGATTGGACATACTTGTTGGCTTACGGCGAATACGGCACGCATGTACTCGCACGAATCCGCATCGCTGCGCTCACGCGCCCAACACTGCGGATGCGTATCAGAGCAGCCGGACCCCAGTGCACAGCCGGATTCAAGCGCGTAGCGCATAGCTGTACCCAAATTACGTACATGCACACATGCACAGCGGGTTATACTATGGTTTCAATACCACCGCTAGGGGGCCATTCAGCCCATGCGTCCTATGTCTCACGTTATGGATACGAGGCACCGGGAAGGGAATTGGGTGCAACTTGTGAAATGGACAGGGTTACGGAATTAAGGGCACTCGGCACAGGCGAGGGAGCTAGCAAGCAAGCCCTAACGCATATGGCAGCTTCACTTCACTTTGCCAGGCGGTGCATGTGCATTGGCTGTTTATGAGCTCCGCGTGCGTCGCCGTCGTGGTTTACACGTCCTCACGTCCCAAGCACCCAACGGTTATTGAAGCGGCCCATGAGGAGGTCGGTTCACGGGACAGCACAGCCTTACTTTAATGGGTAATGGCAGCGGGAGTCATAGCACATGCTAGAGAGTCAAGTAGCCTACTAACTGCTTGAAACATCCGTCATACCTCATATGAAGGAACCCAGGAAAGTAATCCAGCTACCTACAGCAATAAAGTCCATCTTGCTGAGCTGCCGTATCTACACCTCCTCTGCTTCGCTACCTAAGACTATCGTCTCCGGCTTGCGGCTGCCTGCCCTACAAGGCTGCTGGCTACCGGTTGCGACTGCTGCTGCAGCTGCTGCTTCAACGCCGCGGCCGTGGGCTTCATACCGCCCCGAGAGCGCTCCTTGTGCACCTGTAGCGAGCCCGCCTCGACGCCGTGAACCGCCCCGTTGGCGTCGGGCAGGGTTGCAAGCCAGCGCCACAGGTCGCCGGGTCCTCGTCGTCCCAGAATCACATCCCTACATGGCAAAGGGAGGCGCAGCGCATCGCCATGCAGGTTAAGCGCGTTATACTACTTAGCAGCCAAAGGTCCCATATGTAGGTGCTGTACCTGCAGTAGCAGGACGACCTTATAATCCTTGTTTACACGCACGTGTTGACACAAAAATTCAATACATCAATGTGAACCTGTTTGCTTTCCTTTCAACTCGTACTTGACCTTCCTTTGAGGAACGCGACCGGAAAGGGTTCATAATTCGAAGCAAAATATCTGCCGCAGCCCGGGTTCGAACCAGGGACCTTTTGTTTACAAGACAAACGCTCTACCACTGAGCTACAACGGCTTACTGAACGGATGACACGATAAACATTTAAAATATTTATATATGCACGTAATAAGCAATGAAAGTGGTCCTCACAGGCCTACCAGGCGTTGCCCACCATTTGTGCGTTTGGTTAAAACGTTGGCAGAGAATTTGAGCAGGAAGGACCTTGCAGCACACAACAGCACGCCCCCAGCGCCAGCAGAACACCTACCTGTAACCCTCAAGCAAAGGCGCCACGTACTCGGGTTGCTCGTCCACCAGCTCAATCCGTATCGTGCGATACCCCGCCCGTAGTAGATCTCGGATGTAGAAGACTCCTGCAATTTGCATATATAGGCACAACACACCGCATACGCAAAGACCAATGCTTACGTGAAAGCCATCATCATGCCTTTCATGGTGCCACCCTGCTGCCACAACAAAAATCCCACCCACGTCGCCAAGCCCCAAATCTCCATCTTCTTCTCCCCTTCCAACCCCAAATCCTCATGCACTGTCAAGCCTGTACGTAACCGTACGTAACTAACCGCAAAGTTTATGTAACAAACCCCATACATTCATACACATATACCCGACTGCTGCGAACCTATATCCCAACTGCTTGCTCTTGTTTCCGCTCGACTACACGCACATACATACCCGACTGCGCCTGCGCATTGAACACCGTGTTGCGGCAGCCCATGTCCGCGAGCACCAGGTGGTCTGCCCCCTGCGGGTCGCGCAGGTGCAGCTGGTGCCGCTCGCAGGGGTGGCCGCAGTCCACGTAGCTGTTGCCGCTGGACAGGAACCTGAAGGCAGGACAGGTGTTCCGGCGAGCAGGGTTCAGATAGGGTGCTCAGGTACGCGGAGGGGTCGCGAAGGGGACCCTAGGAAGGAATGACGGTACGGTACACGGAAGGCCTAATATGTGTATGGTATGGCCCCATGGGCCAACCTCAGGGACATGTCTCTCTGGTTCACAAGAGTGCGTAAGTCAGCGTTGGGGCCACACAGTCATGAAATATCCCTTCCCTTCACCCGCAAACCCCGCATGTCCCTGCACGGCAGTGCACCCTGTCACGTCCGCAACTCGAAACCCCGTAAACCCTACACGCACACCTCCTCCGGACCTGCAAAACACGCAGTGCTCCGTGTGGAAGATGGGCAGGTGCTGGTGCACCACCGCCTCTAGCTGCGCTGCCCGCCCGCCCAAACCGCCCGCAAGCGCCACAAGCTGCCCGGCGTGCAGGTCGTGTGTGGGCGCCAGACGCAGCAAACCGCCGCGAGGATGGTACGGTATTTGCTGCTCTTGCTGCTGCCCTTGATCAACCTGCCCTTGGAACTCTTGCCCTTGATGGTCCTGTTTTTGGTGCTCCTGACTACTCGCAGGTGCGTACTCGGTAGTGCTGGCGATGCCGGCGTGGGTCGTAACGTTGGCGGGGCTTGTGTTGGGGACGACAGAGCTTCCGCCGCTCAGTAGCAAGGAGGCCGACAGCACGTTGGCGGCATTGAGGCTGAAATCGCCCTCCAACGCGGGAATGGGGTACGGCACGTCGGGTACGGCAGCGCCTGCAAATACAACAGGTGGCAAGGTCGTTGGAGTCGTGGCCATGTATTACCTTTAAGACAGCAAACAACGCTGCATGCAGGCATGCTCATTCCAGCCAGAAGATAACGCAAGCCTCTTTGCAAACCAGGACAGCTTCCCAAGCCTGCCAGTCGCAGCCCCTTCTGAACTCGGAACTCCCCATCTTCCTCTCCTCACCAGGGCCTCCCAGCTTCTGCAGCTGGTGCAACATGCCCGCACTGCGAACCAGCAGCGCATCCGCCCCCAGCCTCAGGTAGAACAGCCACAGGCGCTGCTCGTCTGGCTTGAGCACTCGAGGGGTGGCTACCACCACTCGGCGGCCCGATGCACGAACCTGTTTGTGGTGCGGGAGGATAGGGCGGCATGAGGGATGATAAGGGCCGCCATACCGTGATGCGGACTGCAATGTCGCCATGGACGTTGGTTTAACGGCGTGCTCTACCAACCATGCACATTGTTAGGGAAGCTCCCTTAGAGGAACCCCTCAACGCCTCCGCAGCCCACACTCTGCCCCTTCCTCCACCTTCCGCCCTCCGCCCACTACCCCCCCCACCACCACCCGCCCTCACTCACCGCGCCCACCGCCTCCTTGAGTCCCATCGCCTCCAGGAAGTCAAGCACCACCTCCCGCAGCCAGGGCACCTGCACCGCCGCCGCCACCTGCTCGCGACTGCGACACAGCACCCGCAAACACACGTCATCAGCAGCGGCTGCGGCTCGGCCGCTGCGGTGGCCGGAGGCCGCCGTGGCTGCGGCGGCTGCGGCAGCGGCGGCTCTGCCGCTGGGGCCAGCGGCTGCGCCGCTGGCCACCCGCTCCACATCCACCTCGTCCGCTGCGGAGCCGCCGCCGCCGCCCTCCAGCCGTGTGCACGACATGCCCGTCAGCATCCGCAACGCCTCGGATGGCGGCGGCACTGCGCGCGCCGCCGTCAGCAGCCCCGGCAGCACGGGCGCCTCCGCCAGGCCCTGCGCGCGGGGGTGGCGGCTGCGGGCCGCCAGCAGGGCCTCCACCGCCTGGCGCCGTACGGACTTGAGCTCGGAGGCTGGCAGGAAGAGACCTGCGCGTGGGGAGGGTAAGCGAGAGAAAGGATTGGCAAGATAGTGCGATGTCGGTCGGGTAGGCTGTGAAGGGATCTGCCGTTGGGGGCCTAGGACTGAAGGCTAGGTACCGGTAGTACATTTAGAATGCTTGGTAGAGAGTGTAGAGAGTGTGCTGTCTCCCCAGCCTTTGCGCGCGACCGGTGTTGCTGCCCCGGCCACGAGGCACATCCAGGGAGTGCCCGCGGGTGAGTGGGAGGGTTGCGGGGAGCCCCGCAGCCTACTCACCGCCCACCCGCGGGCAGTGCTGTGGCGGCTCTGGTTGTCTCCCCAGCGGCCATGAGGGTAATGGGCGCGCTGGGGTGATGATCGGACTGACCCGTGGGTCAGTCCGACATCTAGTACAGAGCCGCGGTACGTAGCAGCAGCATGCTTCACATGGGCTGTGACAGCTAAGCATCAAACACTCGCAAAAGCACGCATTAATGTAAGTCAACCCCTGCTTGCAGCCTCGCGCACTAGCCAGATCCGCACTAGCAAAGTGTCGTACCTGCTTCAAGATCCAGATCCCGTACATCCAGCTCTCCATCCACCGCCAACGTGGCATCCCCCAGCTGTGGTCCCAGTGCCCTCGCCACGTCATCCGCAACCATGGGCCGGCCCCTCGCTGCCGCCAGAGGAACCGTTGTCTCAGCAACCGCCGTACGGCCATCCGAATCCGTTAATCTTAGCTGTAGCGCGCTGCCAATGCGCCCTGAAACCGCAACGAAAACCGGCACACGCCGGGTTTCGGAGGTGGCTAGGTTGTCGTACGAGGAACGAAGGCGGGACTCCAGGGAGGGGTCCTTGGTGCGCCACACGAGGTCGCCGGGGGAGATGCGTTGCAAGATCTCGGTAGACTGTGTACGGCAAGGGGTATGACAAGGGTCTTAACAAGAGCCAACAATAAACGCCAATGGCAGAGCATGCGTTTCGCAGCAGCGTTACCATTCAGGGGTTCGCACATGGCACGTTATTAAGGCCTTTGTGGACAGGGCTGACGGGCGCTGAAAAAGAAAAGATTTGAAAAATGGGTCCATCTAGCAGCTTACCTGTGCAGGTCCTTGCCCCAGAACCACAGTTACGCAGGTACCCGGACGAACCGGCTGGTTGCCCTCACTGCCGCCGCGACCGCCTCTTCCAACGGCGCTCTTACCGCGCGCATCCAGAATCTCGTACACCGTGCCCCCCGGCTCCTCCTCCTCCGGCCTACCCGCGTCGAAGGCCACTCCATCACCTCGCTTCAGGGGTGCCTGCAGGGGTGGTACAACCGGTTTACAACCGTACACAACAACGAAGGAGCAAACATGAAGCGAGAAGACCGATGTCAATTCTTCATACCGCCCCCTTCCTGCCGCCCTACAGCCGCGCCAGCCCGTGTGCCATGCGCCTTGCCCCAACCCAACCGACCACTCCCTCCCTCCCTCCTTCCCTCCCTCACCTGCAGCTGCAGCACCACCCCGCGTGACGTCACCTCCTTCACCTGCCCCAGAAACACCCCCCGGTGGCGTGGCGAGCGGCCCCGCACCAGCCGCTGGTGTCGTACGCCCTCCAGGAAACCCGGGGTGAGGCCGCGGTGGGTGCCGTCCTGACCGCGAGCAAACACCTGGTGCGGTGTGTGGGGTTTGGAGTGGGTTTTGGTGGGGGGTTGGTAGCGGGGTTTGATGTTGTGTGCGGTTCGGTTGGAGGGAGGTTGTACACAGGAAACGGCCATTCTCCACCAACGTTGGAAAAGCGTACTCCCGTTTCCCCGGCCACAGCTAGCCTTTACCTGCTCCAAGTCCCACCGCTGCTGCTTCGAAATGATGCCCTTCACCGCCGCCTCTGCAGCCGCTGCTGCTGCCGCTTCTCCGTCGCCTCCGTTGCGGCTGTCAGCCAAGCCCGCAGCCCCGCCAGCAGCCGCCAGGGCATCCCAGGCTGCATCCACCGCCCGGCGGTACACCTGGGGACGATAGTGGACACCGTGGTTGGGGTGGTTAACGTATTAGTTGGGGTCGTTGGGTTCGTTGGGCTAGGGCGCACAGGGCCACGGCAGCAACAGCAGCAGTGGAGCAGCAACCACGCCTCGCACCTGAGTGGTGAGCGCCACGTACTCGGGTCCCTTCAGCCGCCCCTCGATTTTAAAGCAGCTCACTCCCGCGCGAATCAGCTCGGGAACCTGCGAGGGGTGGTTACACCAACCAACCCGGCAGTTTCATCACGCCAACGTGCCGTACATGAGAGGAAAAGGGAAGCGCTATATCACCACCGCCCACTTGCACCATGCATGTATTGCATGTATGCTTGTATTGTCAAACAAGAGAAAACATACGGTACGTTACCGGTACCCCAGCCCCGTCGATTGGGACTCGTTGCTACACTAATAATGTATTTTTCCCTACCCCCTCCCCCTCCCTACCCCCTCCCCCTCCCCACCTGCTCCACCGCCATGAGGTCCTGCGGGCTCAGCAGGTAGCGCACCTCCCCCAGCTCCCGAAGCACCCCATCCACCAGCAGCCCGTACGGCAGCCGACACGCCTGCGCGCACTGCCCGCGGTTGGCGGAGCGGCCGCCCCAGGCCTCGCTGCTGAAGCACTGCCCGCTGTACGACACGCACATGGCGCCGTGCACGAAGGCCTCGATCTCGGCGGGGGGGGCGGTGGAGGAGGTGGAGGTGGAGGTGGAGGATGCAGCTAGGCCGTCGCGGACCTGTTTGGGACGGTTGGGAAAGGTTGAGAGGGAATGGAGAAATGCGACTGGCGGAATGAAACAGCCCCATGGCACGCAGTGAGACAAGGTTGCAGACAGCTCCAGCCTAATCCGCAATGCCCCAGCCTCTTCCCCGCCCCTCCTCCTCCTTCCCCCTCCCCGCCCCGCCGCACCTTGCCGATCTCCCGCACACTCAGCTCGCGCCCCACCACCACCCGCTCCACCCCCAGCCCCGCGGCCCACTCCGCGCCCTCCGCACTGGTGATGCTCATCTGCGTGCTGCCGTGCACCGGCAGGCAGGGAGCCACGCGGCGAAGCAGGGACACCACACCCCAGTCCTGAGGCGGGAAGGGAGAGAGAGAGAGCGGTGGGGAGTGGAAGCCGCATTTTATCCTAATAGGAAGGCGGGAGGGCAGGTAGAGGTAGAGCAGACGGGTGTAGGTCAAGAGGGCTCTAGGTTGTTCCCGCGGGTGTTCTTACCCCTTGCCACTCACCACATGCTACTACTCCACGCCTTCAAAGCAGTGAGGTTAGAGACATGCACAATGTCACACATACGCATGGAGACTCTCTCTACCGTACGGGGTACGGAATACGAACACATACGACCCTGCATGCCTGCAAACCCTGTCCCAGCCTCCTACCTGCACGATAACGGCGTCCACGCCCGCTTCCGCCATGCTTCGAACCCGCGACTCCAGGGCGGGCAGCTCCTCGTCAAACACGAGCACGTTGAGCGCCACAAAGCCCTTCACGCCGCGCGCATGCAGGTACGACATCACCTCCGGCAGCTCGTCGTACGAAAAGTTGGCGGCCCTGTGTACGGCACACATACGGCACAAGCAGGGCAAGAAGACGGCGGGTATTCGCATGCCCGCGTTAGAACTTGTCGGTAGGTAATGGCGGGCAACTAGGTTCGGCCCATGGATCTCCTTCCCTCCCCTACCGCCTCCCCAATGCCTTGAACATACTGATAGGACACTTGCACCGTAGGCACCCCAAACATCCAAGCGCAACTGCCCCTATGGAGTCCCCTTATCCGCTCCCTGGCTACCTTGCTCGCGCATTGAAGTCCTCCAATCCAAAGTAGACCGCATCCGCCCCGTTCTCAACCGCCGCTCGTAGCTGAGGCCAACCGCCCGCCGGCGCCAGGACCTCCGGTTTGCAGGGCAGCGGCGGTGGCGAAGGGCACGAGGGACGCTCCCTTGCTGGGCTTCGCTGCTGCAGCTGCTGCTCGTGCTGCCGTTCCTGGCCGCGGGACTTCGACTCGCGCTGAGGCGGCTGCACGGCAGGGGCATCTGTAATGGACGATGGAGAGGAGATCAGGTAGCTAATTGCGGAGGAGTTTTCTGGTGAAGCCGGCGGCAAGGTTTGACTGTCGTGGGAGGGCAGGTGTCGCTGGACGATTGAGTCGGCGGCAGGGGCTGCTTCTGAATGCGTTGAGGCGTTGTGTGGGACACCCTGGAAGGGGTGAGGTGGGGTCTATGGTGAGTGCGGGGGCCATGCATCGGCACATGGAAGAAAGCAAAGTTGTGCCGCACAGGCAGTGGTCAATGAAAGGTAATATGGGAAACGGACGAACGCTAAGAAACGACCAGGGAAGTTTATCAAGGGACTGCACTAAGATTCGTCACACGCGGATGACAGCGTCTGCCCTCCGCCAAGCATACGATGCGCTGATACTCGCGTAAAGTTACACCACTCGGCGATACTTACCTTTAGGCTGGAGTAAAGCTCCGGATTCTTCCGTTTTTCAGGGACGTCGCCAGCGCTGCTTCCGAGCGTTAACGGAGACGATCGTTGTGCCGGCTTGCTTTCCTGGCCAAATTGTTTAATTCTATCCACATTAAGCTTGTCACCAAGTTCTGGAGGGGAATTCTCTTGCCGCCCATCGGAAGTCTTCCGTCGCCGAACACCCCCAGGCAGCCGCTGCTTCTTATGGTTAGACGCGTAGCTCGCGTAAATGGTTAGCGAACTCCTTGACGTGGTACAGCAGTGAAGAAGTCCACGAGAGGTAAAGAAATTCCGCATGTCGACACTTTGTAACCAGCGTTCTTACCGCAAGAAAGGTATATATTCTTTCATTAACAATCCGCAGTCAAGGTTTTCACAGAAGGGTAAGTACAAAAGAGGGATCGGCGCTGTATTTGACTAGAGCACTAGGCGTGCTGTACAAACCGCAGGTCTAGGTGTTGCATACCGGTACCACATGCCAAACGTTATGCAATGACAGTAACAAAGCAGCCAGGATCTGATAACCAGAAAAGCAACGCACACAGCAGAAGAAAGCCCAGACGGAAATGAAAAAGAAATGGCTGGTACATGCAAGTACACGTGGAGGCGCTGTCTATTTGCTGCTGGGTGCCACGTTTGTGCCTTCTCATACAGCCTCTCTTGCACACCGAGCTGTTTCTGTCAGTGTCCCCGGTGCGAACTACTATGAGAAATACATACTTCGCTGTGATGTATGTCCGAGCAGGGCTGAGCGACGCTTGTGCAGTACGTTTCCAGCTATGATGCCGCCAATCTTGTAATGTTTCAAGCACACGTGGTTACTAAACCGTGATGCTTCGGTAGGATGAGGTGGGCGTATAATTAAGAGGTTCCTTCAAGTACCCATTTGTGGACATCTAACGGCGGACAAAACCAATTAAAACCAGAGAGTCTCATACCGGTAGTGAAGGTGTTTGTGTGCGACATAAACAAACAGAACCGGAGTATGAGTATGACGTTTAATATGCGGTAATTGTGGCTACAGGCCTTTGCACTGCCTCGCCCCGCCGTGAACTGCATTAAAAGGAAGACTCTACAGCTTACTATGTTGTTAGTATTGATACAAAGGTACTCTTCCACTGCGCATAAAGCTGCGGTAAATCCGCCTAGCTAGCTCGTTATTCCGCGACGACTCGCATGCCAACGACCGAGCCAGGACTTGGATACGGTAGTTACAAATGCAGTAAGGGCATTCATTGCTTTATCTCTGTACAATTTATATAAGTGTAGCAATTTACACAACGCAAACTGCATGCAGCAGTACCCTTGTCGACCTCGGATTTGAAATCCAATTCCTATCCGTATGCCAAGTAACTGTAGACTGTAGGCTTACTGTAGAATAGGTAGTGTGTGTTTTGCAATTCCCAGACATTTGCGCTGGCTTAAGGTGTCGTGTTCCAGTTCACAAGTCTACTACTGTCTAGCGAAGTCCGCCCGACTGCACTACGACCTTAGTTTGTGACGTCTTATTTGTAAGAATATATATATCAAAACAGCTGCTTACACCTGATTCGGAGGCTTAATGTACGTGTTAGCATCTGCAGCAACGTGGGAGGCATAGAGTCGCTAATGAAGGCGGCTTCTGAACAATTTCGGGCTTGTATGGATCAAAATAATGGAGGCAAGTTGCGTGCGTTTTGGTCATGATCCTTAGCTTCGTGTTAATGGGCTAGCGAGACTGCATCTTCGGACAGGTCCATTCTCTATAACCTCAGCTTGGTAACCTACGTAAAGCGTACGCTCCCGAAACCCCTGTTCTCATTGTCCCGGAAAAGAAGTTGGAAGCGTGGCTCCTGCTTCGCACATGGATGTCGAAGTGAGTCCTAACAGACTGGCTGTACTGAAAGTATGAACCAACATCATATCAGTTAGGAACTAACGGCGTTTTTTCTACGGCGAAGCCTCAGCTGTCTGCAAGGCGAATCTGCAACGCAGTGAAGCGGTAAAGTTGGCAGCCAGACCGAATGAGGCCATGGGCACTGGATAAGCTTGAGAACCGAGGGGTGTAAAGCTGAAGTGGAGGACATACGTAAGGAGGCGCCTACCAGCAGGCACCCCCCCCTGCCTCCAGCTATCATCCCTGGCATGTGCGGCAGGCAGCCAAGCAAGTTAATGCTGAAGTCCAGTCCAGTCATATGTGCCCCTATATCCCTATTGCAACGGAAAACCGAAAGCGCTTTTGCCCCTGTTTCACCCAAGCCATGTCGTCTCTGTCCCCTCCAGGACTACGAGTACATCTCCACCGTTGGAGAGGGTGGATATGGCCAAGTGTGGCGCTGCCGGGAGAAATGCTCCGGGAGAGTCGTAGCCATCAAAGGCTTCAAGCAGGTCGGTTGGTTGGTTTTTTGGGTCGCTACCGTGCTACATTGTCAATAGCCACGGAGCCTGAACAGGCACCAATGCAATGCACGAGTAGGGCTTGCAAGGGCTTGTCCCCCGCACTTCCCGCTACTTTATCAAGGACTGCAGTACCCGCAGTAATACTGCATTCCTGCCATGTGGCAAGCAAAGCCTTGACCATGAACATGCTTTCCATCATTCACACGCTGCTTAGCAATTTTCGTGTTTCACAATGCTTCGCAGGCGCACGAGGATAAGGATGTCATGAGGCTAGCTGTTCGAGAGGCAAAGCTGCTATTCTCCGTTGACCACCCGAACATTGTAAAGCTGTTGGCTGCCTTCAAGTCCACAAGCGGCCGAGTCTATATGGTGGGCATGAAGCCCTTGTTTGTTGCCCTCGTTTGTTCGTTTAAGAACACTGTGGGGTCGAGTTGTACAAGCATGTGTTCCATATGCATTTGCAGAATGCACCCAAGCAACCTGCATGCAACTCCTAGTTCGTCTTCCTCTCCCCTTCTTCCAAACGTCGAGATTTTGGTGTTCGCAGGTGTTCGAGTACGCCGAATCCAGCATACGGGCCGAGCTCAAGCGCTTTCCCCAGGGCCTGCCGTCCCGCAAGCTCAAGCTGCTGACATGGCAACTACTGCACGCGGCAGCCTACCTGCACGACAGCAAGGTACGGCAGAATGTCTATTGTGCTTGTGGCCGCCTTCAGGCTCAGCTCACCGTGTGCTATCTTATCTGGCTCATCTCACATGTGCGTGTACCGTGGTCCTTGGCCCCGCAGATCATGCACCGTGACATCAAGCCCGCAAACATCTTGTTAGATGGCAACGGCATTGTAAAGCTCTGCGACTTTGGATTCGCTCGGAATATTAACTGCGGCCCAAGGGATGTTCATCGCTGCACCTCCTACATAGTCACCCGTTGGTACAGGGCACCAGGTACGGCATACCGTTGTTTTGGTAAGCCATGTACACCACAGGGGTTATGCCGCTGCTTCCAAGAAATGGTCGTAGCTGGTAATTCTATTAGGCCTAGGCTGAGCTGTGAGCCTTGACCCTCCATTTAAATCAAGGGTTTCAGGAGATACCAGCCATTGCGTTAGTATCCTTTGCTCTCGTCCCTCCCTTCCAATCGACCTCGCAGAGATCCTTGTGAATGATTACTATGGCCCAAGCTCAGACGTAAGTTCCGGAGCGGCAACTGCTGCTGTGTGGGTGTTTTTGTCTCTGCACTCTATTCCTATGTCATAAAAGCTTCATAGCATATTCTTTATCCGGCTCGCAGGTTTGGAGCATCGGCTGCACGATCGCCGAGATGGCAACCGGCCGGGTGCTCTTTCCAGGTAGGTGTACCTGCCGCATGCTTACGTAGCCGTCTAAGGACTGCGTTTAAAGTGAGCATAAATGCTGACATCGGGCGGCCTCCATAGCCTCCATGTTTTTACTTCTCCTTGTTTATGGTTCGCTCGTTGTGAGCACTGGGGATTTACCCTGATTATCTCCCTAACTCGGCAGGCGAGTCCACGGCTGACCAGCTCTGGCTCATCATGCGCTGCCTGGGCCCACTGCCCTGGCAGCAGGCGGCTCGCATGGCTGACGACCCCGAGCTCTGCGTGCTGTCAGCACCGCGGCTGCACAAGACCCTGCGTCAGCGCCTTCCCGAGCTGGAGTCGCAGCTGTTCCAACTGGTGGAGGCGTGTCTGCGGCTGGACCCGCAGAAGCGACCCACGGTTCAGGAGCTGCTGCAGATGCCGTATTTTTGGGATGTGGAACGCAGTATGAAAGGAACGACACTTGAGTTATACCTGTTAGGCGTTCAGGCGGGTAAGGACGGTAGCAAAAGCAACACTCAGCGCGGACCAGCAGCCGTCAAGCCAGCCACAGAGCACGTTTTGCGCCAGACCACGCAGTCATTGGCTGCACCGGAGGAGCTGCAGCACCGAACATCGGTAACAGGACAGCGCGGCCGTCCCATTGTAAGGGCAATATCAGCTGCCGGCGCCCCTGACGTCAGCAGCATGGCCGCTGCGTGCAACGCCGCACCCATGAGCGTCGTAGTGCCCGATGGAGGCACTTCCCAGGTCTTGCCGTTCTCCATCCACAGCCACGGTTGCGTCCCTCCCCAAGCGCCTTATGTGGACGAAAACGTCAGCACGTCGCCCGCGGTATCTTCGGTTGGGCGTCTTGTGAGGGCTCCCAAGGCGCCTCACAGACATGATGCTGAAAGCGAGAACGCTGCAGCCGACGCCGACTCCACATTGGCAACTGCAGATGCAAACAGCGTCATGCCTACCTCTCCGTTCGCAGATCCCGTGTTGGCGCACGCTGTCTCCGTTAGCCAGACGTCACCCATTGCCATCAAAGGAAGGCAACACGAGCAATCCCTGCCTAGCCGCCCGCCCAGTAGCGTCGTCAGTGAGGCATGGGAGCACGTAGCCACCCCCACGGGTGCGCCCACCCTAAAGCAGAAGCCTGGAACCTTGCCGCCCCACGTGCGACCCACGGGTCAGCCAGCACTCCTCGCCTTGCAAAGGGACGTCAGCTGGACCACGGGCGCGACTGGCCGGCAGGATAGCCGGCACAACCTGTTGCGGGCGAGCACTGTCACTGGCACAACCGGTACCACCAGCAAGGGTAAAGCAGAGGTCGAAGGCTTGGGACGTGGCCGTACGGACGGCCCCTCTTTTTTCTTCGGCGGAAATGCTGGAAGCAAATCCGCGTCTGGAGGCTTTCCTGCGGGCCGCAGCTTCAAATCCACTGCCTCCCGACTCTTAAGCTTCTTCAGTGGTGGTCTCTCAAGCTCCGTTCCACACGCCGAAGGTTCAAGCGCGCGGCGCACGGCAGGCGACGGGGTGCCTCATCATCTCCTACCTGACAACGTCACAGCAGTCTCAGTACAGGCGTGTGCTGCTGCTGCCAGCACCGCCATCAGCGGTATGGCCACACGCGACCTGTGCAGAACGACCTCCCTACGTCCGCAACGCAGAAGTCGCTTGGGATCATCAACCGTTACCCCGTCCGCTGACGGAGTTGCCGCCGGTACCCTTCGTGCTGCTCGCTCGGAGTGTCAAACACACGTACTCAGCAACAACGGCTACGAAGTAATCGAGCCCAGCGGCCTATCACGCCTTGCATGTGGGAGCAGACCCACTAGCAGACTTACCAACCCGGTTGCCTTCTCTACACCGGGATTCGCAGCGCCAGAGTCATTCCAGCAGCAGGAGGTTCTGCTGGCAAGTGGTTGGAGCAAGACTGGCGGCTGCACGGATGATGCCGTGCCCCATGTTGCTGATGAGGGCGGGAACAAAATCGTCCGCGGCTTCGCCCGCCCAATCAGCATCGTCGCGGGCGGCAGCGCAGGCAACTTGGAACGCAGCACCCACGGAGCTGGACAGGAGCTCAACGTATCGCAGTCCGTGTCCGTCCACATGTCCAGGCTCCTGAACCCGGCACGCACATCTGGCAGGAGCACGACGGCCCTGATACCGTATGCCTCCCCCGTTGCATCAGCATCTCAGCATGCCTCGCCTCGTGGTGTGATTCGGCGGGCTACAACACCGAACGCCTTGTTGCTTTCCGTGGACGACGTGATGGTTGCAGCTACTGCGTCTAACTCTCACACGGCGTCAAGGTCGGCACTTGGAACCTTTGCATGGTTTGCGCAGCCTGAGGACGCAACACCACCGCCACAGGCTGTCGTGGACTGTTCACAGCGGCAAGCTGCTCAGATGCATGCAGACGGTTCTGAGAAGGGCCGCCATCACTTTGGTAATGGATGGAGGAAGGGCAAAGGCGCTTCCAAGGGCATGTTCTCTAAGCTGGTAAGGGCGCTAAAGCAGGCTGTTGCTAAAATTGCTGCAAAGTGAAACGTTCATGTGCTGGGTTTTTGAGTAGAGAGAGCGTGCCATGCACAAGGGGGCAGCTGAATGCGTATTAAGCGATGCATTGCCGGAGGGTCGGTGTCGAGGGAACGAACCGTACATGACATGAGAGCTGGCCGTGTTTATGTTGTTGTGAAGACGGCGGGCAGCAGTGAAAGGTGGTGGCAAATGCTCTGCACCGTCCCGTTAAATGGCAAGTGTCCTGCACCGTGCCGTTTAAGCTTGCATTTCATGCACCGCATGTGGTTGACTTGCAGACATAAACAGCGCATAGCATTACATGTGTGCTGCGCTTGGTGGGGTTGCTATGTGTGGGCAGCAGGTTTGGATTGTATTAGCTCTGATAAAGGAGTCCTGATAGACAGGTCGATCCAGGCATGCCTAACATTTGGGTGAATCCGGAGAGAGCGAATTACATGAGAGGTGTCGGACAAGCTATACAAGAAGGTAACCGTCCTAGGAGTCAGTCCATGACGAATTGCCCTATGCGCCTGGTTGTTATGGTATATAGTTATTTTAGGGCTCTCATATCTGTGGGGCGGGTGTGGTTGCTTACTTGGCAGTTCAAATGATGCGAACCATGGCGAACCCAGAGAACCTGCTGCTGAGAGCAAGCGAAGAACGAGAGACAGATGAACCTATCTATTCTTGAGTGTCGAGGTAGTGTATGCTTGTGCCGATCGTCGGAGAGATCATGATGCGCATAGAAGCATGGCGTGCATTGCCGTCGTGTGTGCAAGGCAACCAAGTATATGTGGGTGATAATGATTGAATGATAGTGCCTTATCATGTACTACTGCTCGATCTCGGCCATGTTCGGGAGACGGACGGAACGAAATTGCAACTGGAATGGGACTGGTGGGCCACAGGTCAGGCCGGGTATTTTTCGCTTGGTGTCAGCCGGCATCGTTTCCAGGTGGACATGTGTTAAAATAACTGTGGTGGACATGTGTGTGTGCTTTCAACTGAATGAACAGTTGTTTAGATTATACGGCAGACCATCCTGACGTGGTGCCTTGCTTGGAGGCGGTACCGGAGTATGAAGCATTAGACGAAAGTGTTCGTTCATGCGACTGGGTTTTTATTCTTTAGCACGCTGTCTTCACTGTCACAAACATACTTAGAAGCACGGCAGCGTCACGCTGAGTGCAACGCTACATGGGTGCTGAGTATGGGAGGAAGAAATTTAAACGGGCTACCAGGGGGCTACAACAACTATTCGTGCCAAACCGGTACGAACATGACGCTGCACCCTCAACAGACTGGCAGTGCAATGTATGTCTTAGCGTGTGCCAGGCACATGCACAGTAAATAATAGCCTTTCATTTTGGCCTATAGACTTAGTCGTAGTGCGTGGTTTGTGCTTTAGGGTGCCCTAGGCGATGGGGCATTCAGCCACCCTGCCCATCCTCTTGTGCAGCGGTTCAGCCGTTCGTCTCTTTGGGGCTTTGATACTGCTCAAGTTTTTTGCTTCGTTGCCTTCACTGCTTTCGCAGTCCTAAATTGTTTTATGGCCTGTCATGTGTAGCGTATCTTGTTTGAGGTATGCTGTGTTCCCTTTGCCAAGGCTCAGGAGAACAGGGAACATGCGTTAGACGCACTGGGTGTACTTCACTGGGGTATCACAGTATCAGTATTATTGTGCAACGGTGAAGGCTTCATTGGAGTCGCTGGCGGGCCATAGCTGCACCTTTACGAAGCGAGGATTGCACATTAAGCCTGCCGTGTATCCTGTGCACGTGGTGCTTGCGGAAACGTTGAGGCCATTCTGATACGCGAAGTCCAATCGAAGTAAGAAGACGTTGTTTCTATCAACCAATTACCAGAAATCTTGCTTGCTTTGCTGCCACTGTCCGAGTATCCCGCCGAGCACTGTCACGTGACGGTACCGGGACTGCCTAGGTCGCGTCGGCATACGGTACACGCTCACATCTCGATTACTTTTAATAGCTTTACTGCTTTAAACTTTTATAGCTATACTGCCTGGAAAGATGCCATGCTATTTAAGAGAAACGAACGGCGATGGATGTTGATGGAGAGACAGGCTTTGTCCAGCCAGTGAAATAGACCCAGATAATAATATATCCGTCAAGCCTTTGTCCAAACGTTAATAAAGTACTCTTTCTCAGCGAAATCATGTTTATGGTAGAAATGCAGAGCTCGACTGTCCGACAAATTACATGACATAAAAGTAAGTTCTTACATGTAATGAATCATTGGGGAAATGACAGTTCGACTCCACAGCCAGGGCCTGACGCACGGGGCCACGGGCACGCAAGGACGGGCAGAAAGTACGGGCACTTTCGTAAAGAGATTCGCCCGGGACCTGTTACAATGATACTTCATTTTAAGAAGACCATTTTAGCTGTAGGTGCAATTGTTGGTAAAGGAATATGATGCTACCCACACCGGTCACTGACTGAGAATGACAGTCTAGGCACATCCTCCTTTCATCGCAATACTACAAACCAACCAGTAGGTGATTGCTGATACAAGTGCGGACTGGCACAGACAACATGTCCCAAAAGGTAGTGAAGTCGGGATGTAAGAGCATCATTCAGCCACGGCTACACCTGCCATCTTCCGAAAGCTCACTAATTCATTTCTTACCCTCCTTCAGGACTATGAATACTTGGAAACAGTTGGAGAAGGTGGATATGGCAAAGTATGGCGCTGCCGTGAACGGAGCACAGGCAGGATAGTTGCCATTAAGGGGTTTAAGAAGGTGAGCAGCGCCGCACTCTTCTTAGGTCCCTAGATAAATAACTGGGTCATTGCATCCTCACTTCTCCATCCTGTCAATTACTGGGGCGCACCTGAATTGCTTGCATCCAAACACGTGCTTAACCGCAAGAGGTTGAACCTGAAAGTATGTCACGCATGAATACAGTATAAAGCAATCTACAATGATCATGTTGCCTTTTTTGCAATGCCGCAGTCGCATGAGGAACCAGCGGTAATGTGGTTGGCTGTGCGGGAGTCTAGAGTGCTGCGGACGATCCATCACCCCAACATAATAGAGCTAATAGATGCCTTCAAGTCAAAGAGTGGCCGCGTATATTTGGTAAGGCAAACGGATATCAAGGTTCTGTACCCCCCCGGTTTCAGTAGTCCCCGGCCCTCCCCTCAATCCTACCCTCTTGGGTCCAGCCAGAAACCCGCTTATGCCTTTCCTTGCTCGTCATGACTCCCTGTTAAGGAAGGTATCCGACTGGTTGTGCCCCCCCTAAGCCCTAACCCCTCACAGGCTGCCAGAGCCCATATTCATGATTAACTGAGCAATGTTACCCGGTACCTAAACGCAGGTGTTCGAGTACGCCGAATCCAGCATACGGGCCGAGCTCCAGCGCTTTCCCCAGGGCCTGCCGTCCCGCAAGCTCAAGCTGCTGACGCGGCAGCTTCTGCACGCGGCGGCCTACCAGCACGACAGCAAGGTGCGACAATTGCCACATAGTCGCAGCCCTAACCACCGAACATGCTGCTCTTGCTTTGTCATGCTAATGGCCAGCCCATCGTAGACACCTCCTCCTTGTCGTAGATTGTTCACCGGGATATCAAGCCTGCCAACATCCTCTTGAGCAGCAAGGGCGACCTGAAGCTGTGTGACTTTGGTTTCGCGCGGTTCACACAATGTGGCCTGAAAGACACGAAGCCGTACACCCCGTACGTCGTCACACGGTGGTATCGAGCGCCAGGTGAGACGTGCATCAGTTCGTCCCATCAGACATATCAGAGACATGCTCAAGCATCCGTAACGATTCTGGATCCTGCCAGCTGCCTATACCGTATCCAGGCAATCAGGCTCCAGTACTCTTGCACCAGGGGTTTCTGACGCTTGCCCGTCCCTTTCCCACCTTTCCCACCTCAGAGATCCTGGTAAACGATCAGTACGGCCCAAGCTCCGACGTAAGTTGCTTTACAAGATGGCCTATGAAATGCGTACATGATGTATGGGTTGGGCTAAACCTTGGCCCGAACATGCTATAACGGTGAGTCGGTTGTCGTACAGGTCTGGAGCATCGGCTGCACTATTGCCGAGATGGCAACCGGCAGGATACTCTTCCCCGGTGCGTCTTCAAGGAGTACATTCTGGAGCCCGGATGCTGCTGCAAAGCCCGTAGCAGTGCCAAACAGAACTGCAGGACAATACACATGGGATGCACTTGTTGATTGCCTCTGTTTGCAAGGTTCGTTGAGACAGTTTCTACGCTTGCCGTATCCACAGGTGGCACTACTGCCGATCAGGTTTGGCTCATCATGCGCTGCTTGGGCCCATTTCCCTCAAGGCAAACCGCCCGCATGGACCAGGAGCCCAACCTCAGTGACATCTCACAGTCCTTCCCTGGACTGCACAAGACCCTTCGTCAGCGCCTTCCCGAGCTGGAGCCGCAGCTGTTCCAACTAGTGGAGGCGTGTCTACGGCTGGACCCGCAGGAGCGACCCACGGTTCAGGAACTGCTGGAGATGCCGTACTTTGACGATGTGCGAAGCGAGGTGCCGCTGGGAGACCAGGCACCGTCGGGATTGCGCATTTCTGCGGCAGCTGCAGCTGCGGCGAAGCCACCGCTGGAGGCAAGGACGATCCGGCCTCAGGAGAGCAGTGTTGCTGAGGCGCCGCATCAGGAGCCGCATGGTCTGCCGCAGGAGGAAGTTAAGCAGCCGCTAACCATGGGGACCATTGCACCGCATCAGCCTACATTGGAGTTCCCATTGGAGTTGCCGCCAGCTCCTGTCGACGGCTCGTCATCCAGCAGAGTCGTACGACGCAGCATGACGCTAGCCAAGACGTGGGCTTCCGACCGGCTGCCGGTTCTTCGAACGCTATCTGCCCAAACCCGCGTAGATCGGCGCGATGCCTACAAAATTGCGGCGGCGGGCGCCCCTGCCTCTGCTGTTGCCCCTTCGACAGCTACTGGCGCCACCGTCTCCTCTGATGGCGGCTTCTATCTGCTGCAGGATGGAGCGTCAGCGCGGCCACGGTTGCATGCACTGCTGCCGTCCCTGACGCCTGTGTCAACGTGTTCGGCTGCTAGTGATCACCTCATGGCAAGAGCACCGGTAGCACCGGGGTCGTCACTCCCAAGGGGCAAGAGCCGGCTTAGCCTAGCAACGCTCGCTGGGCACCAAGACGATGCGGCGGCAGGTGTCGGTGCTCCATTCCTGGCTAGCGCAACCACGTCTTTGTTTGGCTACGTTGCGCAGGTTGGCAGCAGCACATTACCGCCGATAATGAGGGAAGGTTTGTCAATGGACCAGTACGCCCGGATTAACAGCTCGGTGCTAAGTACACAGTCCAATAGCTCAGTCCTGGCGTTTGGTTCGCATTCCTGCGCAGTTCCGCAAATTGCGGATGAGCAGCAGCCACGCACCCACAGCGCACGCAGCCTGAAGCGGCCTAGCCACTTATCTGCTAGCGAGAGATCCGTCCACAAGCAGGGGAGCCGGCGCTGGGGGACAAGCGAGGAAGGGCTGCAGCCTCAGCACGTGCTAGCCAGCGCAGCGGTTGCTGCGCCATCTGCATTCCGTGCGTCAGCTATGAACAGCAACCCTCCTGCAATCCCACGTGACCCGGGCCCTATGGCGACCATGCTAGCCGGTGTCCTCCATTCATCACGCAGACTGTTGCGACGGTCTACGATCTCTGGCCTGGCTTCTGTTGCCCCACAACCAAGGCCCCCGCGTGCCGTGAGTTGGTCATGGAGGCAAAGCAGCATTGGGAGCAGGCAGCGGGGGAGTTTTAGCAGTAGCAAGGATGGCAAGGGACATTCCAAAGGCACGTTCTCCAAGCTCGTCAGGGCGATTAAGGGGGTGGCAGCGAAGGTTGCAGCAAAGTGACATGTACGAATGGCCAGTTTGGCACTTGTTCCAAGCATGCAGTTGCCTTGCTTGTCATGCTACTGTGCATGTAGTGTTTGTGCAATAACACCGCACTGATGACGCACTTGTTGTATAACCAACTGGCTGCTATTCATGCTTTCGAAGATAGGGTACATTGCCGGGCCAAAGGATGCAATGGAGGAAGGGGCTGACGCCCCTGTACGGCCGCCGTTGGAACGATATGCATGTGCTGAAGGCCTCTCTTCTAAGGAGGCGCCGCTATGGGTACTTGCAACAGTACAATTGCGCAGCGTGTGTCCGGAGAATTCGTGATTAGAGAGTCTAATGATTTACTTGGATTACTGTGTCAGCAGGTTGCAGTTTTGCCTGTGGTCATTTTTGTGACACGTGTTGCCAACTGAGCTGCAAGGACGTTGCATGATGCGAAACTGCGGATGCGTGCCAGTAAACAATGTTGCGGTATTCTTAATATTCTTAGCAGCCAGTCCACTCCTTCCTGTACAGGGCTAATTCATCCTTTTGGCCTTGCTTGCTTTTTTCTCTTTATTATAGCGCTCTAATGGCAGACTCCGAAGACTGGTGATAAGCACTTGCTTAAGTTTGTTGATGATGGGTATGACGACTTTGGTGTACACCCCATTCCCTTGCTTTCGGCGCTGCATGCGCTGCGAGGCCATCGTGCCTTCAGTCGTAGACGATGAACAGTGCCCTTTGGTAGCAATGTTGTTAAGCTTGGAGCTTGGTGGCTTAAGGCACGGGGTTGCAAGTAAGCAGTGAGTAGGACATTGAGAAGAGCTTCGATTCACCAAGCCAAATACCAAAACTCGAGTTAAATTGGTTTCTGTTGCCTTTTGTCTGCGGTTGCTTGTTGACGGTTTCAAGTCCGCTGGCATGCCCTCCTTGTTCTACGGCAGCTTCTGTGTCGTAATGTTGTGTTAGCTTAGTGGTAGTACATTTGGGAGGTCCTGTATTGTACGGGCGCTTGAATGCGTTGTACGGACAGCCAGAGGGGAATATCGAGTACGAAGACTGAATGCATGAACCCTTTGTACTTTACTGTGTTCGCAACCTTGCGTGATGCTACAAACTTCTACATACTCGGTCTGCGTCCTACACTTTTGCGCTGTAAGCCAGTTGTGACCCATGGGTCACGTATTTGCTGTAGAGACCGGCACGGTCCAATCAACTGGCACCCAGTCTCCGAGTCCCCATGCATAGCACTGGAAATGAGCTCGTGTACGTGTCTTACGTGAAGGTAACGTAGGCAAGTAGCTAGGCAGGCGTGGTCCTGCTGCAATAGCAGTCCAGCCAAATCCACCTGAAATTAGGAACGCTGAGGCGCGCACAAGAGCGTTAGAATCATGTCAGCGCTTAACCACGTCAGAAATCCTACACCAGCAGCAAGCAGTCCCTTTGCCTTGTCCTGCAGCACCGGTAATCCCTCAAGGGTCTAACGACAAGCAAGGGATTTAGCTTCCGGCAACAAATAAGTGCGGGGCAATTCGGGAAGCAAGTTCAAACAGTCGACACTTACGGACAAACAGGGCAAGTTAGAGCTTCAGAGGACTGTACATTTTCAATCAAACATGAAACCTTCCTAGTTCTGCAGCAAAAACGTACAACGCCCAAAACGTGGGCATGACGCTTAACCTCGACCCTCGCGATCAACATGCCAACCACGTCACATCCCAAACAACGGTCAACCTCTTATACCTCGTTCAATAAAATATCGAGCCATCAGCTCGCAGAAATTCAGCTCCAGCAGTAAAAATCCCAGACGTTTTTTTATCTTCATTCACTCATTGGCTGCTTTACCCGTCCAACATGCAATGGGCGCACGGGCTTTCACGAACGCTCCGTATACATTACAAACGTATTCGGCTACACATGCAAACGCACCAAATTGCATTGTTGCGCGCTACATCCGTAACAAGAACAACAGCTGCGCTCACTGGCGGCAAAAATGGCCCGCCTTCTCTCTCTCTCTCTTTACATTTCAGCCGCAACTTAATCAGAATTGTGAAATAAGTTGTCTCCAACGGACCATCCTCTAAACCAGGACTTCACTAACAGCAACGGCTTATCTGTCTCTCAGCCAATTCTTCTCCATGCCCTCCTCCGTCCTAAGGAAACCAAGGGCAATCGAACAAACGAAACCATACGAAGGCAGGACCAATTCATTCAATGCACGTGCTACCAGTTATCTGGATGACGAACGGTGGGCAATAAAATCACTTGTTCTTATTCTTGTCGTTGCTTCATTTTCTCTTTCCTGCCTACCGGTACTGCCGTACACGCACGCATTCATGCTCAGGAAGGCGACTCGCATGAAATACATACCCCAGAAGCTTGCATCCATTTTGTATGCTCGTAACATTGTCTTTGGCACGCGGTCATCCTTGAACAATTACTCATGCAGCACTACTCCGATATCTACGCACCCACCTTCATAATCACGGCTAGCTTGTGCAGCATACCTTTGGATGAACCCCTGCCCTCGGCCCCACCGCCCGCGCTTCCGCTTTGGTTGCAACAACCACCAACGCCTGTGGCTTCACTGTTACCCGCATGACGCGGGGTCCATTCTGCAGCACGAGGCACCACAGCGGGCATGATATCCGAGCACCTTACAGGCGTCACCGAGGCCGCCGCGGCGCCAGAGTGGTGCACGCGGGTGCTGCTACGAAGGCTGCTGCTAGGGCTCTGTGTCAAACCATCACTGATTTGAGGCAAGATGGAGGCAGAAGCCGAAAGAGAGGATTTGGCTCGCAGCATAGACCCACGGGTCTGCACAGGGAGGGAGGTGGACGTGCAGAGGAAGGCTGCTGGGGAAGATGGGGAGGCGGCGCGTGGTGCGACCGCGATGCAGTCTGGGGGCGGTTGAGAGGCGCAGGTTTTCAGCACCGGCAGGTCTATTCCTCGGCTTTGACTCCCTGTCAACGGGCTTTCCTTATCGTACGGACCGCGCACTGACATGGAACATAGGCGGCTTTTGCGATATGCTCCAGGTCCTGGCCTCGTCACCACGTAGTCAGTAGGTGCGGAGGCCAGGATGGGTGCCGAGCTAGGCGAGTTACCACGCACGGGTGTGGATGCCCGGCCGTCTACGGAAGGAACAGGAGCCGCTTCACCACGGCCACGGCTCCAATCATACACTGCGTTGGTAGCCGAACGCGAACGGTTGTTGTCGGTGCCGTTGTGGTCGTTGCCGCTGAGGAACTTCACAAGACGAGACGCGGCGTCACGGATGTTCCGGCCAAGGGAAACAGCACCGGGCACGGACCTGCCGCCGCCCTCAAGCTGCGAATTACTGCTCGTCATCACGTCACAACCAGCAGCACCCGTCGACGCCGCTAGGGGACTGTTGTAGGCAGCACTGACGCTGCAGGTTCGCAGCAGCTTGCGGTGCTCGTGCTTCACTCCCGAGCCGCTTGTTGTCCAACTGGCGTCCCTCTGCCTGGGAAGCGCGGCCGGCCGACCCTTGGGTCGCACGTGGGGTGGAACGGTGTCAGCAGGCGCCTGAAAGGCAGGCGCGCCTGTCGGCGTGGAGGCTTGCTGCCACATATCGCGCGCATTCCTGCTGCTGGACAAGGGGCGCGCCATGGATGTGCTCCCGCGACCTTGCTCGGTAGTGAAAGGTGAGGAGTAGGTGCCACCCATGTTTCGTGCTGACGCGTGACGTTCCACAGAAGGTGAGGCGGACAGGGTAATGACGAAGTCTCCGCTATCCATCATATCCATGAAATGATTACCACAACCGTCCTTGGTGCCGGCGTTTTGGTTGCGCGGCGAAGACGATGGCACGGTGACGAGCCGGTTCGGAGCCGATACGATAGCAGCACCATCACTGCTGCGGCTGCTCGCAAGCATGCCGCAGCTCCCAAGCTCTTCCAACGGAACGCAAAGCATGTCCTCGTCGTCCCCAAAATTCCCTTGCATCGGTGTGGCGCAACGCAGCGCCAGGGTTTCTGGATCCTCGTCGTCTGCGGCCAAGGTACTAAAGTTCTCCGGTATGTCTTCGACAGAGGGCTGCTCCCCACGAGCAGCGTACTCGTTGCGCCTAACGGCGGCCCGGCTCCCCTGTTGCGCCTCCTGTGGTTGCTGCTGCGGCGGCGGCGGCAGCGGCGGCTGTGCGTTTGGCAACTGCGAAGCTGCGGCAGACTCCACAGCGGTATCAGCAGTGCCACGGCTGGCCGAGTGGTGCGAAGTGGCTGAAACCGCAGTGGCCGCAATATTAGGCGCATGCGCCGTTGCGGGATCGTGGTGCTTGACATGTGCGGTGATGTCAGCAAATGCTGCCAGCGCTCGCACGACAAACGATGACTTCCTGCGGGAAACGGTACCTTCGCATTGCTGCTGTGTCGCTGCAGCAGCTAGGGAAGCAGCTGATGCCTCAGCGCCCAGCGCTCGAGAAGTTCCTGCGCGCTGCTGCTGGTCCTGCAACTGCTGCGTGCGGCTCTTCCGTATTTCCTCACGCTGAGGCAGCTGCAATGACAGCTGAGGCGCCGATACTGGCGCCCCTAACCTTGCTTTCACACGGCCGCAGTCGTCGCCCACCGCCATCCCCTGTTGCCCTTCTCCGCTGCTCCTCGCCTCGGTCTCCTGCAGAAACGCCTCCAGCGCGCTTCCCTCCAAGCAGGCCTCCACATCATCAAAGTACGGCATCTGCAGCATCTCCTGAACCGTGGGTCGCTTCTGCGGGTCCAGGCGCAGACACGCCTCCACCAGTTGGAACAGCTGCGGCTCCAGCTCGGGAAGGCGCTGACGCAGGGTCTTGTGCAGCCGCGGTGCTGACAGCACGCAGAGCTCGGGGTCGTCAGCCATGCGAGCCGCCTGCTGCCAGGGCAGTGGGCCCAGGCAGCGCATGATGAGCCAGAGCTGGTCAGCCGTGGACTCGCCTGAAGACGAAGGACAGTGGACGGAGGTAACCAAGTGAGGAGTGCAGTTAACGCATTGAGGCGACCTAAAGTTCCGACATAAAGTTAGGATGCCAGTGGCCACGACAGCATATTCCCATGCGTGCGTTTCGTGTTTACTGGTTGGATCTGTGGAGCAGCTGAGGTGTGGTCCGACCAGCTAAAGTACTGCCAGCCGTTTTCTAGTGCCGCGGCGGCTCGTTTGGGCACCTACCTGGGAAGAGTATCCTGCCCGTTGCAATCTCGGCAATTGTGCAGCCGATGCTCCAGACCTGAACGAAAGTAATTAACAACAGTTATTTTTGCAACTGAAAAAGAAACAGTACTCAAACTCAGGACTAGGATTGGGTAACCCCGGTAAGCCATCAGGGAGTTGAACACAGCAAAAAGCTCAACCCATGCAGATCCATCCCCCGCTAATCCGGTTCCAACTTACGTCAGCGCTGGGTCCATAATAGTCGCTAACGAGCACCTCTGCAGCACACAGGAAAAGCACGGGCAGTTAGGCCATGGTTAGCCATGTGTCGAACAAAACAAGCAAGGTCGAAACCCGTGGTCCTAGCAGGCCCGCCCAGTGGCCCACGGGCCCATCCGCACCTGGAGCCCGATAGTGGCGCGTAACTACGTACGAGGTACAGCGCTGCACGTCCCTTGGCCCGCATGTGGTGAAGCGCGCGAAACCAAAGTCGCAGAGCTTCACGATGTCATTGCCGTCCAGCAGAATGTTGGAGGGCTTGATGTCTCGGTGCACAATCTGTTGTTGGGGCAACCACAATAGGTGAGAATGGCGATACCTATTGTTGGCAGAAATGAGGTGTGGGGATGGCGCGCAAGGAGGCTTGGTATCATGCATGCATGCAAGGCTTATGGCAAATTTGTTAACAATTAAATTGCACCGGTTACGGTTCAATTAATGTATAAGGGTATAAGAAACAACAAGGCAGCCGAACGCTCTTGTTGCTGATGCTGCCCCCATGTTCCTGGCTTGCTTGTCGTACGTACGGAACATACCCGGTTGTCGTGCAGGTAGGCTGCACCGCACAGCAGCTGCCAGACCAGGACCTTCAGCTTGCGAGACGGCAGGCCCTGGGGGAAGCGCTCCAGCTCAGCCCGCATGCTGGATTCTGCGTACTCGAACACCTGCGTGTTTGCGAGTGCGGTTGGGTCACGATGGGAACACGATTACGCATGGAAGGTGGCAGCAAGGGACAGCGCCACGTGAAGGGAACGAAGCGGGTTGCTGCTTCACACGGTTACAGTGTCTCTCCTTCTTTGCCCACCCACTCGCCCCACCATAAATATCCTGCCGCTCTGGGAGCGGAAGGTGGCCAGCAGGCGCACCAGGTTGGGGTGGCTGATGGCAGTCAGCACCTTGGCCTCGCGCACGGCCATGCGCAGCGCATCCTTGCAGGTGTGGGCCTGTTGGGGTGGGCGGGCGAGGGCAAGGGCGTGGGTGGGTGGTGGGTAAAGTGGACTTGACGAACCAATGTAGCAAAGGCTTCATCGGGCGGTGAGTGGTTAAATAGGTATGTCATACAGCTGCGTGGGAGGCTGGTTGGTTGGGGGGGGGGGGGGGTGCTTGCAAAACTCTCATTCAGCGCTAAAGGTATCAAGTTGTAGGATGTGGGATGAGTTGGACTTGTGTGGAAACCGGGGTCACTGCTGCGTACGTGTGATAACGCACCTGTTTAAGCCCCTTGACAGCGACCAGGTTTCCAGTGTGCCGTTCGCGGCACAGCCATACCTCGCCGTAAGCACCCTCCCCAATAGTTGAGATGTACTTGTAGTTCTGCGTGGGCGCCGCAGAACTTCGTTAAGTAAATGGAAGACCTAACCATACTTTGTCAATTGGTCGCTATTGGGGGAGTATTACGAACAAACCCTACGGATGGCGGCAGTTAATGCGTCGCGTGCATAGAGAAAATACGGCAGCAGCAAGCCGTCCTGTAACTTTTATGAAACCTCGTGATAGTCTTGAGCGCGAGAATGCTAACAAAACGCACTAGCGCCGCAGACTTCCAAGGCCCGACATCTAACACCAAAATGAGCGCCCAACAGGAAGTCGCGATGCAACGCAAATAGTGTCACGGCCACCGAGCGGTCACGGAAGCTAACACTTGGCCATGGTACCCTTGCATCTACCGGTAAACACCTCGGAGCTGAAGTTCCCTACGCTGTCAGAACTACTTTACCTGCATTTATGCAGAAACAGAGAGCGACTCCAGAAGGTCGACGCCAAATAACGCAGTATGGAGGCCGGCCAGACGACACATAGGAAATACGTGGAAGTATACACACGTTTCCAGGCGCACTGCCTAACCACTACTTACTAAATCTAGGCATGCTATTCAGAATACGAAGGTGGATAGGAAGGCGGTATGTGGTCATGGATATGCCTGGTACCTCGCTTTCGTACTTTTCATATCCCTTTACACATGCCAAAAGAGCTGATTGGTATATTTTAACTGCTAAATGAGATACGCAGAATATGATTGCGTACGGGAACACGACATTCACCATCATCTAGGAAAGGGGAAAAGGGCAGTACAGTTGACGAACCATAAATGGAAGTTTGGTTAGGGGCAGCAAAGTGCAAAATTCTCTTTCGCTTACTGGGGTACGTTCCTTTAGGATTAGCTGGAGAGCTTGTAAGACGTTACTACATTTGTGCAAGTGTAGCTTGCGAGCATATACGACGCCATGGAGACATCGCAGTTACAGAAGTTTAAAGATATCGACCCTAAACCCGAAAAAACTTTCACGTCTGTGATTTGACGCGGTCGTTCGCTGGACGAACCAACTGCCGAACGCTCAAGAGGAACGCGGATCTAGATAGTCCCAAATTACACAAAAACACATCAAAGGACTTCACATATACACGCAATAGCGTAAGATTTATGAAAGCGGTAATAAAGAGCGTACTGCCATGCGGCAACCAAATTGCATACATGCTCGTTGCGTTCTTAAGGAACAGAAGATGTGGTAATGAACGTTCCGGTAATGCCCTTGGGGTCAGTATGCTACCGGTGTAGCCGCAGAGTAACATACACCGTCGGCGTGCGTCGCGCTTCGGGGCCGTCGGCACGTTAAAAGAAAGTGCGCTAGTTTCGTGCAGGTATTAACTGCAGACGAGGTCGTTATCAGGGCATGTCCTAGGCGCTCGGCTCGATATGACCTATGCAAAAACCAAAAGTGACAACAATTGGTAATGCGGCAACACTGCGCCCATACCGTAATCCCTCTAATGGCAGCTGCAGTCACAGTTGATTCTCTTGAGCATAGGAGTGTCCCAACACCTTCTAGCCTTCTTTCCAAGACACCAGTCGCTTAATTACGCAAGGTTGTACTGAACCAGCAATCCCAACAACCTCGGTCTCCACCGCGTCTAACCCATGTTACTTCCGCTTCCTAACCCATGCCAACATGCCACAGCCACAACGTCCTTCTATTGTTGAGAGTCTAGAGAGTCTAACATTCCCAACTAGCTCTTTTCGCCTAAAACATGCCTCCCCCGCCACCCCGTCGGCAGCTGCTGTGTAAGGCAGTGCACGTTACCGCCCCCAAGCAGCAGCTCCCGAGTCAGCACCCCCACCACCCGCCGGCCGGGATAGGCGGCGGACAGCACCGACAGGGCGGCGGCGTCGCTGTCACTCTGGTTAGGGAGAGGAAGGAGGAAGGGACGGGAAGAGGAGCAAGGGGAATGGAAAAAGCATGGGGTAAAGAGGAAACAACTAACTGACTGAGTGGGAATGTCAGGCGAGCAGGCATGAAAGGGAGACGTGCGTAGACGTGCATGCACGTAGATTGATGCAGAAAGGCATTTTCCACATCAATGCAAGCGTGACACTCTCCTGGCTACTACCCAGTACCATACACGGCAGTCATACAGATGATGGCAAACATCAGGATGCCCCTCAGCAATCAGCACACGCCATCCACGCGCACAGCACGGTACCCCCCCCCTCCTACCTGCTCTCCTCCAAACTGCGGTACCACCACACCTCCATTCACCACATAATGATTAATGTACGATCCAGGCAGTCGTACTCCAGCCACCGCGACACCGCCGTACCCGGCCGCCGCTGCGCGCGCCGCCAGCCCGCCCGCCTCCGCCTCCGTCACCACAATGGGCGGCTCGGGGCAAGGCACCTTGACCACTCGCAGGGGCCGACCCGTGGCATCCACGCCGGCGGCTTGCAGCGCCTCGAGGTTGAGCTGTGACACGCGGTGCTGCTGAGCGTCCCGTGGGTCGTCGCACCAGGCGAGGAGCACGGTGCCGGGCTCGGAGAAGGTGGCGACGTTGTCCACATGGCCGTTGGTGCCCTGCATGGGTGCCGGACATGAGGAGGTGCGACAATGGGTGCATTTGAGTTTTTTATACGGTAGCACCAATCTGACCGCCTGAGAACGTGCAATAACAACCTAACCAAAGCGGGTTGAGTTCGGGTTTATGACCCGAGTTGGAAGGTACAATTGCCGCTGGCAAACGGTGTGTGCTGTGCGAGGAAAGCTGGACGGATGTGTTGCGCTTGCATACCCGCATGCATGGTTGCACGCACCTTCTCGTCCCCCGCCATGCCCTTCCGCAGCCACACCACCCGCGTGGCCCCCAGGAACTCGCACAGCTGGGCCTCTATGTCGGCTCGGGAGAGGTGCGGGTTGCGGGAGGGGTGCAGCAGACACTCCTCGGTGGCCAGCAGCGTGCTGAGGGGGTGGGTGAAGGCGGGAGTCAGGGAGAAGAACAGGGAGAAAGAAGATTGCCGGGAAACAAGGTGGGCAGGAGGCAAGCCCTTACCTCCGCCCAAACTGCCCATGCTTTAGCCAGCCACTCGCTCTGACGACGGCCCCTCTTCCCTTCCCTGTAAGTGGACGCCCCGACCCACCCCCACTTGTCCCCGTAACTTGTGTCCTCCCCTTGGGCCGCCCCGCACACGTACCCCAGCCCGTCACAGTGTATGGACCCGCCCTCCAAGTGCAGCTCGCAGCGGAAGGTGCGCAGCCCCGCCCTCGCAGCCAGCTGCCCGCCCGCCGCCTTGTCAGCGGACCAGTCGGGAAGCAGCTGGCGGGCGGCGGGGCAGGGGGAGAGCGGCAGGGGGGCAGCGGGGGGATGGGGGCGAGGATGGCAGGGAGCAGGTGGTAAGGCCCCCACGCATGGAGCCATGCAGCGGTCTACCGAGCTGCACTGAGAGACGACCTTCCCTCACTGGTCGGCATCAGCCATTGTCTTCTTCCTCTTCCTACTTCATGCGCCCCCCTCTTGCTCTTAACCTTCGCCCTTCCAAAGCAGCTCACCGCGTCACCGGGCCATTCCCAACCCCGCCCAGCCCCGCCCCGCAACGCACCACTGGCTTGCCCCACTCCTTCTTGATGGGCGCTCCGTAGCAGTTGTAGTCCCACAGTACGGCAGCTACCTCGCGACTGCCCGACTCCAGGTCATCCCGTACGACACACTGCATTGGGAAGTGTGAGGAGGGGGACACGTAGGACGTGATACCGGTAGATAGGGCACATGGGACGTGTGTGGAGAGGACACCAAGATACACAGGAAAACAAGAGGGGATGAGGGGAAAAAGGGAAGGGTTACTGGATATAAGGAAGTGAGTGGACCCAGGAGACAGGCAGGTAAGCCCCTGTTTGCCTGCCCGCTGGTACGATGTATAAGTGACTTATTGGTGCCCTCGCTACCGTACTTCCCCTCATGTACGGCACCCCCCGTGTGACCTGCCGTGGGTCCCCAGTCCCTGGTCCAAACGTCGTTGGTGGGCAGCGGCAGCACCTCCACCCCGGGCACATCCCGCAGCAGCCGGCGAGCCACATGCGCCACCTGGGGGCAGGGGGGGCAGGGGGGGTACCGGTAGAGGAGAGAGAAGAGGAGAGGAGACGAGAGAAGGCAGGGGAGGGAGGCAGGGGAGGGAGGCAGGGGAGGGAGGCCTGCATGGCCCACCCTGGTGTTGCGGCATATAAAGCGCTCCCAAGCACCCCTGCAACCCAACCAGACAGCTAGTACCGGCACCCCCGACAGGATACACATAGACCCCTGGGTTGCCCCGCTCCTCCCCTCCCCTCCCCCCGCCTCACCCGGGGGTCCGCAACCATCCACACCGGCTCGAACTGCGCCACTGCCGCCGCCAGCGCCGCCATCTGCTGCTGCGCCGGTACGGCAGCCTCGCGCCAGAGGTGCGGGTCGTACGGAAAGGCCATCCAGGTGCCCGCGTGCGGCTCGAACTCGCCGGGCATGCGGAATCCAAGGGAGCGCGGGGCGGGGCTAGGAAGGGGAGGAAGGGGGGAGGAGCAGGATGGGGAGGGATGGGAGGAGATGAGGGGGAGAGGCAGGGCGGCGGTGGTGCGGTGGTGGTTGAGGAGAGAATTCTATATGCTGAGCCGCGGAAACACTGACCCTGACGGAAAGGGAGGTAGTGGTAGAGGGAGGTAGTGGTAAGGTGAGGGCGGAAGAGGGCGCAAAGGCGGGAGGGAAAGACAGAAAGGAGACGTAAGAGGGTGAGAAGGCAGGAAGAGCGCACAGAAGGACGCAGGTGCAAGCAGTCCGCGGCCTGCGGTAACGGCTACTATGGTGGCGGCACTGGAAGGGCGTCCGCTGCTGCCTACCCTGCTGGGAGTGTGGATGCGGGCTGGCTGTCCGGAGGCGGAGAGCTCGGGCCTGCTGTAGCGGTGCTGCTGAAGGAACGTGCCGCTGAAGGAGCAGCGGCGGAGGGTGTGGTCTGGATGTGGTGGTGGCAGTGGCGGTGGCTGCGGCTGACGGTGACGCTGTGGCAGTAGCTGATGTGGCTGAAGCTGCTGTGGTTGCGGGTGAGGCGGTGCATGGACGGGAAGGAGGGGGGCGAGGATGTGGGGGCGCAGGGGGCCTGGGTGGCTGATGAGGCATGCGGAGGAACTGCGGAAGGGGCGATTCGGAGCCCTGCGCGTGAGGGGAAGAGGCGCGCGTGTCAGTGACGCCGAAAGAAGACGAAAGTAAGGATGAGACTGCAGGATTTGCAACATCATCAAGCTGTTGATACTCGAAGCGAATGTGGAGGATTCGGCTGCGATGTTGGAGATCGCGTACTCGTACCTGCTGCTGCTGCAGTCGGAATCCGAGCGGTTGGTTGAAACATGGCTCGAAGGAAAAGTGCAGGGCGTCCGATATAGAAGGCTGATCTGTATGCAGCTATAAAAATTGCGCAATTGCGCAATCCAGGACTTGGGCCTGTATGTTGGATGACGAAAGCAGTCCCTGTTTAGCCCAAGGATTGCGTATTGCACACTGATATAACGGTTCGCTGAATATGTTACAGGAAGATGCTTCTGTTGGTGATCGCAAAATGGTGAAAATTTCGCTAGAGGCACGACCCTCTCCGCTCAACTGCCTCCGAGACCAATACCCGCCAGTCAAAACATTTCTGATTGCTAAACACAGCGCCAAGCAAAGAAGAACTATGACAAGTATATCAGACACCTACCACCTCGCAAAATGGGCAGTATCAAGACGATTGACGGTAAGCATCCTATGGCGAGCTGTCCATCTGACCCTAGACCCGCATTTCTTTATACCATTCACGCGAGCGGGTTTCATTAGAACGTTGAATATGCCACTCATCATTAAGACAGTTGCACCATGGGTGCAAGAGGTGGCGCAATGTCCGGATCCTCTCTTGCTCATCATCTTGCTGTACCGCTACTCAGCAATCTGCCTACCTCACCCGGACCTTTTATGCAATACCTATCCTGGCAGGTAGTATGCTGGAGGGAGGCGGCCAAATCCTCCGCTACTCAGCTGCGCTGTCTGCAATCACTGGCATTGCGGTTGCTGTGGACCGTGTCCGTGCAAAGCGCTCCCGACCGGGTTTACAGCCACAGCATCTGACGGGCTTAAGACTAGTTGAAAGCATATGCAGAGGACAGCTGCAGGGTGAGAATGCGGTTGGGCTGTCGGCAACTTTATAATGGTCGGCTAAATGGTAACGTCGGCATTCACACACCGTATTCGCACCCGACAACAACCAACACCCCTCTGTCCCCCACATGCATTGCCGTACAGGCGGCGAAGTGGGTAGCAGCAACGTGGTTCTGCGGCCGGGAGTGGCTCGTTGTGGCGACTACACCGCAGATACCAAGACGGCGGGCAGCTGCACACTCATGGTGCAGGTGGGGCTGGGACCCATGTGACGTGAAATGTGAGGGAAATGTGTCCGATTCCTGTCTGATTTCTGCCTTAGGTTACCACTTAACACAACTGCTGCCAAACGCAGGCCTCCATGCCGGTCTGCGTGTTCGCCAGGCCGCCCTCCAGTGATGGCGGAGGTGCTGCCAGCGCTGCTGGGTGAGTCTTGGATGGACTCACGGTATGTTACATCCACTGAGCCGCGGGAGGCGCACTTGGCCCTGGGCCCGCAGCATTAGGAAGCATGCATACCGGGCATACACGCATACCTGCATGCGATGTCAACCGTGCCTCGTTACCTTTCTGCCCCTGCCCCTGCTGCTGCTCCCGCCCACCGGCTCCGAAACCCCTGCAGCAACAGCCACCGCCGCGTCAGTGAGCTGGAGCTCCGGGGCGGTACGGACGCCGACATGGCGCCGCCCGTGGGCTACCTCTCGCACGTGCTGGTGCCGCTGCTCAAGAGACTGTACGGCAGCCTCATGGACGAGCTTGACGTACATGTGGTACGAGCGTACGACGTAGCGGCTTTGGGGTGGCTGCTGGGGTGGTTGGCTGGCCATGCGAGGTTGTGGACAGAGGACAATGTTGCTAAGTGTAATACTGGCATGCGGTATAAGGAGCCGTTGACGTTGCATATGCGTACCGAGATGTACCCTCAGCTGCTGCTAGCACAAGCCAAGCAACCACACCGCCACGCTTGCGTCGTCCGGTGCAGGTACGGCGGGGCTTCTACCCCCGGGGCGGCGGCATCATCACCGCACGCATCCCCAGCCTGCCGCCCGGCACCCCCCTGCCGCCTCTGGACCTCACCTCCCGCGGGAAGATCACCCAGGTACGGCAGCGGCTGCTGTTGTTGCCGGTGCTGCCATACACGTTGCTGTTGCCATTGCGATAAGATGCAGGATAGCCCTTCAGAGAGAAGGCAAGCAACAGCTTGGATGTGTCTATGTGCATGTGCATGGGATTATCCCATCCTCATGTACCATCACGCTGTGTCATCTACCCACGTCCGTACATCCCTATGCTCCCCTGCCCCATGCAGGTCACCATCGTCGCATTCTCCGCGGGCCGTCTGCCCGTCAAGGTGGCGCAGCGGCTGGCGGCCTCGGCGGAGGCAGCGGTGCGGCAGACGCTGCAGGGGCTCGGACCCATGGGTCGCGGCGTGCCGGTGCTGGTGGAGGCGTTCCAGGAGCCGCACGACCGGGCAGTGGGTGAGTGGGGGTGGGTGGGCAATGTTTATTGGTCTATAGGATGAGTGTTGGATGAACTCGGACCATCCTTCTGCCCCCATCCTCATGCTCTTTCCCGGTGCAAACCCTCATGCCGCCAGAGTGCCTTAACTAAGGACTACCGGTATCAGTATCAACTGCAGTCCTCTGCCGCTGCCGCCAGGTGACGGCTGCGGAGTGGTGCTCTTCGCGGACACCGACACCGGCTGCCGTCTGGGTGCGTGCGTGCGTGGGGGGCTGTTGGCTCCAGGGGAAGGTATAGTAAAAACATATACCGATAAGTAGAAGAACGATAGAATACGCAAGACGGAAGCAAGTGGCGCAAAGGCAAAGGGAAGGCTCCAGGAGGGATTCCACGCTTCCCAACCACCCTGTGCCCTAATTCCCATCCCGCACACCTCCCTCTCCTCCCGCACACCTCCATTGATACCACCAGGCGCCAGCGCCAAGGGCGAGCGCGGGATGCCTGCTGAGGAGGTGGGCGAGCGGGGGGCGGCGGAGCTGGCGGAGGCACTCAGCAGTGGGACGTGCGTGGACCAGTGGTGCGTACCGGGCTGGGAACTTGGGGTTCGGGGAGGAGCAGGGAGGAGCAGGAAGGACGGTGTGTAGCTCGTTCTTGCAAGGTGTGGCTCGTTTGGTGTGCTATTCCCAGTCTACATGAAAACCGAAGCATTATAGTCGGACAGTGAACGACAGACAATGTGTATGCTGCTCGCCTCCCACTGCTGCTGCTGTGCCCTCCTGTGCAGGATGCAAGACCAGCTGGTCATCTGGATGGCCCTGGCGGCCGGCGTCTCCCGCATGCGCTGCTCCGAGCCCACCCTGCACACGCGGACAGCCATGGTGGTGGCGGAGGCGCTGCTGCCGGGCGTCAAGTTCGTGCTGCGGCGACCCACGGGTCACCCTGCTGCCAGCACCGCAGCCGCCGGCGCCGATGCCAGCGGGAAAGACGCTGCCGGCTTGCCAACGAGGATTGAAGGCAAAGGTGCAGCGGCCGATGGGGAGCGCGGTGGAGGAGGGGGAGGAGGTGCGGGTGGGTTGTGGCTGATTGAGTGCAGGGGGGCGGGTTGGACGGTGGGGCGGTCCATGGAGCCGGCGGGTATTGGTCCAGCGGTGGTGGAGAAGGCGGCAGGCGATGCGGAGGGGCTCGGGGAGCGAGGAGTTGGCGGGGAGTCGGGAGGGGAGGGGCGTGGCGGTGGAGGAGTGAGGTCGGCTGCTGGGGTGGGAGCAAGTACAGGAGGAGGGGCAGGGGCATCGGTAGGCCGACATCAGGTGCAGCAGGGAAGTGCCAGGGCACAGGCTTCAGGCGGTGGGGGTGGTGGTGGGAGGCAAGAAGGCCGGGGACGGGGTGGTAAGGGCGGCAAAGCTGGTTCAAAATGAACTTTGGAGTGGTGCTTTCGTACTGTGGAGGGAGCGAAGGATGGAGGAGGGAGATAGGCTAGCACTGCATGACGGACGAGATGTTATACGGCATTAACATCGAGCTTGGAGTAGAAGCATTGGGGGGGTGATGGTGGGCGGGCCCTTCTGGATCCGCAGACCCTTCTTGGCTTCCAAACCGGGCACTGAGTCACAGGGACCTTTCAAAAGCCGACTGGCAGATTGACATGGCTGCGTAATAAGTGCAGGAGGGTGCATGACCGGCGACGTCACATGTAAGCCGCGCGTGTAAACGGGCGCAGCGTGCTTAAGCTAAGAACAAATCGATGTCAAGCCATGCCTGGCAACGGTATTAGCGGAGAACAGGATGGGAATTACATTTTCAAAACCAGTTATAAGCCCAGGTCCAAGGGACTTGGCACCATGAAGCTGAGGCTGCAGCGGTTGACTGCAGGCGTGGTAAGAGCGTTTGCGATGTAAAGTAAGACCTTTATGGCCCCAGATCGCCCCTTCAGCATCCCCTCCACGAGAATATTGGCAAAGGTGTCCAGGTGTATGGTGACGATCTCGGTGTGGGGACTCGCGCGTTAAAGCGAGCCTACAACCTAAACAAGAAGCGCGACTCAAGGAGCGTTTTCGAGGTCCTTGGGGGCATGGACATGAAACCACGAAAGAAGCCCAAAGCCGTGCGCAAGCCCTAGGCAAAAGCTATTGTGCGAAAGCCTGGAACGTAAGCTCAAAGTCCATAGCAATTTAAAATGTGTATCATATGTGGCCACGTATCATGTAAGGGATTGTGACGACGCCTTGCATGAGGTGTGTAAGGCCCTCTGCTCCAAATGCCAAATCCACAGCATGTCGCGCGTAAACCATTCGCACGCAGGTCTTGCTAGTGATCATTTTCAACTAATTAGCCCTTATTTGGGCCCTGGTGTTATGTATAACAAATGAACTACCAAATACATACGGACCCTGCCCTTCACGCAGCTTTTTACGCTATACAGCAGCAATTCATAGCTGATGGCTATCCTAGGGATGATGCAATTAGGGTTGCACAAGCTGTCGCACAGGAACGCTTTAGGAATGGGACGTTGCTAGCAGGAGCGCAAGCGCACCAGGCACAGCGACGATCCTCGGCTGCTGAGGCTGCAGGTCGGCATCGCGATTCTCGAAGAGGTCATCATCGTGCGGCTCAGGAACAGGGACAGCAGCAAGAAGCGGAGGATGCTAACGAAGCAGCTGAAGCTGAAGACGAGGCGGTAAGCGGCATGGCATTTGGTGCTGCATATCTACATACGCATACATTTCGAGGGGCGGTCCTTAGCATACCGTTGTCGTCGGTCCGCTCGGCTAGTTTTGAGTTTCGCGGATGGTGCCCTCATCATCAATTGATGTGTTTCCATCCTGCAGGGTGCTGACGAGGACATCTACGAGCAATACAAGTAAGTAAATAGTCTTTACTGACTGTCCAGGTCTGAGCGGAACCCCGTGCTGCGGTGTTTACCGGCGTTGCATGATTTATGTACATGAGTGCAGCTTGCCGGTGTGTGTGAAACCTCATCACTAGTAGGCAAGGGGACGGTACCTCTTTCCTCACTCACTTGATAGTACAGGTAAAACCTCATTATACTCGCTCACAATCTAATACGGCAATACCCACTGTCCGTTGACTTCAGGCCCGCAAAAGTTGAGGAAGGCTTGCCTCACCCCGACCCAATAGTCGAGACGGCTTCCCTAGCGTCGGTCAAACCCCCCGACATCTCCTACCAGCACCACCTGCAGGTGGGGCACCGTTGTTGGCGCCGCATCCTTTACCATTTGCGTTAAGTGGTCAACATTGCAGGAACTGTTAATTCCCTGTGTGTGTGTATTAGGCTGTTGCCAAATGCGTATAAGCTGGTCAACTTGGTCTTATCCTTCTCCCACCCACCCCTGCAAACGCACACGCACACTTGGTCTTATACCCCTATAAACGCACTTGTACAAACGCGCCCACACCTGCACCCACAACAGGCCAATGTGGCAGCCAACCAGCTGTCCAACGCGCAGTTGGAGACGGTGTTGTACGCCTTCCAGCGGTTCAACCAACGCCTGCCAGACGGTAGGGAGAGGGAGGGAGAAAGGAGAGGCGAGGGCTGTAGGGAGGAGCGAGTGGAGAGGAGGGGGTGAAGGGAGAGGGGTTGGGGGGCAGTGGAGGGGGGAGAGGCTTGAAGGTGATCGGTCAAGTGTTAAACGGCCGCCTTCAACCCTCCCCCCACGCCTCATGGCTCTCCCTCCAACTCGACTCCCCCCATCCACGCGTGAGGGATATGGCACGCTGATTGCCTGATGAGCACAGGGGCGCCTTGCAAGAGGATTGTACGACGTAATTGCGGACGGCAGTCCGTCATGGCTTACTAAGCTCCCTTCCGTCCGTCCCTCCCCAGGCTCCCGCGCGGGGTTCTTCCTGGGCGATGGCGCCGGTGTGGGCAAGGGACGGCAGATAGCTGCCGTGATTAAGGAGTTTTGGGCCACAGGTGAGGGAACAACAGGTACATCCCTGGCATTCGCGGCAGAACATCCTTGGGGTCAGCCGACCCACGGGTCTTAATGGTCACTGCCTGTGTGCTTCAAGCCACTCCTCGCGAGTCTCTCACACCATCCGATCCGACCCCAATCCGTTGCCCTCGGCATTGTCTCTCCTTACGTAAAATCCCAATGCATGCATGCCTGTCAATCCGGGACGCATGCCGGAACTGCCGCCCCACATGAACCCCACCACCCCAACGCACCCCTTCCATCCCAACCCGTCCCACCCCAGGTGGTCGACGCGTGCTGTGGGTGTCCACCTCCACCGACCTGCGGTTCGACGCGCGGCGGGACCTGGCAGACCTGGGGGCGGCCGACGTGCCCGTGCTGCCGCCGGTGGGTGCGGGGGTGCATGCGTGTGGGCGCGGTAGGGCGGTTCGGTGGTGATAGGGTGCGGCAGGGTGCTGTGGTTGGAAGTGTGGAGTTGGGAAGGGACATGGGTGAATACCGGTTCTTGTACCCATCCCAACCCACGTACCCACCCGACCTTGGCGTGCATGCTGCCATACTGCACCTTGCTCACCTGATTGTGCTACCCGCACGTCTGCGCGCCCCGCCCACCCCGTCCCGCCCCGCCCAGTCACTGCACTTCTCATTTGTTGGTTACCCCGCCCCGTCCACCACCCGCAGCGCAAGGACAGCGTTCCCTCGGGCAACCTGGAGAGCGTCTACCCCCGTGGCGGCGTGCTGTTCATCACCTACTCGCTGCTCGTGTCCAAGGGCTCCTACCAGCGGCCGCCGCGACAGGCGGGCGGCAGGGGGGCGGGAGCAGGAGGGGGAAGAGGCCGGGGAGGAGGACGCGGGCGGGGACGGGGAGGAGGAGGAGGGGCGTTTAATGCGGCGGGGGATGATGCAGCGGCGGAAGGTGAGTGTGGAGGAGGTGGGACGAGGCGTGGCTGCGTTCCTCGAGGGCACACAGGACACTGGTCAGGGGGAATGTAGCACGTCGACGTCTCTTGTGCCCCTTGCTCCTTACCTTCCTCAGTATGACGTCTGGACTTAACTTTGTAGTCATTGTCAGCCTAACGTGACTATAGCATTCAGGCTAATGCGGAATTGATCCCCCGCAACCCCTGTACCCTGCAACCCCCCGCAACCACAGCCGCGCTGGCCGCCAAGCGCGAGGAGGCTCGGCGGCTGTTTGGCGCCGGCTCCCGGCTGGACCAGCTGGTCAGATGGCTGGCGGGCGGCGAGTGCCTCATCGTGTTTGACGAGTGCCACAAGGCCAAGAACTTGCTGGACGCGGCGGGGTGTGAGTCAAGGGGGAGGGGAGAGCTGGGGTGGAGAGGGAGTGGACAAGGGCCTGTAGGTGGAGTACGGCACCTTCTTCTCACGCCATTACCTTTCCTCCCTTCTCGTTTCTCTATTCTTGTACCTCCATTGTTGCCATGATCCCCAACTCCCCTCCCTATCTTCCCCCCTCCCTCCCCCTGCAGACTCCAGCCAGACCGGCCTGGCGGTGGAGGCGCTGCAGCACCAGCTGCCGGACGCCCGGGTGCTGTACAGCAGCGCCACGGGCGCCTCGGAGCCGGACAACCTGCGGTACATGGTGCGGCTGGGGTCGTTTGGCTACACGCACATCGGCCAGATGATCGACGTGCTCAAATCGTGAGTAGTGGGGCTGGAGGGGGAGGCGGGATGTGATGGGATGTGATGGGATGGGAGGGGGGAAAGAGGAGAGGTGGCCCGCCGCGAGATATGGTGGAACGTAATGGCTGATGCCGACACCGCGACGATGGTGTTGGACCGAAGAAGACGAAGCGGCCGTTGGAAATGAAGTTATGGATGGAGTGAGCTCCGCACACCAGGAGGCTCCGTACCGCCCTGCCTTACCCATGCATCTCCTCTCCCCACTCCCCAGTTCGGGTCTGGGCGCGCTGGAGATGTTCAGCATGGGTCTCAAGGCCTCGGGCACCTACCTGTCCCGCACGCTGTCGTACAAGGGGGCGGAGTTCCGACTGGAGCAGGTGGACATGGACCCCGTGTTCAGGTGGGGGGGTTCAAAGTATCACTAGGTGCGGCTCCTAACAGGCCTTCAGCACGTGCATGCTACTCGCCTGCATGCTTCTCGCCTGCATGCTCCTCACGTGTGTGAGTCTCACCCGCACTCTTTACCATGTGCCCGTGTCGCCATCGCTGCATTTCACCCGGTGTGCCGCCCTTGTGTCCACCGCCGCCTTCTTCCCCCTCCCCCTCCTCCCAATGCGCTCACTGCATGAGTCGGGATATGGGATTGGGATTCGTTGTTTCACTTATATAATTTTTTCCCCTCCTCCCAACAGGGTCATGTACGACAGGTCTTGCTCCCTGTGGGCTCTCATCTACAATGTGATGCGGCAGGTGAAGCCCAAGAGCAAGGGCAAGGGCAGCCGTGACAAGCGCGCCAGCCTGTTCTGGGGAGCGCACCAGCGCTTCTACCGCCAGATGCTGATTGCGTCCAAGGTGGGCTGACTCCTAGTTGCGGACTGAACGCCAGGGTACCTTTTTACAGATCCTCTCCTCGCGCTTCATGCCCCTTGCCTGAATAGCCCCTTGCCTGAATAGCCCCTTGCCTGAATAAAAGGGGTTCAATAGGAGCATGCGCACGGCTCCTCTCTGACCCCACGGCTATCTGCAACTCACTTGTGATTCGAGGAACCCCCGTTTGGCACCCCTTGGACACCCCTGCAGGTCCGGCGCTGTGCCGAGCTGGCGGATGAGGCCCTGACGGAGGGCATGTGTGTGGTGATCGGCATGCAGTCCACCGGGGAGGCCAACCTGAACAGCGCGCGGGAGCAGGGCGGCGGCGGGGGAGCGGCGGGCGGCAGGCGGAGGCGCAGGGGCGCGGCGGATGCGGAGGTGGCGGGCGAGGAGGAGGAGATGGAGGACTTTGTGTCGGCACCCAAGATGGTGCTGCAGGTGGGGGGGGGGCGGGCGGGCGCAGGAGTGAGGAAGCCTTGGTATGGGGTATAGGGTTGGATGACGGTTGGCTGGTTGGATCAGGGCTTGGCTATGTAGGTAGTGGAAAATGGAAGCAAAATGATGCAAGGCATGCTTGCCACGCGTTATTCGCTGCCATGTGACCCACGGGTCGTCCATATGGGTTGTTCCGTTGCTGCATTTCCTCTTGCAGAACTTCATTTCTCAATGGCTCTTCCCCGCGGTTGTGGACGAGGAGGAGACAACACCACTCAGGATGCGCAAGCTGCAAGTCGAGGTGAGTGCTGTCGTCAGAGCAGGGGTGCTATAAAGGCGCAGCATGTGTGTGCAGTGCAGCCAGTGGAGGGTATCCTGCTGTCCGAGCAGGGGATGCCGGAGCAAGGGTGCAGGAGTCCCTCCGTAGGAATAAGGATTGTTCTGCGCTATTTCACAGTCAATAGGTCCCGCCATGTTAAAAGGCCTCCCGCCGCACTGTCCCCCTATCCGCCCAACCCTGCAGGTCTACCGCATCTGCAAGGCCTGGCAGCAGCTGCCCAGTGCGGTGGAGGAGGCGGACAGGCTGGCGCGGGAGGCCAAGCGGCAGGCCAATGTGGACGCCCGGGCAGCTGCCCGAGCTGCTGCTGCAGCCGGCTCATCACCCCCGAGCGCTGCGGCAGCTGCGGCAGCGGGAGGCGCTGGGCCCTCCAGGGCCGCGGCAGCAGCAGGGAGTGCGGGTGCGGGTGGTGCCCTCAGCCCTTACGGACGAGCAGCAGCAGCCTCTAGGCAGCCGCAGCGGACGCCGGCGCCGGCGCCTAGGGTGGTGCTTGAGCTTGATGATGATGACGACTTTGTGGAGATTGTGGAGGTACGGCCGGCTGGGACGCCAGCCCCTGCTACCACACCGGCGCAGCGACGAGGCCAGCAGCAGGATCAGAAAGGGGTAGTGGTGAAGACGCCTGTTGCACCGGCTGCTGGGGAGTCCTTGGGAGGAGGGGCTGCAGCAGCAGTTGCTGCTGTGGCTGCTGCTGCCCTGAGTGTGGATGAGGCGCGGGATGACGACGACGACGAGGACGATGTGGTGGTGGCGGGGGAGCGCTCCCTGGACGAGATCCTGGAGGTGGGAGGGGGCATCTATTGACATGTGTTGTGCATGCCGATGTTGGGTCCGCAGCTGCACATGGGGACATGGTTGACGAAGGTAACAGTGGGGCGGGTCACATGGTTGCGGCTTAAGGGGTGTAAGGGATGTCGCATTAGGAGTCTCCATATGTAAGCTCGGTGTGTATGTATAGCTGTCCATGTGCAGTTGTTCATGTGACGTGGCTTTTGAAAAGGCACATTCCAATCTGTGCAGGACAAACGGCGCCGGGCACTGCTCACGGGCGACTTGATTGACCTGGCTGCGTGCGGCGAAGAGGAAGACGCGGAGACGCGACAGGCGTTGGCGGAGATCAAGCAAGAGACGTGTGATGCGGAGGAGAAGAAGCGGCGCGGGGCTCAGCGGGCCCAGCTGGAGGCAGAGCTGGTGAGTGCAGGGGTGAGGCTGAGATGACCCGCGGGTCACACTGTGGTTTTACGACGGAAGCATTATGTCTGGTAAGGCGACATTGGGTTGGCACTTACTGAATAGTGGTATTATCCTGTGAAATCATGCCTCTCAGGCTAAGGCGAGGAAGCGTGTGGCGGTGGAGCAGCGGGAGGTGCAGCGGCTGCGGAGCCAGCTGGCGAGCGGCGGTGCTGGTACATCGGCCCAGACGGTAAGGACAACAAGTGCTCAGAGGGGGTTCAAGGGCTAGTCACAAAGACATACACATGGCTGCATTCCTTTCCTGGTACCCCACATCTCTCCTGGGCATCATTAGTCTGACACCACCCTGCATGTTAAGGGCAAACCCTAACCTGCACAACATCTGCATGTTTGTTTCCTGGCAACCGACCCCGCAGGGAGCCGATGCCTGCCGCAAGCGTAAGGCAGCCCAGCTTGACGCCAACGGCGATGTCATCATGTCGGAACGGAACGATGAGGAGCAGCCCGGCGCTGCTGCCAAGGCTGCCAGGCGCAACAGCAGCGAGACTGCTGCCGCTGCTGCTGCCGCCGCTGCCACACCCACACCTTCTGTAGTACAGGGGGTGGAGCATATCTCACTCCTCTCATCAGACGATGAAGCTGACGACGGGGCATCCGTTCCGGAGCCACAGGAAAGGCATGCCGCTGCTGCTGCTGCTGCAGGAGCAGGGGCAGGGCCAAGTGGTTCTGGAGTGGGGCCAGAGAGTGTGGCCCTCCGGGCTGCTCGGATCCGCCTCAAAACTGCCGAGGCGGCGGTGGCTTCATTGCAGAGGAAGATTGAGCAGTTGGGCAACGGCAGCGGCCGAAGCCCACCAGGGCAAGCGAAGCAATGTGGAGGCAGCGGTGCTGGGGCGGTGGCGGGTAGGGCAGGGGGTGAGGGCCGGCGGTCCGCCCGTGTTGCTGCTGCGGCAGCGGCTCCCAGGCGTGGCAGCGACAGCAGCGGTGGCGAGGTCCTGGGTAGCAGCGAGGAGGAGGATGGGGCCGCTGGCGACGACAGCGATGACGAGAGCTGGTGTGAGGAGGAGGCGGAGGAGGTGGATCCGGCGGCAGCGGGGCCGTCGACGTCAGGCCGGCGGCGGAATAGTACAGCCGCAGCAGGGGCAAGGGCGGGTGCGGGGGCAGTGGCGGGCTCCTCCGCTAACCTGGCGCTGTACCGCCACACCGTCAAGCACAAGCCCCTGCGGCGACAAAAGTACGTCATGGTATTGATGGAATAAGGCTCCTTTAGGATTAAGCTGGTGACTTTAAGGATGCATTGCGGCCCTTTTTTCTTCTCTTTTCCCATGCTATATGTTGCCGTGATCGTAAAACGTGTGCTCCTACCGTGTCGGTCTTTACTAACCGATTCACAACTGCGGCATTGCCTCCCAGTAATGACAACAGTGACGAGGACGGTGAGGACCTGGATGGCCTGGTGGACGAAAACAACAACGACGATGGTGACGATGATGACCTGATGCGCAGCGTGCTGGGCGGGGCGTCCAACCAGAGGCGGGGTCCCGATCGGCGGGCTAGCTCTGGAAGCGACGGGGAGGAGGACGGTACGGCAGCAGTTGAGAGCTTCTTGCCGCCGGAGCTCCAGGCGTGCCGTACCATGCTACTCAGGCTGCTGGACGCGCAGGAGGTGAGCGGGGGGTTGGGCGGATGGTGTGTTTCTAAGGGATAGCCTACCTCCTCCCGTTGCATGCAGCGTCCCATCTCCCTCTTCACGACCTCCATTGCTCCTCCTGCTCCTTTTGTCTCACCATGCCCTAGCCATGCCTATGCGGTCCCTTACCTCTCCGTTCCTTACTGCCACTTTCTCACTTCCCCCATCTCCCCACCTCCCCTCCCTCCCCAGCTCCCCCTGAACCCGCTGGACCAGCTGACGGAGCTGCTGGGCGGGGAGGGGGCGGTGGCGGAGATGACGGGGCGCAGGATGCTGCTGGTGCGCAATGAGGAGGGCAAGGTGGTGTGCAAGGTGAGGTGCAGCGGGAGCCAGGAGGTGGAGGGTGGGGCATGGAGGGGTACTGCAGGGTGCATGGTGTCCCTGCAAAGCGCTTCACCGGCCCTTCAAAGCTGGCCTGTATCCACGGGCACATGCTGACTCCTCTCCTCTGAACCTTCTCCCCTTCTTCCTTCTCTTGCGGTCCGTTCCTCTCCCGCGGACAGCAACGCCGCGAGGATGAGGCCCAGAAGATGGTTAACATGGCGGAGAAGGAGGACTTCATGAGCGGCAGGAAGCTGGTGGCCATCATCAGTGATGCAGCGTCCACCGGCATCAGCCTGCAGGCGGATCGGAGGTATGGACAGGTGGCTGGGGGGTTCCATGCACTCGTGTTGTACGGCAGCACACCGGGATGCTGTAGTTTGTTACCTGTTAATCCTGTAATGCAACATGTTGCCAATGTTCTCAGTCGCAGGTGCTTGCGACCGGACACCTCAGTTAGCACTACCTAGCGATGCTTGGTCGTAGGTGGCTGGAGGGCTGATTCTGCAACCAACATTTATGGATTCGCCTGCCTTGGCCCATCTGTGGCGATGCTTAGGGGCAGCACCACAGCAAGGTCAAGGCAGGCGAATCCACAAATGTTGGCTGTAAAACCAGCCTCTGGTTATCTACAAGGGTCGCTAGGTAGTGCTAACCGAGATGTCCTGTCGCGAGCACAATGGCAACATTGTTGCGTTAGAAGAATAACATGAAACAAACAAGCGAAAGTTTGGAGCATGATTGTTTGCACGCTAACCTGCGGTGATGCTTAAGGGCAGCACCGCAGCAAGGTCAAGGCAGGCGAAACCACAAATAAAACCAGCCTCTGGTCACCTACTACCAAGGGTTGCTAGGTAATGTCCTCAGTCACCATGGGTCTCACCATGCCCACGGATATCCTTTGCCTTTCGCAAACCCTCCTTGCAAACCGCCCCTCTTTCTGTAGACTGGTCCTTCCTTACCCTCCTCGCCAGTACCACGAATGTTCACCCTCTTTGGCCCCCCCACCCTGCTCAGGGCTGCCAACCAGCGCCGCCGCTTCCACATCACGCTGGAGCTGCCCTGGAGTGCGGACAAGGCCATCCAGCAGTTCGGCCGCTCGCACCGCTCCAACCAGGCCTCGGCGCCCATCTACTGCCTGCTCGTCACGCAGTGCGGTGGAGAGTACAGGTAAGAGGAGGCTGTGAAGCAAGGGAGCTGTGAAAGAGGAAACTGAGGGGCTGTGAAAGAGGAAAGTGACGAGAGCTGCAAGACGGGGCTTTACCAGGGGGGCGGGTGAGCTAGGGCAGATGGATGGCAGAGGCTTTGTGATGAGTGGAATGCCATGTGCCATGCATGAAGCAGCACTGGTACTTAGGTGCACCTTAGGACCTACCGGCACATGACATCACTCACGATCTTTCCTACCATGCTTGCTCTTCTTGCCTCCGGTTCAGTGCGTATTCCTTACTTGTAGTCGTTTGTGAAACCCCATAGCCATTACCCCTACCGCCGCCCCCCGCAAACCGCAGGTTCGCAGGTGCGGTGGCCAAGCGGCTGACCTCCCTGGGTGCGCTGCTGCGGGGGGACCGGCGAGCGCTGGGGGCGTCCTCCGACCTCAAGCCCTTTGACGTGGACAACAAGTGAGGAGGAGAGGGGTCAAAGACCATACCATGTCATTGGAAGCCAAAGGGGGGGGAGGCGGGGGCATGCATGCTTGCTGGTGTGGGCACGAATGAGGACCGAGGGTTGACACAGGTCTCTTCATTATGCCGCACACTTTACCACCAATCCACCATACACAATTCCTCCGACGGGCTTTGCCTAATCCCCCACCCCCACCCTCTTTCCCCTCCCTCCTCCTCCCAGGTACGGCCTCATGGCTGTCAACCGGCTGCTCGAGTGTGTGGCCGCGGGTATGCACAACGTGGCGGGTGCGCGGGTTCCGGAGCTGCCCGAGGAGCAGCTGTCGGCTGCTGCGGCCGCCAGCCGGCCCGGCAGCGGTCTGCGGGTGGAGGCGTTCATGTCGGTGATGCAGCTGGCGCTCAAGAGCATGGGGCTGCTGGAGGACGCGGGGTGGGTGGGGGAAAGAAGAATGAGGGGTGGGGTGTGGGGGGACATGCAGGAGGAAAGGGGGCTTGTGGTTGTGGTGGAGAGGAGGCCGCGCTTTACCGCCTAACTGGCACTTCCTTCAAGGAGTGACAATGGCGGTTTTGATGCCAGGCTGTACAGTATATTTGTTTTGCTGCACTCCTCACTTTTTCCCTGCCGCTCCCTACCCCCTCCCCGCCCCACAGCGGCCACTATGTTGTGGCGGGCACCAAGCCCGAGGGCGGCAAGAAGAAGAGCACCGATGTGCCCAAGTTCCTGAACCGCCTGCTGGGACTTCCGCTGGGCTCGCAGCAGCTGCTGTTCACCTACTTCACCAACATCATGGACTCGCTCATTAAACAGGTGGGCAGGCAGGAGGCACGGTGGGGGTTGTACGTATGACCAGGGTACCGGGTTATATGTGCTATGTTATGCCTTATATGGGGTTTACCCACGTGATGGGTCGGATGGGAGCGGCTGGACCGTGGGGAGCATTTCTGCCATTTTGGAGCATAGCGCATGCCAGCGCGTGCAGGCAGATAGATGTGGAGACAGCACGGGGCACACCTGGTGGGAGGCGTTGGTGTGCATGCAGGGTGCCCAGGCTGTGGCGTGGATGGCGTGTACTCTGTCCCACTCTGCCCAGTCGCAGCATGTATGTCTGTTGCGTTGTTGGCGCTTGCAACGCAGACCCTTCGCACACCCCATGCATGCGCCCACCCCTGCAGGCCCGGTCCGCGGGCACGTACGACGAGGCCATCCTCAACCTGGCAGCCTCCCGGGTGACCCTGGCGCACGAGGAGACCATACACACCGACCAAGAGACGCGTGAGTCAGAAGAGCAGAGTTGCCATCAGCCCATGCTCAGAGTTTTGCAGGCCCTTGAGGCACGCCATGCCACACAGTCCCGCTCTTAATGCATACCCGCCTTACCCGCTTTCCTCCCCAATTGGTATTCCTTTGTGTCACCCCCCCACTTGCCCATTTGTGGTTTCACATGGTTTGGTCTAGTTTGCCCCCCCCCGCCTCTCCATACCAACCCGCTCCTCCCAACCCCGCCCCCCAGAGGCCAGCACGCAGTACCTGGAGGTGGATGTGGACGACGGCATGTCCTGGGGTGAGGCCACCCAGGCGCTGCAGGCGGCGCTGGCGGACATGCGGGCGGAGCAGGCGCCGCAGCAGCTGGTGGACAAGGTGGGCTGGGAGGCGGAGCGGTCCTGACTTTCTGACGCACCCTGCGCCTGCTGTTTGTGTTTCTCTTCTGGCGACAGTGTGCTTTTGTAACCGTCTCATGTGCGAGGCAAACCTACCACCTATAGCCCCGCTTCGGGACGTCTCTGCGCCCCTCTTTGTGCTCTCCCTGCCATCCTCTCTATCTTCATCTCTTCCCTTTCTGACCCCATTTCCTTCCCTCCTCTCCCCCCCCCGGCCAGGTGGGCTTCTACGTGGCCAAGCGCAACAAGAACGTGGGCGGCATGGGCCACCCGCTGGTGCTGCTGGCCACCGCCATGCGCCGGGCCACGGTGGGGGCGCGGGCGCAGCAGGAGTTCCGCATCCAGAGGCCCAACCAGGTGCGGGACATGGAGGGGGGTAGTGAGGGAACGGCTAATGTACCAACTGTCTGGGGTTGATTGTGTGGGGAGATTGTGTGGGGGTTCACGGAGCGGGTGGGTGTGGTTCTGGATATAGGTGGGGCGGGTGGGTAAGGTCTTTGGGCATAAAGGCTGCCAGCGGTCCATGGGGACGCTGCCTACTGCATACACGGCACCTGACCGTGGACTTTGGGTCTCACTTACGTTGCTGGGTTCAACAACACTTGAACCCTGCTGTCTTTGCCTATACTGCCCCTGCCTGTTGACGCAGATCAAGGGTCACCTCTTCGGGCAGGGCGAGTTGCAGGACAAGTACGAGAAGGTGGACACCTCGGTGAGTGGGAGCTAGAGGAGGGGCTTGGGGAAGGAGAAGGAAGTGAGGAGGGCTGCTGCCCTTGACTGCTGTATACTGAGTTGTAACCGGGTTGGTACTGCGGCTGCTACTGTTGATCATGCGTTTCCAGCCATCACCTACAATACGCTGCAACATGGCTCCTCTCCCCTCCCTCCTCCCTCTCCTGTCAGACCGCCCGGAAGCACTGGGTGTTTTGGCACAACTACCTGCAGCACGGCTGCCTGCACGGACAGAACTGCGAGCGCCGGCGCCGCTTGGGCGCCTGCAACTACGGCTCGCGCGTCTACCGCCTCTTCCTCGTCTCCGGTACGTCTCCAGGGAGAGGAAGAGGGGTATGTGAAGCATGGAAGCGCTGTGGCGCTGGTTCAGGCCCTTCAGCCAGGCTGCGTCTCCAGCTCTTCCCAACTAGAACCAACACCTAGGTCCTTGCCGCCTGTAACATCACCTCACAGCAACCCTTACACGCTAACGCACACTACTCCCTTCCCTGCCATCCCTCCCTCCTCCCAACGCAGGCGCGGTGCTGCCCCTGCTGCGGCAGCTCTTTGACACGGTGCAGGGCTCCTCCTCCTCCGCGGGCCGCTCCACCAACACCAAGGCCATGCCGCGGGTGGCGAGGGTGGCGCTGGGTGACGGACGTGTGCTGGTGGGGATGAGCCTGCTGGAGCAGGACGCGCAGAGCTTCGTGGCGCGGGTGACCACGTGAGGGGGGCGCTAGGGGGTGGACACAGAGGTGGCAATGGTGAAGAGGAAGGTCGTGATAGCGGTGGGGGTGGTTACTGGGGTGGCTATGGCGGAGGGAAAAGGTCGTGATGGCGTTAGGGGTGGACGGGTGAGGGCTGAGGGAGGCGGATGCTAGGTGCGGGTGAATAGTGCCCGGTGACTCGGGATATGTGAGTGTGAGTGTGGAGTGCGGTGTGATTGCGAGGAGTGGAGGTAAGCGTGATGACTGATGAGGTAGTTGCCAGGTGCGAGATGCGGTTGTGGCGATCTTGGCTGCTGGAGTGGAGTGAAGGGTAGTCAGACGTTTACATAACATGTCTATTTTGTTTCATTCATGCACAGAGCGTTATGACATGCCCGTACGGTTTGGCCTAACTGTACCAAATCTTGTGTAGCACCCGCCGACCTAGCACCCACCGACCTACCACCCACCGACCTATTCGGGTTGGGCGGGTCGGGCTGGCTCACATGATGCAACCCATGTTGACGCCTTATCCCTCAGTCAGTTAGTTGTTTACCCACCGACCTAGCACCCGCCGACCTAGCACCCACCGACCTAGCACCCGCCGACCTAGCACCCACCGACCTAGCAACCGCCGACCTAGCACCCACCGACCTAGCACCCGCCGACCTAGCACGCGCCGACCTAGCACCCGCCGACATAGCACCCGCCGACATAGCACCCGCCGACCTGGCACCCGCCGACCTGGCACCCGCCGACCTAGCACCCACCGACCTGGCACCCACCGACCTGGCACCCGCCGACCTAGCATCCGCCGACCTAGCACCCACCGACCTAGCACCCACCGACCTAGCACCCGCCGACATAGCACCCGCCGACATAGCACCCACCGACCTAGCACCCGCCGACCTGGCACCCGCCGACCTGGCACCCGCCGACCTGGCACCCGCCGACATAGCACCCACCGACCTAGCACCCACCGACCTAGCACCCGCCGACCTAGCACCCACCGACCTAGCACCCACCGACCTAGCACCCGCCGACCTAGCACCCACCGACCTAGCACCCACCGACCTACCACCCGCCGACCTAGCACCCACCGACCTAGCACCCACCGACCTAGCACCCGCCGACCTAGCACCCACCGACCTAGCACGCGCCGACCTAGCACCCGCCGACCTGGCACCCGCCGACCTGGCACCCACCGACCTAGCACCCGCCGACCTAGCGCCCACCGACCTGGCGCCAGCCAACCTGGCACCCGCCGACCTAGCACCCGCCGACCTGGCACCCGCCGACCTGGCACCCGCCGACCTGGCACCCGCCGACCTAGCGCCCACCGACCTGGCGCCAGCCGACCTGGCACCCGCCGACCTAGCACCCGCCGACCTGGCACCCGCCGACCTGGCACCCGCCGAACTAGCACCCGCCGACCTGGCGCCCGCCGACCTAGCCCCGCCGACCTGGCACCCGCCGACCTGGCACCCACCGACCTCGCACCCGCCGACCTGGCGCCCGCCGACCTGGCACACGCCGACCTAGCACCCGCCGACCTGGCGCCCGCCAACCTGGCACCCGCCGACCTGGCACCCGCCGACCTAGCACCCGCCGACCTAGCACCCGCCGACCTGGCACCCGCCGACCTGGCATCCACCGACCTAGCACCCGCCGACCTGGCACCCGCCGACCTGGCACACGCCGACCTGGCGCCCGACGACCTGGCGCCCGCCGACCTAGCACCCGCCGACCTGGCACCCGCCGACCTTGCACCCGCCGACCTGGCACCCGCCGACCTGGCACCCGCCGACCTAGCACCCGCCGACCTAGCACCCGCCGACCTAGCACCCGCCGACCTAGCGCCCGCCGACCTGGCATCCGCCGACCTGGCACCCGCCGACCTGGCGCCCACCGACCTGGCGCCCGCCGACCTAGCACCCGCCGACCTAGCACCCACCGACCTAGCACCCGCCGACCTAGCACCCGCCGACATAGCAACCGCCGACCTAGCAACCGCCGACCTAGCACCCACCGACCTAGCACCCACCGACCTAGCAACCACCGACCTAGCACCCGCCGACATAGCACCCGCCGACATAGCAACCGCCGACCTAGCACCCACCGACCTTGCAACCACCGACCTAGCAACCACCGACCTAGCACCCGCCGACCTAGCACCCGCCGACCTAGCACCCACCGACCTAGCACCCGCCGACCTGGCACCCGCCGACCTGGCACCCGCCGACCTGGCACCCGCCGACCTAGCACCCACCGACCTAGCACCCGCCGACCTAGCACCCACCGACATAGCACCCACCGACATAGCACCCGCCGACATAGCACCCGCCGACATAGCACCCACCGACCTACCACCCGCCGACCTGGCACCCGCCGACCTGGCACCCGTCGACCTAGCACCCACCGACCTAGCACCCGCCGACCTAGCACCCACCGACCTAGCACCCACCGACCTAGCACCCGCCGACCTAGCACCCACCGACCTAGCACCCGCCGACCAAGCACCCGCCGACCTAGCACCCACCGACCTAGCACCCACCGACCTACCACCCGCCGACCTAGCACCCACCGACCTAGCACCCACCGACCTAGCACCCGCCGACCTAGCACCCACCGACCTAGCACCCACCGACCTAGCACCCGCCGACCTAGCACCCGCCGACCTAGCACCCGCCGACCTAGCACCCGCCGACCTAGCACCCGCCGACATAGCACCCGCCGACCCTGCACCCGCCGACCCTGGCACCCGCCGACCTAGCACCCACCGACCTGGCACCCACCGACCTGGCACCCGCCGACCTAGCACCCGCCGACCTGGCACCCGCCGACCTGGCACCCGCCGACCTGGCACCCGCCGACCTGGCACCCGCCGACCTAGCACCCGCCGACCTAGCACCCGCCGACCTAGCACCCGCCGTCCTAGCACCCGCCGACCTAGCACCCGCCGACCTAGCACCCGCCGACCTGGCACCCGCCAACCTGGCGCCCACCGACCTGGCGCCAGCCGACCTAGCACCCGCCGACCTAGCACCCGCCGACCTGGCACCCGCCGACCTGGCACCCGCCGACCTAGCACCCGCCGACCTGGCACCCGCCGACCTGGCACACGCCGACCTTGCACCTGCCGACCTGGCGCCCACCGACCTGGCGCCCGCCGACCTAGCACCCGCCGACCTAGCACCCGCCGACCTGGCACACGCCGACCTGGCACCCGCCGACCTGGCACCCGCCGACCTAGCACCCACCGACCTAGCACCCGCCGACCTAGCACCCACCGACCTAGCACCCACCGACATAGCACCCGCCGACATAGCACCCGCCGACCTAGGACCCGCCGACCTGGTACCCGCCGATCTGGCACCCGCCGACCTGGCACCCGCCGACCTAGCACCCACCGACCTAGCACCCGCCGACCTAGCACCCACCGACCTAGCACCCACCGACCTAGCACCCGCCGACCTAGCACCCACCGACCTAGCACCCACCGACCTAGCACCCGCCGACCTAGCACCCACCGACCTAGCACCCACCGACCTACCACCCGCCCACCTAGCACCCACCGACCTAGCACCCACCGACCTAGCACCCGCCGACCTAGCACCCACCGACCTAGCACCCACCGACCTACCACCCGCCGACCTAGCACCCGCCGACCTAGCACCCGCCGACCTAGCACCCGCCGACCTAGCACCCGCCGACATAGCACCCGCCGACCTAGCACCCGCCGACCTAGCACCCGCCGACCTAGCACCCACCGACCTGGCACCCACCGACCTGGCACCCGCCGACCTAGCATCCGCCGACCTGGCACCCGCCGACCTGGCACCCGCCGACCTGGCACCCGCCGACCTAGCACCCGCCGACCTGGCACCCGCCGACCTAGCACCCGCCGTCCTAGCACCCGCCGACCTAGCACCCGCCGACCTAGCACCCGCCGACCTAGGACCCGCTGACCTGGTACCCGCCAACCTGGCGCCCACCGACCTGGCGCCAGCCGACCTAGCACCCGCCGACCTAGCACCCGCCGACCTGGCACCCGCCGACCTGGCACCCGCCGACCTAGCACCCGCCGACCTGGCACCCGCCGACCTGGCACCCGCCGACCTAGCACCCACCGACCTAGCACCCACCGACCTACCACCCGCCGACCTAGCACCCACCGACCTAGCACCCACCGACCTAGCACCCGCCGACCTAGCACCCACCGACCTAGCACCCACCGACCTACCACCCGCCGACATAGAACCCACCGACCTACCACCCGCCGACCTGGCACCCGCCGACCTGGCACCCGCCGACCTAGCACCCGCCGACCTAGCACCCGCCGACCTAGCACCCGCCGACCTAGCACCCGCCGACCTAGGACCCGCCGACCTGGCACCCGCCAACCTGGCGCCCACCGACCTGGCGCCAGCCGACCTAGCACCCGCCGACCTAGCACCCGCCGACCTGGCACCCGCCGACCTGGCACCCGCCGACCTAGCACCCGCCGACCTGGCACCCGCCGACCTGGCACCCGCCGACCTTGCACCCGCCGACCTGGCGCCCACCGACCTGGCGCCCGCCGACCTAGCACCCGCCGACCTAGCACCCGCCGACCTGGCACCCGCCGACCTGGCACACGCCGACCTGGCACCCGCCGACCTAGCACCCACCGACCTAGCACCCGCCGACCTAGCACCCACCGACCTAGCACCCACCGACATAGCACCCGCCGACATAGCACCCGCCGACATAGCACCCACCGACCTACCACCCGCCGACCTGGCACCCGCCGACCTGGCACCCGCCGACCTGGCACCCGCCGACCTAGCACCCACCGACCTAGCACCCGCCGACCTAGCACCCACCGACCTAGCACCCACCGACCTAGCACCCGCCGACATAGCACCCACCGACCTAGCACCCACCGACCTAGCACCCGCCGACCTAGCACCCACCGACCTAGCACCCACCGACCTTCCACCCGCCGACCTAGCACCCACCGACCTAGCACCCACCGACCTAGCACCCGCCGACCTAGCACCCACCGACCTAGCACCCACCGACCTAGCACCCGCCGACCTAGCACCCGCCGACCTAGCACGCGCCGACCTAGCACCCGCCGACCTAGCACCCGCCGACATAGCACCCGCCGACCTAGCACCCGCCGACATAGCACCCGCCGACCTAGCACCCACCGACCTGGCACCCACCGACCTGGCACCCGCCGACCTAGCATCCGCCGACCTGGCACCCGCCGACATGGCACCCGCCGACCTGGCACCCGCCGACCTAGCACCCGCCGACCTGGCACCCGCCGACCTAGCACCCACCGACCTAGCACCCGCCGACCTAGCACCCGCCGACCTAGCACCCGCCGACCTAGGACCCGCCGACCTGGTACCCGCCAACCTGGCGCCCACCGACCTGGCGCCAGCCGACCTAGCACCCGCCGACCTAGCACCCGCCGACC